CTTGTTGGACATCACATGATTATAACTAACTCAGCACTACGCGCCTCGTTGCCTCGCAACCATCTTATATGCAACGCGCACTCGTGGAATAATTGCTAACTAGTATGTACCTAAACAGTGTGACAGTGTTTTTTGCGCGCTCTGATTGGCTACTCAACCTGCGGATATCCAGTGCTATTCACTGTTTCACCTCCAGTTCCTCCAAGCAAGCGACACCAAACTCCGGTCAGTTACGTGCAAAATGGCCTCCCGGTTTGCTGCCGAAACAAACAAAGAAACTTTTACAGATAATCAAACAAGCTGTTCCAGAAATACACGAAGATGGTGAGGAAATTCGGTTCGGGAGTTTTACTTGGTAAATACAATACATCACAATACAATACAATGATCTTTATTTTGAGAGGGTAGATACATGATTAACCCAGTAAAGAGTTTTCTAACACATGGCCCTCTGTAAAGCTTCGCCTGTTTGCCTCGCGACGCGACGGCTGTTCGGTCATTGCGCGTCAAAATTGTAATCTTTGGCAACAGTAAATGAGTTAAAAACCATCATTTCTTTTTCTCAATTGTCTCACTGTTTTAGTATATACTAAAACAATTATTCACCTCAGAGTCGCTGGCTAGTGGTTGGTGGATATATTTCCGAGCCCCTCCATTCCTAATAATTATTACACAGTTCCTTAAGCAAAAAAAGGTAGCGTCCTCTTCAAAACCATATTGAGACAATTTTAAGCCTCTTGTCTCGCTGACATAAAAATGTAGCCTTCTTAACTTGAATACGCTCAAATTTTTAAATAGTTTTTGATGAGTAAGGTGACGAATTGGTGTACAATACAACATCTTTAATGTTACGATGTCCTTCGAACCTCTACATGTTCTTCCTAATTCTAAACAAGCCTAAAATTTTGTTCGCTTTTCTCGCAATGGCATCAATATGACTGCACAATTGACATCGAGAGATGATGGTTGCTGTAGAATTCGTTTGTTTCCTCTAAGACAGAACCGTTCAAGGTCATATTTGGTACAATTGGTTGCTTCTTCAGAGTAATTCGCTCTAACTTGCCTCCCTTACATCGAAGGCTATCCTGTTAAGGTGGCCCGAAATTATTGATATGGGTGTTGGTTATGTTTTTAAATCGCTTTTTTCAGCAGGAACGATTTAAGCGATTTCGCTGCACAAAATTCCCATCAAAATTAACCTTACAATGCTACGCTAACACATCGGTGAAAGTTGACGAACAAATAGTCAGAGGAGAAGTGCCGACGCCTATCTCCTATCTGAAAGGGCACTCTCATCCGAAGCTTAATTGCAAGAAACTGAGTAATCAGAAACCTACGGTGAATACAGTTAGCATTACAAGAAGAACAACTTTAATTATGATGAAATGCGGGGTGAGATTAGAGAACTTCTATTTATCAAAGTTACTTTGTATTTGCCCTTTTCGTTTCGAAAAAACTGTCTCAACAAAACAAAATATAGCAACTACGAGAAACTCTAAAGAGTGTTTAGCGTCACATGTTCCCGTTTTGAGGAGAAACGGATCCACAGTTTCAACGTTCTCCTTGGCATTGTGCTTGAAAAACTGGTGGCTAAACCATTTTCCCTGCTTAATGCAACTTGTGGTCGGAAGAGAGAGCTGTATAACTAGGGGAGTCGATTCCAGTGAGAAGACTATCACTTCCGGCAATGAATGCAAATTCTCATGGGACAGCAAAGCGAGAAGAAAAACGATGGCTGAGACATCATTGACTGCGTATTTAAAGTCCCTTTTATTTTTAGAAAAAGGTCAATCATATGGAGACAGCATTCCAAATAATGTGTCATGTATGTATATTAAGCCTCTTCAATGTAAAATACGGACATCAACGGAAACTCAACTACACTGGTATTCTATCAGTTGAACTTATTGCTAAAACGCCAAAAAGTGTGGTCACGTTACTGGGTCGGTCACCTGTTGGCTATTGTTTGGCGACAACAATCTTTTAATGTTTCTATTAACAGTTGAGTATTCCGGTGTTTTATTTTTTTTATTACAGACATCAACGGATGTTCCAGCAATCCTTGTTTAAACGGAGGATCGTGTACTGACCAGGTTAATGGATATGCTTGTAGCTGTCAGCCTGGATACGCAGGAGCACAGTGTCAGACAAGTAAGAAATATCTTTAGTATGATATCCCTGAATAGTTTAGGCAAAAATTGTAATCAATCTTAAAATATTGCCATGAAAAGTTGTCGTTTCTCATATTGTACATTTTGCCACAGACATCAACGAATGTTCCAGCAATCCTTGTTTAAACGGAGGATCGTGTACTGACCAGGTTAATGGATATACCTGTAGCTGTCAGCCTGGATACGCAGGGGCTAGGTGTCAATCAGGTACGTACGCATTAGCATTAAAGACACCTCAAATGTTGCTTTTTGACATTCAAGAAGAGTTCTCAGTTACTATGAGAATGACAGAGATAATTCGTTGATTGTCTTGTGGCATTGTGGCCCCTCCAACTTTGGCCCATCCCTTTTGGTAATTATTACACAGTTTCCTATACAACAAAAAGAGGATGGCGTCTTTTTCCAAAGTATATTGAGGCAATGTAACTACTCTTCACCGCTGACATATATTAAGTAGCCCAAATTTTTTAATAGTTTTTGACGAGTAGGGTGACCAATACAACATCGTGCGATACAACACCTTGAATGTTACAATTTCGTTCTAACCTCTACGTGTTCTTCATAATGATAATCAAGCCTAAAATTTTGTTCGCTTTTCTCGCAATGGTATCAATATGACAATTCACATAAAGAGATGATGGTTTTAAGTGGGCCAAAGCTGCGAAATTGGTCTGAAATTTCCTCCAAGACAGAACCGTTCATTTGCGGTCATATTTGATATAAATGGTTGGTTATTCGCACTAACTTGCAGTACTTACATCGAAGGTTATCTTGTTTAAAGATGACTCCACGTTACAGTTTATCGAGATCCCCTTAATAAATCAACTGATTATTGGGGCAAGTTATTACAGATAACTCTAAATGCGTTACATTGATCTGCATAAAGTGCCACCGACTCCCTTGGAGTGACCACCTCAGCTAGGTGGATCACTGATAACCTAAAATAAAGAAAACAGGGGGCTCAAGATTGATCCCTGCGACATACCAGACGGGATTCAGTTTAGCGCACTTGAGCAATTGCTATCAGCTATAACCCCTTACTTACGATTTGATAGTCGGGAATACCCTTTCACGAAGCCATGCTGCCAATCAGAAGAAAAGGTGACTAAATGGCCCAGGTGGATAATTTTTCCTGAGTTTTGCCCAAAACGAACAACCATATATTAGGAAATGGAGCTATAGATTCAACGTTCTCCTTGGCATTTTGCTTTAAAAACTGGTGGCTCTTCAGTTCCAGATAAAGGGAACTTCACCCGGCTAAAAGATGGTTAGTGGCTGCGGCAGCTTCTTGCTAGGCATGTCCCGATTGCGCTGCAAAATTCACCAAAACGAGCACAAAACATGGCAGAAAAGTGCTCATGAGAAATGGAGCTCGAAATTTAGGAATAGGGCTCGAAAGATGCTCGTACGTTTTTAATTTTTTCCTAGCAGATATGTTCATAAATATTGTTAGTTTTATAGAAGTTTTACCCCTCGATTTTCTAATAAGTGACCACACTAGAAGTGAAACCCCAATGTTTTTTTTTTCCAAAATGGACTGTTTCCACGGTTAAAAGGAGCCTTTTTATGACAACAGTCAGGCGACAAGGTGGCCAGTTATTCAAATTCGCGATAAAAGAATTACTTGGCTTACTGAAAACGTTTCAAAGACCAGATATAGCATTTAACATGTGGAAAATTGTAAAAAAAAATAAAATGCTTAATTGTTGCCCAAAAAGTGAAAAATGCTCAATTTCTGCTCAAAAGTCAAAGCGTTCAAGAGAGCTGGAAATGTAAAATACTGCTCCAAATTCAAAAAAGTGCCAAAAAAGTGCACAGGACAATCGGGAAATACCTACTTCTTGTCACAAATATTAAAAATACTTGTGGGGGAATTAAGATACCTAAATACCGAGCCAGTACTTCGAGCCAGGACTCCAGTCACGACGTATACTAGAAATGCGTTATCGCAAAAATCTCGCGAAGCTGTAAAGGCTCATGGGTGAGAATAAAGGAAAACAAGCCAAAGGGAAAAAATATGAACAAAAACAAAGAAAACTAAACAGAAAAAAATTTGCAAAGAAAACGAAAATGGCCACATCGCCATTCAAACCCACACCTTGACCACCTTCTACGAGAGAAACCAGCTCCAAGACCACTGGGCCACGCTGCCGCTGAATAACTAATAGATGACGTAAAATTAATAGTCTTAAACCATTTTCCCTGCTTAATGCAACTTGTGGTCAGAAGAGATAGCTGTATGACTAGAGGAGTCGATTCCACTGATTGAGAAGGCTTTTCATATCACTTTCGGCAATGAATGCAAATTCTCATCAGGGGCACCCAACGGCAATTTCCGGAAAATATCTGTTCGGAAGACGATTTGAGATCTAGAATTTTCGGAACATTTGTTGTAAAATCTCTTGCTTGCCTGCCTCTCCTAGGATTTTCGAACATCTACAAAATGGTAATATATAGATCTAGCCAGGGCTAAAAGCGAAGCTCCTATTAACTCGAATTTATAATTTAAATCAAACAATAAACTTGTATTCCACAATTCAGTTAACTTTAGAGCACATTCATGTGACTTTTGAGGAAAAGGTTAAGTGATTTTAGAGAAAAGTAATTTGCAAACAGTCCAAGCTAAGAGTGAACTTAATCTTACATCGAGTTGATAGCCTTATATGTACACCCAAAAAATAGCAATCATCTTCGATCACATTTATGAGCGCGGGCTCTTGATCACAGAAGATTAGGCGTGGAAAAAAAATCAGGCGGAATTTTTTTGCGCTCGACAAGTTTACTTTACAAAATCTTGCCAACAAGTCTGGGGACGTGTGAACCAACCTTTTATACTTTTTATACATCACATCTGAGGTGAAACAGTACCATGAGGCGCTGTTTTTATCATACAGACCTCGGACAGAATGCAGTATTTCACAATTTTGCAATACAAATTGCACTCACTCAATATTCAGGACGATCGAAGCACGTGTGGGCTTTTAGCGAAACCGTTAAAAAAATTTTCAAAATCACCTATACAGCCAGCCGGTTCTCACTTTTGACAAGCGCCATAGTCGACTGTTTAAATTATTATTAATAGAGTTATACGCTTCAACATAATAAAGAATTTATTATGTTTATTTTTTATTTAATGGTTTTATAACGATGTGTAATCTTCAAAAGCGTTTGATACGCGCGGCATTTTGACTACTCCTGTATGCAAGCGATGTTCATGAGCGACTCAAAACAAACGGCACAGCGATAAAAATTGCAAAAGAGACTACCAACAACCAATAAAAGGAAAATAATTCGGTGAAACATGTACAGAGACAACAATTTTCATTCACGAAGACAAGTAATAAAGTGTCTCCGAAAATCCTAGCCTGAGATCATGCCCTCTCCCTATTATCCCTTTATGTCCTTGAAAAAAAAAAAAAAAAAAAAAAAACAAAAAAACGCCTGATCGCAGGTTACGAAAATCCTTGTTTTAAATGTTTTTCATTTTTGTAAGCCGGCTTCCCGGTGTTTGCTTTTCAAAGATGAACTCGAAGCAAGAAAATCGCTCAAAGCTTTCTTTTACAGCCAGAATTAAAACGAAATATTCTTTGGAACGTTTTCTTTCTATTCGCGATGAGAAAATGTCTAAAGGCTTTTTAAAGTTCTATAAGCTTATAATCAAACCTGACACTCGGTCAGATCATTGTCTCAAATCTTACAATTAAAAACGTGCATAAACTAAATAGCCGCATAAACTACGCTCGACTTCATTAAATTAGATATAAAAAACAAACGTCAAATACAATAATTACTCAGACTTACCATTCGAGATGCACTGAAAACTATCAAGTAAGGCCAGAATCGCTTCAGACTTTTCAACCCTCTTACGCATCAAGCAAGGTGAAAAACGAAAACGATGCCATCCGAAATCGGATTTCCGACTTTGACAAGCGACATATATCTCAACCAAAAACCAAATAAACAAACTAGCCATGAATAACAGAAGACTCTTGATAGCAGCTGAATTTCATTTTGTACATTCAGTGGAAAAAGACAGTTAAAAAAATCACAAGTTGACACAAAACTCTGTCAGCTTCAGCTGTCAAAGTAAACAGGTTTCAAGATGCTGCATAAATTTTCCGCATGAACTCATCTGTCAAATTTTGACCAATCACAGCATAAAAATTGGACGTAGAGCCTGACCAACGCGTGACCTTGGTGAGAAAAGTCAAAAGCAACCGGCATGTCTTCCCTACCTGTAAAAACTGGCTGAATTTTAGCTTCCGAGGTCAGTTTGAAATCAAAATTTTAATTGTGCGGCACATAAAAAACACAACATATTTCATATGAATTTAAAAAAATTAAACTTGAGCCTGCGATCATTTTCAAGAAAACTAGTAACTTGTCAGCGGATAACTTCAAAAAGATACTTGACCTCGATGGGTTGACACCTGAGCCCGCGATACGGTCAGGTGATACTGGTCAGCGGATACCCTGTTTTGACAGCTGTCAATTGATCACAACATTGATGTGCAATATATGTGTGCAATATCAGTCTTCCTGTGCTCCCAAACTAGGTAGAAAGTGTGAGGATTGAACACTGGTTGCCCTGTGGTGCGGACCGACGGGCGGGCGGGCGGTGTACGGTCACGTGATTACCAAATTTTCTGGGATGGGTAGATTTACTTACCCATGGTGCTCCGCAGGCGCGCTTCGCGCGCCAGAGCTCCGCTATAATTACCCATTTTAAACGGATATTTGTCCTAAAAAGGCCACCTAGAATTTTCGGGAGCCTTTTCCTAGCTGACATTTTCGAAAAGGTAAGTTTTGATCCCAATAATTTTCCGACCACTAGACTTTCAGCTTGGAAATCCGAACAGATGAAAAGTTTTTAAGGGATAAAAATATGCTTATATCTACCGTTTAAATACTAAAATACGTTCAACAATATATCCTCGTTGGGTGCCCCTGTCTCATGGGACAGCAAAGCGAGAAGAAAAACGGTAGCTGAGACCTCATCGAGTATTTATAGTCCCTTTTATTTAGAAAAAGGTAAGTCATACGGAGACAGACTTCCAAATAGCGCGTCATGTATTGTAAGCGTCTTCAGTGTAAAATATGGACATCAACGCAAACTCAACTACACTTAGTATTCTATCAGTTGAAGTTATTGCTAAAACGCTGAAAAGTGTGGTCACGTCACTGGGTCGGTCACCTGTTGACTATTGTTTGGCGACAACAATCTTTTAATGTTTCTATTTAAAGTTGATTATTCCAGTGTTTTAATTTTTTATTACAGACATCAACGAATGTTCCAGCAATCCTTGTTTAAACGGAGGATCGTGTACTGATCAGGTTAATGGATATATTTGTAGCTGTCAGCCTGGATACACAGGAGCACAGTGTCAAACAAGTAAGAAATATTCTTAGTGTAATATCCCCTGAATAGTTTTGGCAAAAGTTGTAATCAATCTTTTTAATATTGCCATAAAAAGTTGACCTTTCTCATATTGCACTTTTTGTCACAGACATCAACGAATGTTCCAGTAATCCTTGTTTAAACGGAGGATCGTGTACTGACCAGGTGAATGGATATGTTTGTAGCTGTCAGCCTGGATACACAGGGACTAGGTGTCAATCAGGTACGTAGGCATTAGCATTTAAGACACTGAATGCTTAGTGTGGGAAATTATGCGTGCCGAGGCGGCTATTTGACATTCAAGAAGAGTTCTTTCGTATGAGAACGACGGGGATAATTCGTTGATTGTCTTGTCGCATTGTGGCCCGTCGAACTTTGGCCCATCCCTTCCTGGTAATTATTAGTACATAGTTCCTTATACAAGAAAAAAAGGATGGTGTCTTTTTCGAAAGCATATTGAGACAATTTAAGTACTCTTCATCGCTGACATAAATTATGTAGCCCAAATTTTTCAATAGTTTTTTTATGAGTAGGGGTGACCAATGTAAAATTGTGTGAGACCAGGCTCAGTTAGGCTCCGTGGTGGGGGAAAAGGGCAAAAAACGCAATTCAAAAGGAAAAATATCGGCGTGCCAAGCGGTGGCGTGTGAAGGGACAAAGGGTGGCGGAACCTGCTGGAGACATACCTTTGATGTCGTTGTTCATGCTCTGAATTGTCTTCACGCTTCACGTTGACAGGTTCGCGGTGCTGTTGACAGTATCTCACTCTTTCAATACCACGCTCCTACAATTCGGGAAAAGATTTTTTAAAACACGTATTTCGAGCAAGCAATAGTTCGCAACACTCACCTCATTTTCTACTATCGGTTAACAAATTCAAAAGTTTTCCCTAAACTTACTTTATAAAACACATGGTCAATGCTTCATCGAGTACTACTGAGTTATGATTGCACTTGGGAGGATTGGATCATGCTAAGCTCAGTTTTTTGACGTCATCAGACCTCATCAGCTTGCTCATCAGTATGAAGCACGCTAGCGCTATTAACCTGAGATCAGGCTCTATTAGCGCGACAAGGTAAGAGAGAATGTATGGAAGCTACTAAAATTAGGCCTGATCTCAGGTTATAGCGCTATTAAATTTGAGTAGGCGAATATTCTAGCTTTAGTTTACTGTCAGTAGCCTCACGTACCCATTTTGTACGTAGCCATAACAAAAAATCATCTTTCCTGAAACCGCTTGGGATTAGAGTGTTTAGTGTATTGGCCCACTGTCGCACTCCGTCTCTGCAGAGTTCCTCGTCGGTTGACTCTGTCAGGGTGAGTTAGTTGTATTTGAATGTCTTTCAACTATCAAATCCTTCTCCCTAGACAAGGATATTGAAGAGCGCCCGATCGATCTAAGTTCCCGTGACCACCTCTAATGCAAGATTTATGATTATCAAACCTTCCAAATTTGTTTTTCTGTGGATTCCACCACTTACTGAAAACCATCAGATCGTACATACAATGAAATGAACTGCATTAGACGAGTTACAATTCATGCTTTTTTTCAATTAATTCAGTTTTATTAAGACAAAACAGTAGTGGGGTCCACAGTTGTACCTCCCGATTGAAGCAATGACCTTATAAATAGTTTCAGGAGCCCATCAAATGGAGCCTCCATCTCCCATACAAGCCCTTGGAGTCAACCCTTTCCCGAGTAGATTTATAATTAGAACGGTTCCCAGGGGAGACTTCGCGCGCCGACGGTGGGAAGAGCGAATCACAACCACGAAATGACACTGCTATTGTACTTAATCAAACAGCAGGAAATCCGGTGCTGACAGGCCAAACACAATCATGAGCTAGTGAAACGTGACTTAAGCGTTTTCATCCCTCAGAGATTTTCCTTTTCTTCTTTCTAGCGGGTAGATTATACTGTGGAAAGTTTTACGCTCTGACTATGTTAATCTTAATTTTGGTAAAATTTCTAGGTTTTTTTTTTCCGAACTGCGTTTATCTGAATAAATACTTGTAGTCCTTGTGGTTGTTTTGTCCGTCAGCTAGTGTGATGATTCCCTGCTATGTTTTGTGACGCCGGGCACAGCCATTGTTTTCTCGCAAAAAAGTGATCTACAGATGCGAATTCGAAGGAAGGAATTGAGCCTAAACTTCTACATTAACTGCTGAAAATTGTCCTGTTAGTCAGTCATGATTCTTTTGGCGCAGATACAATCCATTTTGTTTTTCTTGAGATAAGTGGGTCTTTGGACTGGAGCGCGATGTCACAAATTCCTCCGTTAGCAAATTACGGTTGAGTTAACTTCACGGTCGAGCAACTGTTGTCTTCTGTTCAAATTTTCAAGCGCTTGTTTTATCAGGCAACTCTCATGGTGATACAAGTCGGTTGTAAAGGAAGACTGCAATTTCTGAAATTTCGGAATTGAAGCATTCCTCGTTACTTGCTACTTAGGTCATCGCTTTTGCACGCGGTGCTTAACTGGCGAAATCCACTCCTCGGTGATGACAAAAATCATATGATCCTGGCACTTTTTCGTCGCTGGTCATCGAAAAGTTTCAAGTCGTCCACAGAACGTTTAATCGTCGACTCTTTTCAAGGTGCATGCTTAAATGTGGGATGTATGACGGCTAAAAAAAACACTCCCAAAGATAACCTTTCCGTGATCCTCAGTTCGCTGCCTTTGTCCCATCGCTTCATGCTCAGTCTCAGTCGTGTAATTCATTAACTTTTATTTCATGATACCCACATCCCGGCGGCTGTAAAATTGTAAAAACGGACGTAAAGGAATAAAGGAAAACGGTCGAAAGACGGGCTTCTGAGTTCGACTTCATCCAATTTTATTTTTTCACGGTGACATACGAGACTCACGGAAATATGACACTTTTCGCGGGAAACACGCCGTTCTATTTATAAATCTACTCGGGAAAGGGTTGACTCAAGAAATTAATGGAGATGGAGGCTCCATTTGATGGGCTCCTGATAGTTTACAAACTTCGCATCTCTTCGTTCCACATTTGTTCTACATGGAAGTAGGTCTTCCTGCCTTTTGCGACACCTGATATACCGATCTCACTTATGTTTGTTTCTTTTTTGTAGTCGCAATTCAGTGGTTGCATTATACGCCTCAATGGTGTGATCGCTCTCGGAGATACCTTAAGGCGCCTGCCACATTGGAGCAATGTAAACAAGCTTGTCTACCAGGTTGCGATGCTATTGAATATTGGCCTGTAGTCAAAACCTGTTATGAATGTCTGGATCACACCATCCGTAGACCATTTACCGACACCTCTGATAGTGTGTATCCACCACACGTGTACATAAAACAATAATGTTGGTCATCATTATCACCAACAACCGGTTAATAATAGCATCATATGATATACACTGTATTGGCGACGGGTTTTGAGTTTTCCTTTCATTTAAGGTGGGTAAAGGAAAAACAGAGATCAGTGAATAAAGATGCTAGAAAAGTGATCAGTCAAGTCAGGTCAAGTCAACCACAATATTAATTAATACAAATCAGTACTTTAAATATAGAAATAAAAGATTGTGAAGGAAAAGAAAATTTTCAAGTTTTGGTTCATTGTGCAGAGTTTGGGACTTCATAAAGCTAATCGAGTAAGTGACCCAAAACATTAATATACGAGTAGAAGGAATATAGCGACAAAATAGTTCTTTTAGATAAAAAGTATTACTTCATTAATTAAATTAATAGTAGTTAAAGATAATATAATCATAAGACTTCAGGAATTAATAACAGTATTATAACCATCAATCATAGAATTCTTGATATTTGGCGAAAACATGAAAACGGCTTGATTTTCCGCTTAAAATCAATAGATAAAGAATTCTAAAGGTTGATACCAGTGTAACGGAGAGAACGAAAGCCGTATTGAGTGTTATGAACCGATAACAGACAGATTATCGTTCTGTGATTGACGTGTATAATAGAGTGAATGGAAGATATACTAGATTAAAATAGTCCACAAAACAAGAAGGGCTTAATTTATGGTACCACTGATAAACAAAAGAGAGAACTTCAAGATGAATAATAATATATTAGAGAATTTCTTTTTCAGTTTTGAGCAGCAACTTCTTTCTTAAATTCCAATTTAAACTGTAAACAACAATTCTTTCGAAGGCTCAGCTAGGTACATGCTCCCCAACAAATTCAACCCAAATAAGGCGTAGTCTCCAAAACGCCGACCACCTTGAGCAGTTTGGAAACTTCCGTAACAAGGGGACACCTCTAGGACGCCGATGCCTGACACCCCTAGCATGTAGAAATCCAGCAATGTGAGCAATAATTTGTTTGTTTTGTTTTGTTTGAACAAATTTATTCTATCTCTCAATAAGTAGTTGAAAAAAAGCAAAAGGTAAGGTGCAAACTGGACCTCAGTAAGTCTCATGCAGGACAATAGTCCCAGCTTAATCATTGAAAATCACCCTAAAAAACCTCAAGTGTTATTAAATCATTGTGGCCAGTGGCAAACACATTTACGTGCTAGACCCCATGAACATGGTTTATCGAGGTCGAAACATTTGCTTATTTTATCTTTGTACAATTCAGTCATTCTATTCTTAAAAGCCTGCTTGATAGCCACTGGGTTGAACTAACTTCGATTTGTTGCCCAAGCAGCCTCAGTTCCAGGCAATATCCGCTTCAGTTGTACAGAGCGTTAAAGCGCGGCAGCCTGGCTATTTATTATGTCTGAGTGAACAAAAGAGGAGGCTGTTGTCCACCGCTAATTAGCCCGGGGAAGTGTCTTGAGACTGAACTTTCAGTTATCAAAAAGGCAAGCAATTTACAATGTAAAACTAAAACCGCTACCAATTCACCATCCCCACAGAATCGAAGACGCTTGCTGTAGCCCTCATAATGGCAGTTGCACTAATCACCATTCTAGCACGAGTTTGACAGTCTGCATGTGTACTTGTTAGTTGTTATGGTATTCCTTCAAAAGCTATTTCCGAGATTTCAGCGCCCGTTCCACTGGACAAAGGTAACGCGGACGATTGGTTCCTTCACGTAACGCACCACCAAGAATAACTGGCTTGAATAACCTGTTTGTTATAACTGAATTCAAATCTAATAAACTATTCATATTTCTGTGAGACTCGAGTAAGGTCTTCTAGCTTAGCGATGCTGAATCCTGTAGTTCATGATCAGCGCTTTACCGCAGTTAACTACCCACTCCACTACACCCTGGAATCATTAACTATATTTATTTATGAAATAACTGAGATAGTACGCGTGATCTGATTGGTCATAAACCTATGGTTTATTATACCGGTAAACCCTTAGAAAAAGGCATCCGGACCACGAGCCATAAACAAAACCGGCTATTGATCTGCAAACAACGATTTTAGAAAGGCTAAAAAATAGGACAAGTTACTTACCCAACCCTTCTTAATATTAAAAGCGGTGGTTTCCACATTTTATAACTGAGCCTCACAATTCGCTACTGCCATAGCTTTAGAAGTAATAAAGTACAAAGCTGGAAAACAGTTTACATTTCACGACGATGCCAATCGCAGAGAAAGACAACAACTGTGTGAATTTCTGGTGTAGAAAGTCTCTAGGAAAACTTAACCATGTGCCAACCAGCAACAAAACGGATAGTTTTAGCATTCTTGATTTATTTTATGTCAAAATTAAATTCCTTAATGAAAGAAATTGTTCCAAAAAGAGATCTCTGATCAAGATATGGTACAAAATCGGCCGCTGTAGGTTGTAAACAAGCTGCCAACGATGATGAAAGATGTCAGAATTTCGCGCTGGTTTTTTCCAACATTTGCACAAATTATTCAGTGATATCCATGCAATAACCTACCTCAAACCACCTGACTTCACGAATCGACAAATATTTACGCCAATATGTGGCTACGGCAAAGAAACCGTTCTCCACCACTGACATATTTCCATCGGTCGCTGTACGTGCATATAAAGTTACATGCGACAACTTCGCAAATGCAGCCACGTTGTTACCCCAGCATTTCTTGATCATAATAGTCCAGGAAACAGATCTCAAACCACTGCAGCTTGTAAAAAGTGAATGAAGTCCTCCATTACAATAGCTGTCAGTTCCGTCTGTAACAATGAAATTCTTACGGATCGACTCAACAAAATACAGCTGCGTACAGTCTGATGTTCAATTAATTTCTACCTCCGTAGTAAACAAACCATGAACGTATTCTTTCATTATATGTTCGCATGAATATGTGTTGACTTTTCCTGTAAAACAGCTTTCATAAGTTATCATGTAATGAGTGCAAAAACTCGTGTTTTGAAGTGCTGTCGTTTGTTGTTTGACTGAACTGAGTTTTGAGAAAGTTCAACGCTATTAAATCGTGAGTCATGATTGGCTTAGGATGACTTTAGAGAGAAGACGTGACTTGATCACGGTACTAGAACCATATGTTTTACCTAAAACACTCCATTCTACTAGAAGTTATTTTATAAAAGCAATAGACCACACTTTCTATGGGTTTACCGGCGTGATAACCAGCTTGGGATGTTGGGAGAACACGAGAAAAGCTTGTAAATCACGAGCCGAAGGCGAGTGATTTACAAGCTTTTCTCGTGTTCTCCCAACATCTCGCGTGGGTTATCACGCCGGTAAACCCATAGAAAGTGTGGTCTATTGCTTAAATACACTGCATGTCGTAACTGATGGCCGTATCCCATGCGCATTAGACCTGTTTCAAACGTCGTGCTACTACCGTGCCGAACTGAATTCGTCTTTAGTACTGCAGCTGCACGACGTTTGAAACCATTAGTTTAGCCACGTAGTCATCAGGGTCAATTATATATCCTTCTAAAGGAATCAGTCACAGACAATGCAATAACATAGGACGAATTGATAGTCATGATAAAGTCATTATCAATCCAGACGCTGATTGAAGAGAGTCTTTAGATTCATTTTCCAGACAAATTTGAAGTTATGCTTTCAATTATGCCTCAGTTTGCGGCCTGATTCAGTCATAAGGCAGGATATGTGAAACTGAAAAGTTTAAGAGCTCTAAGCGTGTTTCCCGGAGTTTTTGTTCAAGCTTTGGTCTGAATGAACGCTGAATGAAGCAAAGGACTACTGGAGTACTCACCTGCAGCTTACGAAATATACCATGAAATATAGCTTGACTAAATTCCATGACCTCACTGTAATTTTCAGGGAGTTGTAATAACTCCTCCAGTGGGGCTAATTTAACTCCTTACAGTGGAGTTATTTTTCGTGGAGTTATTTTAACTCCAAAAAGGAGTTTAAAGAACTCTTTCTCAGGAGCAAAAGTGACCCCAGATATTGAGGAGTTAAAATAACCCCAAAAAAGGAGTTATCCTGTACCTAAAATTTTTACTCCACTTTCAGAGTTAAATTAACTCCAAAAAGAGTGAAAATAACCCATGTAAGGAGTGCAAGTAACCCCATTTCGGAGTAATTTTAACTCCAGACTAGGAGTAAAAAGAACTCTTTTTCAGGAGTAAAAATGACCCCAAATTCGGAGTTAAATTAGGAGTTAAAATAACCCCAAAAAAGGGGTTATCCTGTACCTAAAAGTTTTACTCCATTTTTGGAGTTATAATAACTCCCTAAAAATTACGGTGCTCCCGTGCTCACACCAATAACCTGCGATCAGGCGGTCCTTTTTTCTTTTTTGTCCCCCCAAAACGGGCGCCTGATCACAGGTTAACATCAAGAAGAGGTGATATTGTCAATGGCGAAGTTGACAACCGATAAAATCATCATATAACGCACTGACTTACTCCTTTAAGTGGGAGATTTGACATCGACACTTAAAGTATCGCTGCTTTTCGAGAAACTATGCTTTATGAGATTGTCTGAAATGACCTTTCCTTGAAATCAGAGTTCAGGTAACATAAGGCAGTCTAAAAGCTGGTGGAGACCTTCCACAGAACATATACGCACTAACGGGGTCTAAGTCCCCAATTTTTCTTAAACAGTAATGTGGCTTCTTTCACGTTCCACAAGAATCAGAACAGTTAAAGAGCCGTGAAACGGACCAGAGCCCACAGCTTTTCCCCCGTTTGGAAGAAAACGTAATTGTTCAACCACTTGTTGATGTGCGAACAATGGCATGTACAATAATTTATGCTCAGTTAATTTAAGACCCTGAATGTTGGTCAGGCTCTCACTCTCGGCCGGCCTCCCCTTGCCTTATCATTCCTCCCTGTCTAACGCACTTCCCTACTTCGCAATTATTAGTATAGTCGAAAGACTACAGAGTTTCAGGCTACTTAATAGCTCTCCTCAACTTTAAGGCCTAATTAATAGAAACTTTCGATGACAGCCAGGAAAAGAGGAAATGTTCGGCAAAAACTGAGGTCAGGTTTCTGAGAGTTGAAGGTTATTAATGATATCGTTATACGGGACACGTCCACAGAAAAACATAACCACTGGAGGTATGAGACTCAAGAATTGCAAAGGTCGAGTTAATAGTCTTTCATTTGTTTCAAGTTTAACATTCGTTTGGTTTTAAATACCAACGCTCTAAAGCTGAATGATGGAGACGTCAAAGACGCGTTCGGTCTTTAACACTCTAGCCTTTTCGTCAATAGTTCTCTCCATTGTTTGTTTCATGGCACTGGTTCAGGTTGAGGTCGAACTTCACGCTCATCGAAAAATGCTACAAGTCCTGACTCACCACAAAGAAGGAATTGTTTCGCCAAGCCAAACTGGAAATAACGAACTGATTGCTTTCCCGCCACACGGCTTCTCGAGTAAAGGTGAGTGCCAGTTTGCTTGCGTTGGTTGCTGAATAAATCCCCATTTAAACAAGATAACATGTTTACTGAATTTACAAAAGTGAAAAGTAGAACTGAAGAATACTACGACTACTACTTCAGGAATAAAACAGCCTAAGTGCACTTAGTTCCGTAATGAGTTCAGTTATAAATATTGGACAAAAGTCAGAGCAGGGGCATCTTATATAATTGATGTGAAACTATTGAACAGTCATATACAGTTGTGTACATAAAAACTTTAACATGTTTTTTATTTTTGATGTGAATAAGGCATAAAAAATGGTAAATGGGCTCCTTATTTCGTTAATTCATAACTATTTCGTACTACGATATTAAGTATATATTAGCGTTTTGAGAGTGTGCTAGTATGCTAGTTGTAGAGGGCATAATATGCAACGCATGTTGTTTCTTTCTATTTAAAAGTACGCAAAAAATGGGGTGTTTAATATTACATTATCGAGAGGAAAGTTTCAGCTGTGGCGGTAGCACGTGCTATATAGTGATAACTTCCTCTTTAGCTAAACTACTGACAGGAAGTAAAAGAAGAGATGATAAAGCCGGTCGGCTACACGAGGTCAGTGGGTATGATACATTTCCTCATACCAGCAAGATTTTATTTTTACCAAGGTCTCGTCCACACGTATCCTAATATTTTTGAAAACGGAGATTTTTTCTCTATTTAGATATTTAAAAAACATGAGTCCAGAGGTAGTGTACTGAATTGTTTTTCTCCTGTTCAAACGAAAGTACAAATACGATAGCATCCCTGATAGGACATGCTCTGTATGATGTAGGACATCGCGGTATTTATTTGAAAACCTCCGTTTTCTCAGCTTTTCTTCCGTCAACAGGTCGTCGTGACAACAACAGATGTGTAACATCACGTCCGGTACGGTAGCAAAATATGTAGCCGCATCAAGTGGAAGTTTTGACAAAAAAACTTGAACCCCTTTGTCTGAAAGTATATCTTCTGCCCAACTACAGGTCGAAAGCCGAGATGGAGTCAAAATATCTGTTATTTTAACCAAAATTCTTTACAAACCATTAGTTATTGATTAAAAAAGAGAGAATGGACACGGGTAATGATATTCCCAGGATTGACCTGTATTTGAAAATAGCTATGCGAAAATACACATAACAAAGAGTGCGGCAGTGATGCTTTAACTGAAGAAACAGGGATAAAACCTGAAAAATATTTGGGGTGATATTTTAACTCACAAGAGTAGGAGGCTAGTATTTTTCTAAAATCTGGTTTTATCACCCAGCGTGTTAATTATTTAATTGCAGAAACACTCAGTCGCCACAAGCGTAGCTCAAAAAATAAAAACAAGAAATCAAACACGAGTGTAATAGTCAGCCGTGACGACATCAAAAGAGAAGTTCAGCTGGCCCTGAGTAGCCTGGCCTGTAAGGTAAACTGTCCTAGAGGAATAAGGGGAAGACGAGGAAGGCCTGGTGCCCCAGGCAAGCATCGTCCTCCCGGACCGCGTGGACCCCAAGGACCTAAAGGAAAGAAAGGTACTCAAGGAGATCAGGGTCCTCCTGGACACATCATTATCCATCACTACCCATCACTGTCCATCACTACACATCACTGTCCATCACTACCCATCAGTATCCATCACTACACATCACTGTTCATCACTACCTATCACTATCCATCACTACACATCACTGTCCATCACTACCCATCACTATCCATCACTACACATCACTATCCATCACTACACATCACTGTTCATCACTTCACATCACTGTTCATCACTTCACATCACTGTGCATCACTACACATCACTGTCCATCACTACCCATCACTATCTATCATTACACATCCCTATCCATCCTATCCATCACTACACATCACTGTCCATCACTACACATCACTGTCCATTACTACACATCACTGTCCATCACTACACATTACTATTCATCACTACACATCACTGTCCATTACTACACATCATTATCCATCACTACACATCACTACACATCACCATCCATCACTACACATCGCTTTCCATCATGATCAGTACCAATCACTATCCATCACTTTACATCACTAAACATCACTGTCCATCACTACACATCACTGTCCATCACTACAAACCACTGTCCATTACTACACATCACTGTCCATCACTACACATCACTATTCATCACTACACATCACTGTCCATTACTACACATCATTATCCATCACTACACATCACTACTCATCACTACCCATCACCATCCATCACTACACATCGCTGTCCATCACTACCAATCACTATCCATCACTTTACATCACTAAACATCTCTGTCCTTCACTACACATCACTCTCCATCACTACACATCACTCTCCATCACTACACATCGCTGTCCATCACTACCAATCACTATCCATCACTAAACATCACCTTCCATCACTACACATCACTGTCCATCACTACACATCACTGTCCATTACTACACATCACTGTCCATCACTACACATCACTATTCATCACTACACATCACTGTCCATCTTACACATCACTGTCCATCACTACACATCACTGTCCATTACTACACATCATTATCCATCACTACACATCACTACTCATTACTACCCATCACTATCCATCACTACACATCACTGTCCATCACTATCCATCACTACACATCACTTTCCATTACTACACATCATTATCCATCACTACACATCACTACCCATCACTATCTATCACTACACATTACTGTCCATCACTATCCATCACTACACATCACTAAACATCACTGTCCATCACTACCACATCACTATTCTTTTCAAAGGTTGAGGAAGGCTAAAAATTGGTAGCTGACCGTTACTTTCATGTACATTGAAAACTAGTTTGTTTTTTAAATAAATTACTAGAGCAGCGAGTTAAGAACATGCTTTGATGCCGCGCAAACTCTTATGAGGAGTAAACTAATCAACCAAGAACCGACCCAAATCTGTTTTAGTTTTTCTTCGTCTTGCCTGTTTCCGAAGTACAAGTTGAAGGCGCTGCTGTAAAGGAAAGCCATGTGAATGCAAACGATTAACGGCTTTGATTGCTCAAAGGCATTTACGCTTTCTTTGATTGGTTATCCTTCCACCTGTAATAAAAAGCTGTACGCCATTCTTATTGACTGTATAAGCTCTTCTCACATTTGAAAATAAAGCGTATAAATTTCTGCAAATAACCTTTGCAAAATAAAATTCTCGTGTTACGTGTATTAAGTACTTTCTATTGGCTGTAATAATTATATTCTCTTTTTCGACAAAACGTGATATTAGGCAGTTTCGGCTTGTAGTCGGCGTAGAAATGTACGGAAAAGCGTGATGCACGTGAATGCCTAATTTCACCTTATGGAGGACGTTGATAAGCTACGACGAAATTTCTTTCTTTTTCTACTCATGAGTGCGGTCCCCAAGAAATCAACTCTAGGGAAATTAATTAAAGTCTGAAAACGTGCTAATTCATTTTAAAAGTGACCTTTTCGTTGGCGTCGCCATCTTCACGGTGTAGTCGTGCAAGCACGGTAAAGAAATGTATATAAATGAGTGACGCACGTGCAAAGTTGATGTCTTGCGTAATAAAATTAAACCCGTATTGCTTCCTCGTTGCTGTCGCCGTCGTCGTTGCTGGGAGCTTTAGCAACGACGACGGCGACGGCAACCAGGACGTCAAAAAAAAGCAATAGGTTTATTACGCAAAACAACAACTTTGCACGTGCATCACGCTTTTTTGTACATTTCTTTACCGTCCTTGCACGGCTACGACATGAAAATGCCTTATTACAAGTTTTATGGAGGACGTAAACAAGCGACGACGAATCTCTTTTTCTCTCTCTAAACTTGAGTGCGGTCCTCAAGAAATCAACTCCAGGGAAATTCACCTACACTTGCCATTTTCAGCAAATTGGAATAAACGCCACAAAGATTGAAAAAACGGGAAATCATTTTAAAACTGACGTTTTTGCTGCCGTTGCCGTCGTCAATGCTAAAGCTCCCTGCGCGAACCGAACCTCGGTTTTGGCATACCCCTAATAACCCAATATCACAATGAAAAATAATCAATAAAACTTCTTATTTCAAAGTAAAAGGCACATAAGTACATGATTTTTGTTGTTGCAATTTTTGTTTATTTTTTTTCCCTCACGTATAGGACAAAATCCTTCAACCATAGGGAAAGCCAATACGGTATCATCAGTCAAGTTATGTAATGCAGTTACAGCATGTTGAAACTGCCAGAGACCCCAGTCCTGTAATATTATTACAGCTTAACCCATTCGCTCCAGGAGATTTTGCCGAAAAACGCGTTTTGAAGCTAGTCGAGTGGTTTTCTGGTCACTGTCGTGCTATAAAGAGCTAAAACTTACCACAAACCGGTTTACAGGTCGTACACTTGGCGGCCTTCTGATCCAGATGCAAAATATCAGCTTGCGAAGTTCGGGCATGCGCAGAAAGCAAAATTTCGACAGTTTTTGGGTTTAAAAGTGACACAGCAGTCTTGACTTTTACTTTTCGCTTTCTCTCCTCCCTTCTTTTTTCGCTTTTCTTGCCTCATTTTTTTTTCTCTTGCTGGGCATTTAGTAGGCTTCGTTTTGGTGGGAAGAGTTCTTAGGAAAGCTTTTAGGATCTTAGGATTAGGTGAAAGGAAAGGTAGGTGGGTAATGGAACAAGATTTTCATGGAGATTTTCAAGTCCTTGTCACGTGGTTTTTTGCTTCTTTCTCCGGTGTCCTTGACTGAATCGTGCTCATTCTGGTATGGTTTGAAAGATCTCCTCACTCTGCACAAGTTAGCGAAGAAAGTTGTCCTTGACCGTTAAAACTGATGACGTCACAAAGGGTAGAAAGGACCTGGATCCGCACGGGCGGTTACGGGCGGTTCAGGGGCGAATGGGTTAAAGCTATAGTAGTCGTTTTTTAAGCAAAAAGAGCATGTTTATTTGGAATCGCTTTTTAACATTTTTTTCTTTTCGTAAACACTTTTGTCTTTATTGTTTAGTGACTAGTTACAGAAACATTGCTTAATATTTTTAAAGGAAAGTGGCATGGCCACTCTGGATAACAAATCTGAAAATGGCTTATTCTTTCTTGAAAAAAAAGGGGGATTATTGCGAGTAAAAACTTGCAAGAGGTGACAGGCCACACATCTTCACCGGCGTGAAACCTTTGAAAACCTTTTACATATTGCTCCATTGCAGGGGACCTCTTTCAGGGATCTTACATCTTACAGTTGAAACTTTGAACCATGATATAGCTTATATATAGTGGACCAAGATACAGCTCGGTACAGTTTATGTTCAGCAAGGGAAAATTGTGTAAGTTGAGCAGAACCTTTAAAATGTACAATAGACAATTTGTTTAGTTCGCGCGTATTGATTTGGTAAGCGTTTATATATCCCCCCTGGTTTGTTTGGAGGATCGAAAATGGTGCGGTTTGATTGGTTGCTGTAGGTTCGATCTGTGTTTTCTGAAAGCTAGGTTGTGTTTTTTTATAAAGGTTTACCGCACCATTTTTGATCCTCCAAACAAACCAGGGTGGATATATAAACGCTTACCAAATCAAGCAATACGGAATGGTTCAGAGTTCACCTCAACCATCCCACCACATAGCAACTGATGAGAAACGTAAGATTCCAAACCGCCGGTCTTGCTTGTAAACTTATATTTAACTACAAACATTATGTAGTGGCACAAAGAAGCCAGTCAATTGATTGGTAAAAAAGCAACATGCTAATGATATTGAAAAATATCGAGCTTTAAAATACTTTCCTCTGATATTAACACTACAAGAGACCTTTACCAAGCGATTGAGTTTTAAAACGATATTCAAAGGACACAGCATCATAATGTATTTAAATAATGCTTCTACTAAAGCCGTAATAAATATACACAAAACCAGTGTTAGATCTGGATATATTTAAAGGCTACCTGCTTTGTACAGCTGAACATTGTTCTCTGAGATCGCGTAAACCTAAACATTACGGAGATATTAAAAGCAGATACCCTAAGATAACAGCAGCTATGGAAAAATTATTATATATTTCAGTAGACAAATCACATAAACGGGCCACAAATTCAACTGGAATACGCGCGAACTAAACAAATTGTCTGTTGTACATTTTAAACGTTCTGCTCAACTTACACAATTTTCCTTTGCTGAACATAAACTGTACCGAGCTGCATCTTGGTCCGCTATATATAAGCTATATCATAGTTCAAATTTTAAACTGTAAGATCCCTGAAAGAGTTGGAGCAATATGTAAAAGGTTTTCAAAGGTTTCACGCCGGTGAAGATGTGCGGCCTTTCACCTCTTGCAAGTTTTTACAGTGATGTGCAGTGATGGGTAGTGATGTATAGTGATCGGTAGTGATGGACAGTGATGCGTAGTGATGGTTAGTGATGTGTAGTGATGGATAGTGATGTGTAGTGAAGTGTAGTGCTGAATAGTGATGGATAGTGATGGATAGTGATGTGTAGTGAAGTGTAGTGCTGAATAGTGATGGATAGTGATGGACAGCGATGTGAAGTGATGGATAGTAATGTGTAGTGATGGACAGTGATGTGTAGTATTGGACAGTGATGTGTAGTGGTGGATAGTGATGTGTAGTGATGGACAGTGATATGTAGTGATGGACAGTGATGTGTAGTGATGGACAGTGATGTGTAGTGACGGACAGTGATGTGTAGTAGTGGACAGTGATGTGTAGTGATGGATAATGATATGTAGTAATGGACAGTGATGTGAAGTGAGGGATAGTGATGTGTAGTGATAGACAGTGATGTTTAGTGATGTGTAGTGATGGACAGTGATGTGTAGTGATGGACAGTGATGTGTAGTGATGGATAGTGATGTGTAGTGATGGACAGTGATGCGTAGTAATGGACAGTGATGTGAAGTGATGGATAGTGATATGTAGTGATGGACAGTGATGTGTAGTGATGGATAGTGATGTGTAGTGATGGACAGTGATGTGTAGTGATGGATAGTGATATGTAGTGATGGATAGTGATGTGTAGTGATGGACAGTGATGTTTAGTGATGTGTAGTGATGGACGGTGATGTGTAGTGATAGACAGTGATTTGTAGTGATGGATAGTGATGTGTAGTGATGGACAATGATGTTTAGTGATGTGTAGTGATGGACGGTGATGTGTGGTGATGGATAATGATGTGTAGTAATGGACAGTGATGTGAAGTGATGGATAGTGATGTGTAGTGATGGACAGCGATGTGTAGTGATGGACAGTGATGTTTAGTGATGTATCGTAATGGACAGTGATGTGTAGTGATGGATAGTGATGTGTGGTGATGGGTAGTGATGTGTAGTGATCTATAGTGATGTGTAGTGGTGGATGGTGATGGATAGTGATGTGTAGTAATGGGTAGTGATGTGTAGTGATAGGTAATGATGGATAGTGATGGTAAGTGATGGATAGTGATGTGTAGTGATGTGAAGAGATGGATAGTGATGGATAGTGACGTGTAGTGATTCCTAGTGATGGATAGTGATGTGTAATGATGGATAGTGATGGATAGTGATGTGTAGTGATGTGAAGAGATGGATAGTGATGGATAGTGACGTGTAGTGATTCGTAGTGATGGATAGTGATGTGTAATGATGGATAGTGATGGATAGTGATGTGTAGTGATATGTAGTGGTATGTAGTGATTTGTAGTGATGGACAGTGATAGGTGGTGATGGGTATTTACGTTGTGATGCATAGTTATGTTGAGTGACACATAGTTACATGTTACATGAAGATATTTTAAGCGGTAAGAACTACAACTAGCCACAACTGGAACTAGGCGAAATAATGGCTAAAAACATAGCAAAAACAGCAACAAGACAACTCGGAGGGCAACATCTGCTATTTGGAGGATACTTGCGGAGCTGGACAAACCTAAACGTAAACTATCGAAGATAAACTTAACATCGATGCAGGTAAGCTTGTTTTAGCTATGTTTTTAAACTAAGAATTATTTTGAATGACTATTGACATTGCTATGTGTAAAATAATATTAAAAAAGGAATACTTTATAAATAGTATGATCTATCAGATGTTAAAATTTTTCAAAAGAATAATTTGAATTTATCCCGAGATGATCCTAAGACCTTTATTTGCTTTGAAGATAAAAAAATACAGGTTTATTAATATTTAACTCTTTAAAACAAAAGAAATTAATTTTTAACTTTTTTTGTTAACCGTAACTGAAAAAAATTAACCGATAGCCGTAAAAGATCCAAAATTTTAGCCGATAACCGTAAAAGCCACCACCCCATTGAGACCCTCCTCTATTGTGTCACCTCCGGTGTCCATGGTGGTAAACGAAACTGGTATAGCATCACTGCAGTGTAAGGTCAAAGGAAATCCAACACCTCAGGTCACGTGGATGAAACAAAATTCCAGTCTTCCTTTGGACAAACGAATTATACAATCACGTGGTGGACTGATGATTCGTGATGTGACGTCACAAGACGGAGGTGTGTACACATGTAGGGCGAGAAATATTCTTGGAGTCAAGACTTCATCGGCCACATTAGCTGTTCAAGGTAATTCACTTCCCAATTTTTATGTCCCAGTAGTCTTAATTCACTGTAATACAACTAAACAACTAAAATACTGTTACAGTACTAGCAATAAAGTATATTGCACCTAAGCTTCGAAAGAGCTTCGGGTCGATCTCTTGAATATGTAGTTGTTAGAATATTTACTTGCACAAACATTTTGTACCCCATGCTACTAGGCCCCAGAGGTTGTCCAGAAAAGATCGCTATCGTAAGCGGAATCCTAACTCATCATCATCTTCATCATCATCCTAGTCGAAAATTATGACGCTGTGATATTCTAATTACGACTATGACTCCGACTCCGTCGCTATAAAAAACCAGCATTAAAACAAAACTGTAGCCTCAGACTTCACAGAGGCGACGGCCTTACGCTTGTTACATTCAATGAAAAACATTTTTGCTCACGAGTATGAAATTACTGTATTGCAAGGTTAACTCAAAGAAAACTCCTCATGGGTGCCTCAAAATGATCGGGTGATATGCCCTTTCGCGTTTATTAATTGCAGTTGCTGCCTTGATCACACAAAAGCCCTCCTCTGTTATCGTTGAAGAAGGAGAAAACGTTACACTTGTATGCAAAGCTACTGGAGTGCCAATACCAACGGTTACGTGGCGAAAAGCATTAGGTACCGTGCCAAAAGAAAAGACTGCAGTGATCGATGGGAACATGAGCATAGTAAGTGTAACGAAGGCAGATGGTGGGACATACGCATGCTCAGCAAAAAATCTCCTTGGAGAAGACGCCGCTGTTGCCTTGGTAGCTGTTATTGACAGGCTCACATTTACTCTGACGCCTCTAATAAAGTTTGTAGCCCCTCCGTTAGGTAACTTGATGCTCAATTGCCAAGCCCAGGGATCCATAGAGATTTCTTGGAAGAGAAAAAACAAAAATCTTCCTCAGAATCACGTTTAATATCTTCCCAAACGGAACTTTATTTCTAACTCAGGTGACCACAAATGATGCTGGTACTTACACATGTGTAGCTAAAAATTATCAACGAACAATTGAGGCATCGTCTACTGTTGAAGTGCTAAAGAAAACGTCTTGTAGCGGCATTAAATCAGGCCTCAGTGGAAGTTCATCAGGTAATTATATGATTGACCCTGATGGCAAAGGAGGCGTGGCTCCGTTCAGTGTGTATTGTGACATGACTGACAAGGGAGGCGTTGGTGTGACCGTTATAAGTCACGACAGCGAGAGAAGAACATATGTTGGTAACATTCCAGGATGCGAGATAAGTAACCCTGGTTGTTACAGTAAAGATGTGACTTACAATGGAGTGAGCACCGCTCAGCTAGCAGCACTCACCCGAGTGTCACAGAACTGTGAACAGTTTATCAAGTTTGAGTGCAGCAGACATGTAGGCTTTGTATCGGAGTCGGTTGCCTGGTGGATGTCACGTGATAGAAGGAAAATGAACTACTGGGGAGGAGCAGGTGGATCAGCCAACACGTGCGCATGCGGAGTAACAAACTCTTGCTCAAGTGGAAAAAAGTGTAATTGTCACAATAGTAACAGGGGCTGGACAGAAGACAGCGGTCTACTGACGGACAAGTCTGCATTACCTGTGTCACAGATAAGACTGTCAGACCTGAATGATTCAGGTGAAGAAGGATATCATACATTAGGAAAGCTCAAGTGTTATGGTCAGGCATGACAGTTCCTTTTTTTCGTGCTTTTCTTTGCTGAGAGAGCACAGATTACTGGCGTCGGAATGGAAAACGACCCACTGAAATACGTTGAGTTGGTCAGTGATCTGAGAACAACTTTAAAACTGACGGCCATTTTCCAGACAGCAGTGTCTGAGTAAAAAAACTTAAAATGGGAAATTTCAGGTTGTCATTTGTTATAAATTGCACCCCGGCTTTGAAATAACAAGACGAAAACTTCAGCTCTGGCGAAATAGTCGAAAAAGTTTTCACCTTTCCCTTCCCAATATGCTTGAGTAAGCGCACTCCCTCGATCCTTTCCCTCGTTAAAAGTTTTTACATGTCTACTTTTATTCCTTAGGAACACATTAACAACGTTTGATATAAAAATATTGTTTTAATAAGGCCTTGAACTGCTGTTTTTTTAAAGAAAGAAAAATGAAATCCAAACTTTCGTTGATCAACGGCATCATCGTATCAACGATATCCTTGATGATGCCGTTGATCAGCAAAAGCCTTCCGATTTACATATCTATTTTTTCAAAAACAGCAGTTTAAGCCCTCGTGAGAACAATATTTTTATTTCAATCATGCTACTGAAGGACAACATAAACAGATTAACCTAATTGCTGCAATAGTTTTCTGGCACGTTTGATGTAACGTAGAAATGAAGTAAAATAAATAACAAAATTTGCGAACAAAAAGTGCAGACTGGCACATTTATATTAAGGGTTTTAACCCCTGCTGTAATTCATACGGATAAAGAAATGCCCGTCGTTTTTGGCGATTTAATACGAACTGCTAAGTTTCTTTAGGGGCCCTTTATATTAGAAGATTTACGATATTGTTATCAAAATCCTACAAATTCACATCAACTGATCTGTCTGCTGAATGCAGGTGGTAGCTCCGAGTCTTCGGCATTCTGATTGGCTATGTTTTAGCGGAGTTTACGGTACCACACTTACTTTTGCTTTAGTACCCAGAGTGGTCTCACCCTTCCCCGTACTGAAGACGGCTCCCGGATGACTTTTTGTTAGCATACAAAAAGATTAAGCTCAGTGTATTTGTGACATATCTTCTTTAATTAACATACGCGTAATCAATGTGGCTTTAATTTAACAATTAAGCAGGTTAACAAAAGAAAGATCTCCTCAGCAACCTGGAGGACAGCCGAGCCAGGTATAAATCAACATGCGAAAACAGGCTCAGATAACATGCTTTTGAACAATAGCAGCTTTCACTACGTCCAGGTGTATTTTTTATCTGTCTTGTTACAAGTTTTTACTGGCGTTAAAGCTGAAAACTACAAACCCTGGCGTCTTTGTTAAAATATCTATTTTTTCTTTTGACCCTGGGGGAAAAGGGGAGAGAGAAAGGGGGGGGGGGGTTACTCCGTATAATGGCATAATTAATGGTCTATGCGGAGAGGTTCCGCCCAAAAGGGGTACCTTTTTCAGACTTGAGGTATATGGAAGGGTAGGGATGTCAAGAATGTTATATATAAAAGATAACGAGATCAGACCTCTGGACGAAACCTCCCCGTAAATAACTTCGTTGAGAGCCCCCCGGGCTTTTGATTCACCTCAACATTGAGCTCCACGCCCACCGAATTCACAGACTCGACATAACAGAGAGAAGAAAATACCCACCATTAACTCGCACTGTGACCGATTAACCGATGGCTTTTAACTGTTGCCTGGGCCTGTTTCAAACGTCGTGCTACTGCCATGCCGAACTCAATTGATCGAATTAAATTCGACTTTAGCATGGCAGTAGCTCGACTTGGTTTCAAACGTCGTGTTACCGCCGTGTCGAACTCAATTCATAATATAAAAACCTTAGAATACATATAAGAGTTTGCTAAACCGTTTCTTTATTTTTGTGATTTGTTTTCGGCAACAGCCGTTCTATTGGACTGAATTAAATTCGACGTCTGAAACCAAGTCGTGCTAGTGTCGTGCTGCAGTCGAGCTGCAGTCGAGTCAGCTTAGCACGGCAGTAGCACGACGTTTGAAACTAAGGCCTTAGCGGCACTGGTAAACAAATTTAGACCTGTTGCTTCATTTTGCATTGGAGCTTTTTGTCAAAACAGCAAGCATTCCGTACTAACAATGGTGAGATGAAAAACAAGAGGTCTGAAGATGACCTTGTACCATCAGCTTAACTATTGTTCTCTTTATTTTTAGCTCATGGATGACGTAGTCATGCCATGGGCTTTTGGAGGCACTCGAATGGCACTCGATCACTCACTCACTCACTCACTCAGTCGATTTCATAAATTATTCATTAAAGTCCGATTAAACACGTTACTCCTACCTCCCTTACTTAGTATTACTTTTTTTCCAAGTGCCTTTTAGGTATATGTTTGGAATATTCTAGAGGGTACTAGTAAGGCGAATTTTTTTTCCCGACACATATAGAGATGGGTTTTGTATAAATAACAATATTTTAAAGAACACTGATAATATCATCCGCAAGAAATGGACTTAGAATTGTTAAAAGAACATTGAAATAATTGAGCGTGGATCATTGTTGTATATTTGGACGAATTGTGCACATTTGTTCCCTATATTGTACTTGATGATATGGAGAAGACGCGATCAACAGGAGTGTGAAAGAGCTAATATTGCAGCCTGATGATGGGATTTCGTTCAGCGAAAAGCGAATAAGCCAAAGAGCCTTATAATCACTGCAAAAAAACTGTCCTCGAATTGTTAAAGCGACATTGAGGAGTATCTATTGAGGTTTATTCAGTTATTTGGACGAATCCGTTAGACCATTTCTCTTCGTATGCAAACAGGGAATGAATTAATGTTGTGTCAACTAGAAGCACAGGTTTTAGAACCAACCAGCGTTACGCTATTTTGCTTGAATTCTTAGGTGATCTTTGCCTTAAAGTAGGCTTTTGTTTGTCGGTGATTCCATTTAGCAGTGTTATTAATGTAATTTCTACAAGAAATGCTGCGCTCCTGGTATAAACAAGTCTCTGGCGAAAGGCAATCGGATACTTCGACTGCGTTTAAATTACGTGGCTAGGTCAGAGCACGTACTGCTTTGAGTACCTTTGAGCTCAATCCGTTTTACGTGTATTAAAATAATTTTTAGCTCGTGTTTATCAAAAGCGCGTTCTAAAGCAGTTCAATTTAGCCATAAACGCCTGTATTCTGTATTTAATAGAGCTCGAACTGCATATACTAACCGTTACGTACTCATCATATGGAAACATTTATTTGAAAGCATCGCACTTTTAAAACCACGGTTTAAGTAAAACTCATGTATGTAAAACTTGACTATTTTACAAGAAAGTGCACTGACGTTCGGAAAGTGTTTGACAATCACATGAAAAAGCAAACTATTTTACAACTAAAAAGCGTTAATAATTGCTTTTCAAGGTGATCTTTGCTTTGTAAGTAGAAATGCTGCGCTGATAAAAAGTTTCCAGAATATTCAGGTACACATGCGGTACACATGCAATCGGATACTTCGAGTCACGCTGTATTTTGGCAAGTCCGTACACAATGAACCGTTCTAATTGATTTATATGTTTTTCTTTGCTTATTGAACTGTCTTTTCTACACTAATTCAATTCATCCATGAGCTCGCTCCAAGGAGCCTTTGATTACCCATTGTTTTGCCTTTCCTTTTGTAGCTAAGTGCCCCGAATTTTTCGACGCTATCTTCTCTCTAAGGGTGCTAAAACTCTCGAGGACTAATTTTAGGAGACCATGGCCATGAAATTTAAACTTACTGACTGAAACCACGTAATATGCGGTTGCGCAACAGACCTCGTGGCGCTGAATTTGGCTTAGGAATTGGATACATTGAAGAAAATGCTGCTCGTTAATGCTGGAAAATAGCCAAAACTGAAGGCGGAAACAATATCAGGTTTACACGACACGTCCAAAAGACCCAGCCATCGTAGGCAAAACAAAATTGTACGAGCAAGTTACGTTAAAATTTCGTTTAAGACTCTGAAACTGATTGATGGAGTCGTCAAAGACGCGGCCAGTATCCAACACTTTAGCGTTCTCGTCAATATTTCTCTCCCTTGTTGTCTGCTTTTTGGCACTGGTTCACGTCGAGGTCGAACTTCACGCTCATCGACAGATGCTTCAAGTCTTGAGTCACCAGAGAACGGATAACTTTGGGCCACGTAAAACTGTTCACGATGAACCGATTTCGTCCTTACACAACAGTGACGCGGTTGAAGGTAAGAAAATGGGTGAATGCTTTTTTATAAACTGTTCACTTGCACGGCTGAGACATGGCCCCGAGATATCATGGCCGAGGATATAACGTGATATATAAACTGTTCTAACGAAGTTATTTCTAAAATGTGCAAAACCAACTCATATATAGTCGAACTTCTCATGATCACGCGAGCAGTCTTGGAAAAGGGGTAAGTGAGAGTGCCTAGGTGCAGTCTGGTGACCGCTTTATATTTTACAATTAATAGAGGTTCTATTTATAGGCTGTCACTTACTGAAAATTTCGTCTACTGGTACTCTGGTAACAGCTGTTAAGTAGAGCTCATAAGAAACGATTCGACTATAATAGTAACAATATAGCAACCCGAGGTAGTTTTGAAAATTCAAAAGTGTTTCCTTGAGAAGGTTCCCTAAGTGCTTGGGTTTTCATATACGTGCATTAAGAGGAGAGCCTCTCTATGGGCCGTTCCTGCCGACGTCGTTTTCCTTCAAATCTTTGGTTTTTCAACGAAATTGTCGCATATCAAGAATTGTTGTGAGAGGTAACATTGTTAGCGAGCTCGAGCACCCGGTGACGACAGTGAACTAAACGAGAAAATAACAAAGCAACAGAGCAAAACACTGAACGTGCAGCATACTTAGCTATACTTTTTGGCACGACAAACTCTGTCAAACTTGACCGGAATGCATTATGATCGATCGTCTTTTTATTTATTTCTATAAAGATCATTACGACTACGTACCCATAGAGCGCGAGTCTCAGAGGAAGTATTTTTGAGCATTCGTTTCAGTTGTTGTGCAATGCAAAAGACTTCCTCGTTGTCTGAAAGGATAAAGGTCATTGCATGCAACATGACGTCATAGCCAAGATAGACATGTAAGGATTAAGTTAACATACGATATAGATTTCGTAAAAAAATCAGGAGCCTGAAAAAATACAGTTTGATTTTTACCGCTAAACGATGTCAACAACATTATTTTTACACTAAACAAAGACATAGGAAAGAGTTTAAAATGGTGTAAAGTGCCTGGTAATTGAAGTTTATTCATCTTCTTACGCTTTTCAATTTGTACTCTAAAACGCCCGGTGATTTAGTAATAATTAACAGTCAAGGCGACATAATGTTCTCTTGTACTGTAGTTTAATTGTCATCCTACAAGAAAACGTGAACTAAGAAATGATACTAGCAGCAATTTACCCACTTTACGAAATTGTAATTACATCAAAGATTTTGTGCGGTATTTTGTCCTCCTTATAACTGATTTATCACCATCATTGCCTTTTTCCTTTTAGTTCCGGAAACACACAGTCGCATCAGACGCAACACTAAAGATAAAAAGAAGAATTCGAATACCAGTGTAACTATCAGTCGTGACATAAAAAGGGAAGTTCACCTGGCCCTGAGTAGCCTGGTCTGCCCGGTACATTGCCCTAAAGGAACTAGGGGAAAACGTGGCAGGCCTGGTCCCCCAGGCAAGCAGGGTCCGCCTGGACCTCACGGACCGCAAGGACCTAAAGGAATCAAAGGTGCTCAAGGCGATCAAGGACTACCTGGGCTTAAAGGCGATCAAGGCCCTCGAGGACCCAAGGGCGATCCTGGTCAATCCATCTCAACCCCTTCCATTGTGTCACCTCCGGTGTCCATGGTAGTAAATGAAACCGGTATAGCGTCACTGCAGTGTGAGGTTAAAGGAAATCCAGCTCCTCAGGTCACGTGGCTGAAACAGAATTCCAGTCTTCCTTTTAACAAACGAATTTTGCAATCAAGTGGTGGCCTGATGATCAGAGATGTGACGTCACAAGACGAAGGAGAGTACACATGTGAGGCAAGAAATATTCTAGGAGTCGTGACCTCTTCTGCCACTTTAACTGTTCAAGGTAAATATTTGCTAATCTTATATTACGTGCTCTACACAACCAAATAAAAATGATGAGCTACATTTCTCCGTGGAGAATTCAAACTTCTACGCGATTGGACAAATACCGCGAGTATTTAAAAAAAACATTGTTCTGATAACTAAGAAATTGCTTTCTGTATTTTGGAAGCGTACTAAACAAAAATTTTAGGACGTATCTAAAGGTACGGAAAAACGGGCAACAAAGAATGTAAAACTTGTTTTGCAACATTGTTGCAAAACGAGTTGAATAGCGATGTTGCGCGTTTTACTACCCATGTTCAAACCTGTCAACAATATACACTTAATGTCAGATCTGGAGGCAAATAGTTAGTTTTGTTTTCCCGAGAAACATAAGAACTCGAGGGAAAACAAAACTACTGTCGACTCCCGATAACCCGAACCTTCAAGGGAAATCGAAAAAAGGTTCGAGTTATCGCGAGTTCGAGGAAAATAGCCGAGATTAAGGTAAAAAACAGTTTTTACTGCACAGTGAACATTTTAATCACATTTAATTGTAGAAATGTCAAGTGAAAATTAAAAGATACTTCTAGATTATAAATCAGAACGAAACGTAACAAAAAATAGCCTAAATAGAGCATGCGTTTTACTGCTTTGAGAAGAAAAGCTTCTTCACGTTAGCCTGTGACAATCAACATCAGCCTCCACTAGTAAACCGCATACTCCTACAACACGTCAATAGGAAATCCAGAATTCAATGATATGTTTCGGACGCCCGTAAACGGTTTTTTTCCCGACTTTTTAAGGGCTCAAAACATGGTTCGAATTATCGAGGGTAAAAGTACATAGAAAATGACCTGAGGGGAAACGAAAATTGGTTCGAGTTAGCGGGAGTTCGAGTTATCGAGGGTTCGAGTTACCGAGGGTAAAATTACAGTGAATGTATGACGGAAATCCAGGGGAAATCGATTTTGGTTTGAGTTAGCGCGAGGTTCGAGTTAGCGAGGGTTCGAGACATCGGGAGTCAACTGTAACTGGTTTCCCGAGGGACCTGACATTAAGTGTTTTGTTATATTCTTAGACTTTCACTTCAACAGCAACAAAAAGAATAACCGAAGCAAACGCATTAGTCAATTCCACCGGGCTGACCTCCGGGCATTAGCATTATTTTTGCCTTAGATGGCAAATTCCCGGGGCTGGGGACTCAGGAATTGCCTCGGGGTTGGCCGATGCTCGGCCCCCGGGCAGTGCAAAATTTGCAAATGCCCCATCCCAGGACTGACAAGGCAGGCAGATGCCCCGTAGTAGCCCGGAGAGGGTGGGGGGGCTGGGCTGGGCTGGGCGCAGGTGGAATTGACTGATGCATAACCAAACCAGTCGACTCGGTACTTATAACAAAACAAATCTAATTCTCAAAACTACTGAATGATTGATTTACAAAGTACTTTCCTTATATATTATCTGCATCTTTTTTTCCACTAGCTGCTGTTTCTTTTCTGGGATAACTTTAGAAATCGTTGCTTTTTTTAATAGCTTGAGGCTTCGTGTTTGTGTTGTTGTGTTCATCCACGAAAAAGAAAACTGGAAGTGTTTTTCCCGCCTTCTGTCACGCCACTTTTTCCACCATGCGTTGATCACGTGCTGTAATGTATCCCTAGCAGGTTACATTGCGTGATGTATCACGATCGGGATACATTTGATTTTAGTCAAGGCCACGTGACTAAGAATCAAGCAAGTGAAAGTTAGTTGAGTGAAAGTCTAGGAATATAACAATCTGATTTGTTGCACGACAGGTTTCATGTGGGTGGTATAACGCGCAACATCGTTTTTCAACTCGTTTTGCAACAATGTTGCAAAGTAAGTTGCACGTTTTCTGTTGCCCGTTTTTTTCGGTACCTTAAGTGTCTCATGGTGACCCACAACTTGTGAAGGCCAGTTTCCCCCTTTACATTTACAGGTAGGAACTAAATCGTACCAATTTCACTCTTAAGGACTCGATCAAAGTAAAATTTCTTGGCCACGATTTCAGTTATTTTTCTTGACGAATAAGTAATCATCGTCCTTTCATTACTGTCATTCACTTTTACCATCTCATTCATTTATTCACAGTTAATTGATTGTTATGTAAAACGCTCTTGTACAGCGAAATTTCGGAAGGGGACTAGGGTATTACGCACACAGAGAAAAACAAAATTAAATTTAGGTAGCACATAAGTGGAACGCCCTTTCAGGACGAAGCGATTGTCGAAAGTATTTAACATATTTTCATTGGAGTTTTCATTACGTAATTTTGGGAAGAAAAGTTTGTTTGATAACGTTTGTCTCTTGCAGTTGCAGCACTAATTATTCGAAAACCTTCGTCCGTCATCGTTGAAGAAGGAGAAAACGTAACGCTGCTGTGTAAAGCTAGTGGTCGACCGACTCCCACTGTCACGTGGGTAAGAGCGTTAGGTCATCTTCCCAAAGGAAAGACCGCCGTACTGGATGGGAAACTAACTATACAGAACGTTGCCAAGGCGGATAGCGGAACTTACGCATGTTCAGCAAAGAATTCCCTTGGGAAGGACTCTGCGTTTGCACTAATGACCGTGACTGATAGGCTCAAATTTACCCAGACCCCACCCCTGAAAGTTTCTACAAGGAACAAGAGCAATTTGATGTTGAACTGTGCAGCTCGAGGTACAATAGTAATTATCTGGAAAAGAGCGGGACAGAGTCTTCCTCAAAATCACGTTGTTTATCGCAATGGAACTTTGCTTCTAAGGAATTTTAGCCCAAAAGATGCCGGGTCGTATACTTGTGTGGCAAAAAATGCTTATCGCTCCATTGAGGCAAGAACAGTTGTTAAACTGGGTAAGTATAAATATTTAAGTGAAAATACCCCTTGGCATTTTTAACAGCACACAGTACCAGTGGTTTTACGCTTTAAAACTATAATGCCATCAACTGACGTGATACAACTCACTTTGAGTCTGAAGATGACTACCGCGCAGGTTGTCGAAACGTCAGGCACAGTCAACAACAACAGTCCTATTCAGGACTACTTTCACCCGGACGATCAAACTCAACCTACTTTTAGAAGTTATTATATCACATAACTGTACACTAGTACTCAATGTACCAGGAACTGGCCCCAGTTTCCCAAAAATTTACTGGATTTTTTTCACAGTGAAAAGACGTTTCCTTGAACGTTAATGCTTATTTTAAGTCGTTACTTTTTATCAAGGCAAGTTAAGGCACGGACATTTTAACTGTAAGTTATTATTCTTTCATTAACTAGTCTCAGTGTGTTACACAAGGTAATGCTGAATAGTCGCTGATCCGTTGTAACTTACCTCACTACATGAAAGTTGTGCGACACGTTTAGTGGCTCGATAGGGTTTTTCAGTGTCAATACCTCCCAAGTTTGAGCATAAACTACGTCGTCATTAACAAAGATTTGGAAAAATTACCACCACAGCTGTACAATATAAAGATAAAAATTTGTTATGATAAGGGTTACAATGACTTCGGAGTTGTCATAGCAACGAAATGACGTCATTACCTATTTTACTTGCAGCCGTATTTCTCGGCACTGGGAGCTGTTCTTACAGAATCGTTCACGGAAGGTTTTTCCCCTAATAGTCGCCTCGATGTTCGTGACGTTTAAGCGAAATCTGTAAGAGCGTTATCGAGACATTTTGGGATGAAATTTTTATGGTTAGACTGTAAAAAGTGGACAATCTTGATGTTTGGCCGTTATCTGAAGAAAACGTAGCGCTTTTGAAGTACAATTTCGCCTCACAGTAGTTTTAATCTTGTTAAAGACGTGTTTGAGACATCCTGGAGCTGGCTCCAGCCAATTTCTAGAAAGAAGGGTTTGATTAGTATGTATCGAGGCGCTCATATTAGCGGTTTTGTAAAACATTTTGGTCTGCTTTAACAAATAAGCGAATAATTTTGAAACCGCTCGATATAATTTTTTAAAAAATTGAGATTCTAGAAATTGACCATCGTTTTATATGACCTTTGAGTTTCAAGATTATTGATATCTTGTAAGGTAGTAATAATAATTTTGTGTTTACAATTGAGAGCGTCTCATTATTCAGGGGTTACAATTGTCTCCAAGTTTCATTTTCAAGTGAACAGCAGAAACTAACAATGCATTTGAAATATACAGAAATGGTAGGTATTGTTTTCTACGAAAATATGGAACTTGGAGAAAATAGGCCATTTGCTTTCTTGTGCAAATTAAGGCTTTTGTTATTTAAACCTCACTGGGACTACCATATTTAAATAGGAAAGGAAAAACGAAATAAATTCTGGTCTTAGCAGTAAAAAGACGTCATTGGCAAATGGCCTATACCCCTGAATAACTAGGCCTCTCATCCAGATAATTTAATATTTGCTTCGATTCGTTTTGATAGTTAACCAATGGGTAGATCATACGCCCCAATGGTGTACGTCCAGCTATCGCAGGCAGCTTCAGTATGGTGGTGGAGTCACTTTGGAGCAATGTAAACAGCTCTGTCGCGGATGTGCTGCTATTGAGTACTGGTCTGGGAAGTTCAAAGTATGTTATGAATGCCTGGATCACACCAAGCGTGAATCATTTACCAACACCAAAGATAGTGCGTACCCACCACACGTGTACATACGGCAGTGAACATTATCATCAATATCACAAGAACAGTAACAAAAATTGTCGCAGAACCGTGGAGAGCAATGAAAGGAGGAATAAATAAAATAAATGAATAAATAAAACAGATCGGCTTTACACAATCTGTAAACAAACCATGCCAGCTTGAAGAAATAAACATTTCAACAAAATTGACAGTTAACTAAGAATAAAAAAAAGAAAAAAACGCAGCAGTTTAGAGTTGTAAGTTTGAAACTTAATTTCAGCATAACCATTTTCAATCAACATTGTTTTGTTTTATTGTTGATTTTGTTTTTCTTTTGTTTTTTCTTCCTTTTTTTTGTAAAGTTCGGAAGATATATTCTGCATACATTTGCTGACCAAATGAACAGACCCATCATTGACAGTATTACTTTGACCTCTTTCACTACTTCAGCTCATACTAATCTGCCCGCCAACCCTCGTTCACTTCCTGAGGGTGGTTTTTATAAGTTTCCTTTTTATGCAAATCACAATGGCGAGCTGAGGAGGAGGAGGAGGCGGCTGGAATTCAAGCTAGATAGCTGAAGGATATCTAATCGTCTGGGTCCGGTTGTTCGAAAGATAGATAGCGCTACCCACTGGATAAATCCAGTTTGCTGTAAACCTCTTTCAAGTAGATAACGCAACTGGTTTCCCTAATACTTATCCGCTGGGTAGTGATTTATCCGTTGAATAGCGATATCCGAAGTTTGAACTATCCGGGCCTGATCACAACATATTTAGCAATTATTGAATGAAGCTGAGTAGGATGTGAAGAATAAAGCAGATCGAGGAGGATGTTAGAAAGTAGGTAATATCCATCGAGCACTATGTTTTGTGTATTCTTGCTTTCCTTCCGTTCATTTTGAGTCATAAATGCAGCTATTTCGTCTTCGGATAGCCGTGCATGAACGCCACCTTTCTCAGTTCACTCGTGTATAAAAGCTAGGCCGCCTTGCCTGAAAACGAGGTTGATCGATGGTCTATTGCCCATGCAACCTCGTTTCCAAATCATGCTTTACATCATCGATCAACCTCTTTTCCAAGTCAATATTATTACCATCGAATCGAAGGAACATTGCATGCATCTTCCAAATTTGGTCAACGCCCGTTGGTTATGAAGAGTTAGCCGGGGGCTTTGAGCCAATCAGAAACTGCGAAATATTTTGAATGAATAATAAGAAAGAATGTAGCAAGTGTGATTAAACTGATATGTTTGATTATACAGATATTTGTAAAAAAATAATAATAATAAAAATTAATAAAAAACTATATGCATCTGAGTCTAGTCTTTTCAGCTAGGATCAGTAGGTCTCTACAAAAAAACTGTTTCTCCATCAATGCGCCCGCGATTCTGGCGCATCGCAGGATAATACCTTTTGCCGCCGAGTGGCCCATCACACCAAAACGACCTGCTTAATAGGGAATATTTACCAAAATCAGAATCAAAAACAAAAAGGGGAATTTTTGCAGAGGGTTCAATTCAAGCTTTAACTTTTTCAGTGGGCACGGTCAGTGAAACTAAACTCAGTATTACAGGTTTAAACCAGTAAAAAGCTTATTTACAATACCAAAAAAAGTCAAAGTTGTTAAATAAGCGCAATTTCACAGTCATCCAATTGCGAAACATAAAACCCACAGCATGAAAACATCCAATGTGCTTATTTCTGTTCAAGAACGAGTTTTCAGAAATAAATTTTTCTGCATCAAAAAACCAAACGTAAACATCGATTCGTTATCCCCGCAGAATCGAAGGCTCTTTAATAACTGCAAACTACCCGATCAGATTTTGCACTATTAACAACAAATGTTTCATTTAGTATTAGCCTTTTTTTCCGTTTCATTTTGCGACTCAAAGTAAGGTGGCATAACACTGAAAAAGGTCACGCTTTCCCATAACATTTCAGTTTTCCTAATGTGAGATATCCTTCCTCATTTGAGCTATCCAAGTCTCCCAGTCTGATCTGTGTTACGGGAAGGGAGGACTTATCTGTCAGCAGACCGCTGTCCTCTCTCCATCCACTGCTGTAGCCTCCATAATCGCAGTTACACTTTTCACCATTAGAGCACGAGTTTGTTACTCCGCATGCGCACATGTTAGTATGGCCTGTTGCTCCACCCCAGTAGTACATGCGTGTTCCATCACGTGACTCCCACCATGCATAACTGGCCTGAATAAACTGAACATCATTGTTGCATTCAAACTTGATAAACTGTTCACATTCCCGTGAGACTTGAGTGAGTGCTTCTATCTGGGCGATGTTCACCCCAGTATAATTTACCTTTTTACTGTAGCAACCCACTCCACTGCAACCTGGAATGTTACCAACGTGGGTTCTATTCTCACTATCGTGACTGATGATTGTCACGCCCATTCCTCCTTTGTCACGCATGTCACAATACACGTTGAAGGGAGTCACACCTCCGTCGCCACCAGGATCGATTATATAATCTCCTGAAGAGCCTGTTTTTAAGCTGCTGCAGGACGTGGGATTGCGCACTAGAGAGGTTGGTGTAACGGCAGCTTTTATGTAAAAAGAGAAAATAACCATCAGTGATGTGTTACCGTTTTCCGGGGAAGGAGCCCATGGGTATTCCCTCCCGAATTCCCCCACCCCAAGGCGGTGTAAGGCATAAAAGAGATGACCAAAATCTCAGACGGTTGTGATTTTAAAAACAACAACAATTTGAACCGGGGTTGAAAATAAATTTCCACAGTCAGAGTCATGAAGGAAAAGGTCAGCGGGAGTGCTCTGTGGAGCCCATATTCAAAATAGCCGTTCCTCAGGCATCGTGGAAGTAGGGCATCTTAGATAAAAATTGGCTGGGAATTAGTTAGGAATATTAGCTTGCTAGTGATTATTTCTACCTAAAATATTTTTGGCTGGGAGATGACACGCCACGCCGGCTTCCTGGCTCACAGAGACTCTGAAACGCATCGCTGGGAAAAACTTTAATTGTGTTTTTATTCGCACTTCTTATGTTAGCGCCTTGCAGTTAACGTTCATGGTAACGTTATCAAGAGTCAATGTTCGTTGTTGGTCTTGTTATCATTGCTGAATAAATAGGAAATTACCTATACTAAAAACTGAAAAAGCGGTATAGTATATTCACTTCACTTCAACGTCTCACAGCATAAGTATTTTGAATGTCTAGTTTTCCTTTTAAGGCTGCTTCCTCTATTTAATATTTGCTAGGCGGAAACAATTTCATTACCTTGCACAGTCAATGTGGCTGAGGACGATACTGTTCCTAGAAAATTTCTTGCTTCGCACGTGTACAATCCACTATCCTGCGACGTCACATCCACAATAATTAGACCATCACGTGACTGGAATATTCGCTTGTCCGCGGGAAGGCTGGAGTTCTCTTTCAGCCAAGTGACCTGAGGCGCTGGATTTCCTTTAACTTCGCATTGCAATGAGGCTATACCAGTTTCGTTCACCACCATTGACACCGGAGGTAACACAATCGAAGGAGCTGAGATGGATTCACCAGCATCGCCCTTGGGCCCTTGAGGGCCCTGATCGCCCTTAGGCCCAGGGGGCCCCTGATTTCCTTGAGCCCCTTTGTCGCCTTTTGGTCCCTGCAGTCCTCGAGGACCCGGCGGTCCATGTTTGCCTGGGTTACCGGGTCTGCCTCTTTGTCCTCTGGGACCTCTGGGGCATTTTACAGGACAGGCCAGCTTACCCAAAGCAATTATCAGTCCTCTGACGTCATCAGGATTGACAGGTTTGCCTTGTTTTAAGATATCACTGTCATTTCCAGCAGAACGTTTATGACGAGTGTGTAACAGTTCTGCAAAAAAGTAATGGACACGATTTTACATAAAGGATTGTTATTTATTCGTTCGAAAGTATATTTCGAAGTTTGAAAGCGTTTTCCTCTTTTTGTTTACCATTTTACCAAACTGACATTCTAAAGCAGCTGTAACTGTCACGAAATTTATCAGGCATTTTCCACCAAACTATCAAGTGAAACAATGTAACATTTCAAAATTAACATTATCATAAAAGACGGTGACAAACCACACGAAGCAGACACAATCGTCACAGCACAAGCAATATAATTAGCACCGGAAGAGAAGAACAAAGCAAACGACACAGATATGTCTATGTTCTGCTGCAGCTGTACCAAAAAAAAAAACAAACTAGAGGGAGGCACGGATGGATAAACTTCAAAGATTTTAATCTTCTTAAAAACGGATTTTTAAAAACTTGTAATCTTAAAGGAATTCCAGTCATTGCAACGTGTGTTTTTTTTCAGTGTTGTTTCCAACGTTTGAATTGACTTGACACGAAGCGCTTTGTACGTTAAAATCTATAGCGACCTCCCCGCCCCCGAGGCTACTCCCCATAATGGCCTATACGGGAAGGTTCCGCCCGAAGGGGGTACCTTTTTCAGAAAGGCTAGGGATTTCACTAGTTGAAGTACGTATATGAAAGGGTAGCGGGAAATCTGTCATTTGCGTCCAAAGGCCCAAAGGGATGACGGATGCATTTCATGGCTGTAAAAAGTAGAGATGACGTTCTCTTCCTAGTTTTGTGATTTATTCATGAAGACACTGCGTTCAGTAAAGCAGTTAAAAGGATGCAAAGTTCTAAACTAGGCACGCGAAAGGGGTAACATTTGTCAAGAGCGACAAAGATTTGATTTCGGTTTCCTTTATTTCAAGGAAATGTGCTGCGCGTTGTAGAATGGTGGTCAAACTGAAGCGGAAGCTATTAGGCAAAAGGCGAAAAAGGGACGGATTGTTACGTTACAGCCTCGTAAAAGATGACATCATTGATATCAGTACATTTCGTAACGCACTGGAGCGGTCAGCTTACAGTTTCAATAGTTATGATAAGCGTTATATTTAGCATTCAGATCATGGAAGGACACTCCTTGTTCCTACTTGTACTTTAAAATTTTAAAACTTAAGAAAGAAGAAGTATCTTTAACTTGACCACAGTAAAGAAGAGCTTTTGTGATAAAAACAAACGCAATACTATCCTTATGGCATGGCCTGATTCAAGCCTGATTATTCAGTAATTATCTCAGTCTTACCTTCACCAGAGTCGCTACGCAACGATCTCAGTACAACCGTAATCGGATCCACGTGTTCAGGATTTCTTGGTTTGTTCTTTTCTTCTCTTTGCCGTTGAGTTAAAACTTGAAGCATTTGTCGCTGAGCGTGAACTTCGTACTCTAGATGAATCAACGCCACGAAACAAACAGCAAAGCAGATAAATATAATTGAAAAAGCCACATAAATGTTACACGGGCGAATCTTTGAGATCTCCATGATAATTCGGAGGTTCCTTTTGAACCGTAAGAGAGAATGACCAGCTCGAACAAACCTCGGCGGCGCAGTTCAGCGAATGTATTATGAAAAGTAAACGTGCTGCGACGATGAAAAAGCTTTTAATCCTCTCTTCCTCTTTGACATGACCTTGTCACTAGTTCATTTCCGTGCGTATTTAATTTCACTGAGAGATGGTCCACTGGAAGATTTCCAGATGTCTAATGGAGGGTTTAAGTCTGACCTGCATTAACCCACAAAGCCCAAATACCCACATACAAATCACTCTCTTGAGTGATCATCATGATACATTTCCTTTAAGAATTAGTTGGGAGAATTTGATAAAAGATCAATCCTTTGTGATCAATTTAGTAATTCTCATATCCTTCGCTCTTGATGATGCATTTTAGGAGAACATTGATATTGGTCACTCTCAAGAGTAAAATGGTTAATACGAAATCAAATGAAAGTTACATACAAGCCCAGACTTACAAGGCTCGATTTTGCAACAAAAGATAGTTACAGCCACTCTCGCTTAGTGGAGATGGGGCTGACTCGTCCCTAGTGATCTTCGCGTAACGCGTTCAGCGCGCGCAGGGGGTGATGGGAAGGGAAAATTCGACACAGGATTTCCAAGTCGTCTCTCTCCCTCGCTTTCCTCCTTCCCATCACACCCCGTTCGCCACTAGGAAGAGATAGTGAGAGACGACTGGGGACGAGTAAGGGGAAAGGATACAAAAGAAGAACAAGAGGTCTGAATTGGACCCTCCCACTTCCAACCCACCCAACCCCTAACCATTTTTCCATTTGGCCCTTGCTATGTTTTTCCTCGGTTGCAGTTGTCACGAAATGTCAATATACCAGGCAGAATGCTCCAACATTAGCTGCAGCTTTAAACATTACAAATACTTTTACACTAAAAGAGGAATGAAGATGTGCAGTAACATTGTATTATGACCGCTTTTTGCGAATCTAAAAATTGCAAACATTAAAACTGTATGAAAATAAAGAGTTTTAAAGAGATCAGCAAGGGACACGCCCTTATTGAAAACCCTGATATGCTAGTACAGTTTAGAGATTTACTTCTCCAAACAGCGCGTAGGTCTACCCTGAGAACCAGAGATTTTCTATCGCGTGCGGCCTGACGCTTCGGTGTCGGTTGCATAACCTTTAACCATTCCTTAGAAAGAAGAAACCGCGCGCAACATCTCTGATTCCCAGTAGCAGCTGCTCGTAAGGTGTCTCCTCATTGGTCGCAGAAAACAATAACGCAACAATGTTTACCATGGTTCCATTGTTTTACGGTCAGGGTAGCAAACCAATTGGCTTTTAGGGTTACGAGAGCTACAAGCGGAGCTTTCCGCCCCAGATGTCGAGTCCGCGCCGAGAACTAGCAACAGAAACTGAGGTAACTATGATGATTTGTAAAACAATCCTAATTTATTAACAATTTGCGATAACTTTGAGGACCAACACAAAGTCTCTTCATTTTTGTTCTACCCGTTTCATTTTAAATCTTGAGCGGGAGATTAATTAAGGAGTTCAATAGAATCAAATCCGCGAATAACCGAGAGCACATTTCTTTCCTTGCTGGCACATTAATCTGGTGTGCTTCAATTACATGACATAATTTAAACCAGTCTTTTCAATAATTCCTCTACAGTGCCTTTCAAATCTACGTGTTAATTGTCACTTTCACAATAGTAGCCTACTACTTATTTATTCGATTAAGCGCCCAGCCTCGAATTAGCGCCCACCTCGAGTAACCGCCCATCTTAAAGGCAGAAAAAGTTAATAAGCGCCCACCCCACCCCACTCCCTCCCACAAAAACTCCAATAAGAGATAATAAGAGACCCTCCCAAAGACGGAGTTTTCTTCAGAGTATTTTACAGAGACCTTGCTTTGTTGCATCTTCGCTTTTTGTAATTTAGCATTTACTGTTTTGTTGCAAAATATACTACTACACTAGATGAGAATGGTGAAAATTTAATAAGCGCCCAGCCCCGAAAAACCGCCCACTCTCGAGGTCAAAAAATTTAATAAGCGCCCATGGCGGTTAATCGAATAAATACGGTAAGTCACTTGGGTAAACTGTACAAAAACGTACGGTGAGAATGAAGAACTAACCTGTAGTCTCTAACGAATGACTCTTGGGGAAGAGCGTTGCGAGACGACACAGAGAACGTCGTCTGTGTATAGGAGACGAACTACTGCAGCATGCAGCGCAGGCAGGCATAACATTAAGGTGAACGATCGACACTCAAGTTTTTCCTGTTTGCGATTGACACTTTAGATTTTATTCCCAGAGGAAGGAAGAGAGGTAAAAGCTGGGATCAAAGAGGGAGGGCATAAGGCTAAAAGGTGAATTCTTATCCTTGTGCACCCATCCCCGACCCCCACCACCCAAATAAAATGCAGGCTTGGATTGAGAGAGCCAAAAGGGAACTGGGGCGGAGCACCTCATCCCTTGCTTCCCTCGTGTACTATACTATGACGGCCCAGTAATAAGTTCACCACGCGCAGACGTAAGAAACTGCTTATACAGTTAAACTCCAAGGCGTTTAGCATGAAAGATCATGAAAGGCATCTCTTCAAATTTGTCTTCTTAGCCTTTCTTTCTCTGCTCGATAGCCAAAACTCTTTCGTCAATGGGAGTAAATAACTTAATGACGATATTTTTGAATATCAATCCACGTTCTCCATTTTTTCAGTTCGATAACTCCATTCTCAAGCACTGCTACCATAGAGACTGTTCCATTCCTCGAAGAATTTCAGAGAGTGTGGCGAAAGACTGGGTCGAACAACTTTCAAAGAGTTCCTAAAGTCGTTGTATTGGATGTTCCGCACCTGAAAGAACCAACAGTTTACCAGTGAATGAGTGTCTAGTTAATATAGTAACTGCAAATGCCATCTCGGTCACAGTAGGCGACTGATTCCCGAGACCCGGACGAACTCAGACCGGCACGAGTTCGTATTGGTCTTCACACATTTCTTTTCATGCGTTTACACGGGACCGGCCTGAAAATAAACTCAGACCGGACTGACATCGTCTCGGTAGCTGACCCGACGCGAGTTACTTTCGAACCGGACTGAGACCCTACCGTTCTCATGAAAAAAGGGGAATTAATCACAGACCGGGTCTACAAATAGTATGTTTCCTTGGATAGCTCCATCATTTTTGTTGATTTTACTGATAACATCAGTAAACAAGACTTCTAAATTAAACCTTTTCTACTGGTCTCGCCCCGCGTAAGGGAATCCAGGACAGTCTAGGATTCTGGCTTCCACGCTGTGGATTCTGGATTTGATAGTAGAACTTGGATTCTGGATTCCAGTCGTTTTGGGATTCCGGATTTGTTTACTTAAATTCAGGATTCCAAAACCCAGGATTCCGGATTCCAATTTTTTTCCGGATTCCGGATTCCACAAGCAAAAATTTTCCAGATTCCGGAAGGTACCGACAATCGGGCAACAAAAACGTGCAACTTGTCTTGCAACAATGCTGCAAAACGAGTTGAATAGCGGATGTTGCGCGTTTTACCATCCATGTTCAAACCTGTAAACAACCTGATTTGTTGCATGACAGGTTTTATAACGCGCAACACCGCTATTCAACTCGTTTGCAGCAATGTTGCAAAACAAGTTGTACGTTTTTTGTTGCCCGTTTTTCCATACCTTTAAGATACTCTTCGTTTTTGTTGACAAAAAAATGTAAGATTTAATAGTAATGACCCACCTTAGACGCATCGACAGACTGTATTTGATCAGGACGAAGGTCTGAGAAACAAAAAGACCATATTAATCACATTCATGAATCGTCCAATCAAAGATTAGCACAAAATAACTACTGAAGTGATTTCTCACCCCGGATAGGTCCAAGTGCTGCATCGCGAGCAAGCGCAGTAAGGTCACTTCCAGAATAACCTTCGGTTTGTCTAGAGGATAGTAGAGAAAGAAAGGAGCCGTTAACGACAAACAGAATCACAGTCCCTAAGGTCTTCATGCTATCTAGATGAAGGTCAAGAAATGAAGAGCTGTAGTCCAACGTTTTTCTTCAACATCCCTTCGCCTTAAAATTAAGGTTGTGCTCTAAGAAAAATTGAAGAGAATTCACTGCTCTATGCTGGTGTCCAGCATAGGATTTCAGTACTGAGATCCTTCCACGTTTTTTCTCGACTTTTGACATGGACAAGTTACGGAAGATGTGTCGTCACCACTGGAAACAGCGCCTTAAAAATTGCTGACATTGCCAAGTTTGAAAGTAATTTGTTAAAAACTAACGAAGATATAGCTCCTCGAAGATGCGAGATTTTACAGACGTCTGTATGGTGGGGGTGGGGGCACAAACTTGCCCCCCACCATACAAACGTCTGTAAATTATCACAACTTTGCACAGCTATATCTTCGATCTCTTAAGACGTATCACTTTCAAACCTGGCCCGGGTTGCTCGAAGCATGGTTAGTGCTAACCAGCATTAACTACCATGGAAACCTATACATTTTGATACCTCTTAACCAACGGTTAGCGCTAACCAGGCTTCGAGCAACCGGCCCTGGCAGTTTTACTAATTTTAAGGCGCTCTTTCCGGTGGTGACGACGGATTTTCCCTAACTTGCCCATGTTAAAAGTGGAAAAAATCCGTGGAAGGGTCTATTAAAGATAGTACGCGCGCTCTGATTGGCCGAGGGGAGAGTTTACATGAGAGTATGTAAACATGGTTGTGGCGTCAAGTTGTTTGGCTTTTCGCGGGCTAATCACGCAAGCACGAATTTGAAAAAGTTTTCGAGTTCAAAACTCGAAAAGTTTACTTTATTTACCCATTCCTTCGTCGGCTGAAACATGGAAAATCGTTACAAAGGTGAGTCAATTTTTCTTCGCTTAAGCTGACATTTTAAGTGAAAAAAATCCGTATTTTGCAAAGCATCTTTTTGCAAAACAAGAACTGATTACGCGTGCAAGACTTCGTGGACAAGATTTTGCGACTGGTAAGAATTTCTCTTTTAATCAGGGCCATACAGAGTGTTTTTCGTTTTTTCTCGGGAAAGTTATTTTATAAAAGCAATTGAAAACGTTTTCCGTGTTTGCATAGCCTGATATAAACACGAGAGGGGTTGGGAGAATTCGAGACAGTTATGCAAATCCGAGACGAAGTTAAAAGTTGAAAAAATCCGTGGAAGGGTCAATTAAAAAACAAAAATTTCTTAGTGGCCCAAGAACAAAAGTAAGGCGCCAGGGTCTAATTGGCACTGCTAGAGCACGGCCTTAATTAAGTCATTTTCCTTTGCAACCACGAGACAAGGCGGCCATGTTGGGGGGTCAGCACAAGAGAATTTTTACATGAAAATAGAGTTTAGTTCCCAGAGGAGAAAATGCTTTTGCTCTTGACCACCAACATGGCCGCCGTGACGTCACGTGCAAACCAGCATTACCCGTTTCGTACATACATGATATAACAAAAACGTCATCTTACCTGGATAACGTCTCCATTTCCGCTGAGCTTAGAGGGTTGTGATGCTTTACCAGAAGCTTGGACAGAAGAACTTTTCTTGTCTTGAGTTAAAAACGAAAATAAAGAGTTTTTTTTCTGTTTTTCGGGTAACCCCGACGTGTTAGGATCATAAATACGGTCCTGCGCTGACAACTTTTAACGGCTTCCAAAAGGTAGTAAAGTTGTTTAAAGAAAATAATTATAACTGCTTGCAAAACATTTTAAGGACTGGACGATATCTTTTTCACTCGAATTTTTTTCTTTCTTTGACCGAAAGCTAGATTGGTGTTTAACTTGGGTTAAGCATGTGAACATGTGAAGGGTGCTTATATGCTATTCGGCAAACGCATCCTTTAATGAGGAAGCACTATTGTTGATATTTTTCACGTAATGACAAACAAAGAATCTTGCCAACATGGTCGACAAAATTCCACACTTATTAGAGTACAATGGCAATTGAAAAAAAGAGAGCAATTCATTAAGAACAAAAAAAGCAACGGAGATTTGATCAAACCTCTTTGTCCGGAAGGGGTACATATACTCTTTTTACAAATCGCCTGTAACCAAGAAATATATAGAGATTAGAAAGTCCGTGAATTCTGAAAATGAAACTCCAAGGTATTTGTGGATTCAGCGACGGGGAGGCGGGGGAGTTAACGCCTTCGTCTTGGATTTTGTTTATTAGGGGAAATTCTCAGGGCCTTTATTTTTGCACACAAAAGCTTGCGAATTTCTGAAATCCGCAAAATTGCGTTTATGCGTCCAATATCTTAGTAGGATGGGTGGATGAGTGAAGAAGAGTGAAATTACAAAGTTCGTATCCAGCATCCTTGATAGACCTACCTGAGAGCTGCATCGTCTAATTCTTGTGGTCTGTTAGTAGCTCCCATCACTAATATTCTCTCATTAGGATCAGCAATTACCTAAATAAAAAAGAGAGCCAATTAAGCCCGCAGGCAAAAATCTGATTCAGCCAGTCGACAAATAGCCTGTGTACAGCCGCCCCTCACCTCAAAAAAATCGGAAAGGAGCTCCTTTCCGATTTTTATGAGGTGAGGGGCGGCTGTACACAGGCTAGTCGACAAAGAGCCATTTGAGCACAATCTGAGAATACAGCAATATCAAATGCCTACTTTAGCTCACGCTAGGGCTCAGTTCAGCCCTTGGATTAGACTGTATCAGCCCTGATTAAAGGACGCAAATTAGACCCCAAAACTAGTACTGTACTTGCAGTTTTGACTTGAGAATTACGAAACTCAAATTTTCAACCCTTTTAAAAACACTTACGAGAAAATTAATCGCGGTTGGAAAAACCAGTCTTGGCCTTCAAGTGCTAAAAGAATTGTGCTGCCCCAGTTAGAAATATCCTGCAGGCTGCAAGATTCAAGCCCGTAGCCCCACGCTCGTAGATAGTGTTAGGCGGAATTAAAGCTCGTATACTTGTACCATATCTACAATGAAGTTTTTGCACTAACCCCATCAAAGGAGACTAGAAATTCTGTTTTCATTCTTCTGCTATGTTCCTGTTCACCTTCTTTTCTTTCACACAGTAACGAATCCACTTCATCTGAAAACGTAAATCACAATAACTAACAGTTTGTAACTTGTTTGGCAAAAAATTAGCAAGCGAGTATGATGATTCATCCCATGAATAAGGTAATCCAGATTCCGGAATCCGGGAAATTTTCTCTTGTGGCACCCTTAACCTGGGCTATGAAATCCGGAATTCAGCTTCAGTGGAATCCACGTTCCACTGGATGGGATTCAGAATCCAGTATCCTGAATTTGGAATTCATCGGCGTGGAGCCCATAATCTAAGATATACCACTTATTAACCACTAGTAAGGTCATTACAGGGAAATCTCAGACTTCGGTCTGAGATTTCCCTGTAATGGCCGAACGGACAAGATTAATAAGTTTTTTGTTATGGCCTTTTCATTATGGACCTGAGCCTGCGATCAATTAAAACAAACTGATCAGCGCGTAACTTTAAAAAACACGCCAGCCCAATAAGTTGTGCACTTAGGCCCCTGTAACAGTCAGGTGACACTGGTCAGCGGACACCCTTTTTGACAGCTGTCAATTGATCATAACATGGATGTCCATAAGGATTTCCACTATCAAGTTAAACACAGATTGTATATGCCTTGGACACCTAGCTAGTAATGCCCAGTCATTACAAGAAACAGCCAATCAGAGCGCGCGTACTATTGTAGCCATATAATAGTGTCTTGTATTACCTTACATGATGAAGTACATGTTGGGCTCTGTGATTGTAGAAGAGGTGGGTCTTAACGTGTCTGATCTCGAAAATCGAGCACGGGCTAAGCCATCGCACCCAGTATTTTTACAGAAAAGAAACCTTTCTTTATTTGCATTTCTTTCTCTCCCCCAAAGGCAACGTACTCCTTTGGAGAATTCTACAACCAAAAAAGTGTGCCACCCAAGGGAGTCTGCGCTTTGTGTAACAGAAATCGCAAAAAGCGACCAGCCTGAAGACGTCTAGGATTGTGTTCGCCTGTACTTTTTATACAGTAACCGCACTACAGCAACACCAATTAAAAAATCGGTTAGATTTGACGTACTTCTGAGTACGAGTGTGTAGAATTGAAGGGTTCAATCAGAGGGAACATGATGCAAAACGAACACAAAACTAAAACTCAGCCGATCGCCTTTGAAGAATACTCAGGCCTAAGGCAAACGTCTAACTTTTCTTGAGACAAACCAAACTCTAATTTGATTCGACCTAAATTGAGTTAAGATCGTCTGTCGAGTCTGACGTCGAACTTATGACGGGTCGAACCAATCAACGGAATCAGACAAAATAACAATTTCAGCCGGACATAATAAATTTTCTCCCGAATGAAGCTAAATATACATCATCACACAGTGTACAAATTATTACTTTATTAGTGTAATTCGTCGCATGTGAAGATCGACGTTTGTCCTGGAGCCGATCTTGAGACATTCTATCAATTTGCTCGATCCAAACTCATTCAGACGAACTTAACTGTGCCAGACGTCTTAACTCACTAAGTTTGATTCGTCTCATGAAAAGTTCGACGATTGGCCTAGGCTTCAGGGTCTGAAGTGATAAGGAGTTTTTGCTTACCAATAAATATAATACTTGGTTGAAGCTCTCTCGCGACAGCAAACAGAGCTCGGACAAGCTTTTCACCTTCACCAACCTAAAAACAAAGTGTACTCATTTTATTACCCATAAAACTCAGAAAGAGATATATTGAAAGAAAGGTAATATCACTAACTTCGTCACCAGAGAATTTTCTGACAGTATTATAAAATCACTCATATACAAACACTTTACTTTTACATGTGACTCTCAATTGCATAGACACTTAAAGCGTCGGATAAATGACTTCACAGGTCTGTCCGCCGAACGGAAGGCGCGAACCGCCATGGGATCTGGGGTTGTCCTTAACATCTAGAAGCATCTATTTTAAGTTACGGCATTTTCAATTCCTTTTTTATAACTAGAAGAATTTCTTCCAAAAAATCAGTCTCCTTCCACCAGGGATTATTTTTCTAGTTTCTAGTATTCTCTCCTTTTTCTAGCCACAGCCCTACTTTCACAGTAAAATGAATTAATTAAATCAAAACTTTTACCCATTTTGAGGTCAGCGAGGATGCACTTATATTGAAGAATGTTGCTTTCGATTCACTTGCAACAGCTTTTGCCTAAAAACAGAAAGCCATACTAAAAAAAGGTTTTCTACAAGCAACAAGAATGAAACATAACAGAGAGCGCAGCGAGAGTATCTTATTGTTGTGAGAAACCAAACAAAACTTAAGACACCTCTAGCACAACAAGTACATGACAAACCGGTAATTTCTAACCAATATACAGTTGTAAATACAGTTTTGCTACAGTTACACACATAAGCATATTAAGTAATAACCATCTTACCAAAACAGTTTTGCCAGTAATTTTGCCAGTTACGATATATGGGTAGGCTTCTAATTACTACGATACTTCTATGAAGTTATATATGAGGGTAGCTTTTTTAGTTTTAGCATGATAATTACATAATACATGTAATTAGTTTTCTTACCAACGTAGTTTTACCATAATAACATAACTAAAATACTATTATTATGAAGCTTTCTTACCAGCATAGTTTTGCCATTTCCTGGAGGACCAAACATTAGTAACCCACGTGCAGGAGCTCTAAGACCAGTAAAAAGCTGTTTGGAAACAGAAGGATGCATTAACCGTTAATTATTTCTCTGTCACAGGAACAAAGGAATGTACTAAATTTTCCTAACATAGTTAATTCTACTGTCTGTTAATAATTTTGCACAAATGGCGCATAATACAATGTAAGCTATGATTTAACTTTATTGCTTGGAACATAATTTGCCTTCCTTAGTTCTGTAATATAAACAAACATATCAAATATATCAGATAGTGGCTATTGAACAAGATTTGGCATGATAGTAAACATACATGTACACTGGTATAAGAGAATATAAACTGAAGTGTATACAGCAGATAAAAACCACACTATACTAGACCATAGTACAAACATTGAGGGCACTTTGAAATTACTCATACAAGATCAAGTTAATAAGTGAGAATAAGGCTACAAGAAAACATTGGAATATTCAACATTCAAGGGCCCCAAAGTATGAAACTGTAATGGTGAAAATTCTAAAACCTTCTCTCTTTCCTTCCAAATCAGTTAAAAGCCATCTTGTCAAAGATTGTTAGTTATTTGCCCGGTGGGGGGAACTCCCATATGAAACAGACGGGAATGATGGTCGTCTCGCCTAGGGGTGTAAATTTTGGATTTTGGTCTCGCTTACGGTGTTCCGGGCAAAGTGCCAATATTTTAAGCCGCTAAGGTCTCGTTTAGGGTTTCGCGAAGAACTTGAGATTTATGACAATACTTTTAAAAACTACTTTTAGATAAAAGCATTCGATGATTATGTCTTTATATCATTAAAACTCATTGCATGTTGTATTTGTGTGTTTTTAAGCGGTCTCTTTTAGGGGTCAAAATTCGCTTAAGCCACGCCCAGATTAGTCTCAGTTAGGGGTCACAAAAAGCTTGAGCCACGCCCAGATGGTCTCCTTTAGGGGTTAAATTCAAAATTTTCGACGAGCATCCCCGTCTGTTTCATATGGGAGTCCCCCCGGGGTTATTTGCACGTATTCTTATTAGCAGTTGTGTCGTTTCCCATAATTATCTGGTAAATTAGTCTTTTGTTAAATTCTGTCGCCTTTCTAATTAAGCCTTTAAATACATTTTCTTCTATAGTTTAATATAATTATAATTTGTTATTAGTTTTCGTAGCTCTTGTGTGCTCTTCTTATATTATTATTTTTATATTCCCTTCTTCCTTGATAGCATAGTAATAGGGTTTTTCCTCTTCTCTTTCGTTCTTTTTCCATTTGTGCTTCAGTATCTTGCTGGCCTTTAATTTATTTCTGTTTAATGGTGATGTCAACTGGCTGCCTCCCAGGCTGCCAGTACTCTAATTCTACATGTACTGTCAATATTTCATTGAACTACAAGAAATACCTCAGGCCTCAAATATGGCAGGATCACAATTTCTCGTAGAAGTTTCTTTGCCCCATCTGCCCCAGCTGTAACAAAAGGGAGAAACAGAACATATAAAACAAAAAAATCCAGTTTAGTTTCAGAATGTGCCTTAACACTTCAAGCATTACATTACATGTCTCACCAATTCAGACTGATTTGATTTTATGCAACGTGTTGCAGGGACAAAATGCTATCATGGAGACCAAGATTTTCACAAAAATTTTCCAGTATACATGAAGCAACTTGTTGCTGTGACATGTCACCGCAAACTGGGGCAGTGATTTGTCATCATTATGTGTTGCACTGACATGTCAGCTAGTGTGCTCTGATCTTAAACCCATGACTGCATATTGTGAGTCCAGCTCCCTAAACATACTGCAATGCTACCTCATGTCTTTGTACTGTAGCCATGATTATTATATGAAACCTACCTATGTCATCAAAGTGAACTGGTACCCCACTAAAAGACAAAACCAAATACAAATGGAGTGTTTCAGAGAATTTCAATATTTATAATCAATATTATTATTTCCAAGAAAACAGCTTACAAAAACAGACAAACATGCCCGACACAAAAATATAAAATTACTAAGAACAACTTTGTACCTCTCAATAATCTCGTCCAAGATGTGATTTGCTAATTTCGAGTCTACATTTTTGAGGTGTGAAATTTTCTTCCTGTGCTCACTAGCTTGTTTGTTTTTTGCGTTCTCGGCATCAGCTGAGGCACCAGGCCTTCCTGGTGGTTTTGTCTGAAAATACAATTTACACAAGGTGGTTCAAATACAGTGGAAACCTTCGTTAAGCAGACACCCTCGCAAAGCATTTATTGATTGGACCAACTAAGAAACAAGACAAAACAGTGATACATGCAAGATCACTGTCTATTAAAAGTCAAAATATGGGTTGTGTATCCCACATTTAGTGCAGAATCTTGCGAAGGGCCACTTGTAGGGGTTAAAAGGAAAAGAATTATAAAAGAGAGAGAACTGAAAAAATTGAAAAAAAAAGGGAGAAAGGAAGGAAGGAAGGGAGAAAATAGAAAGGAACATTTACCAAACAGAAACAGTTTCTCCTAGCTTAGAACCCAAGAGTCTTTGCTTGCCAGGAAAAGTCCTTACCTCTACATAAGCTAGACATTAGCAAGTACATTTGGTAATGTCAAAATAATTATTCTCTTTAAAGCATTTTTGCTGTGGAACTTCTGCTGGAAAATGCTGGTTGAGCTGCATCAAAAAATTACATTCAAAGACAGCAGTTTCTATCTATTCCTTTAGCATTGCTATCTGTAGTGTTCATGCTCACCACTGAAGGATTCTTTCTGCCTGTTACTGGACTCCGCCCAGGAACTGTAGGCCTTGATGATGTAGTTGTCTTCTTTGTTACAGTAACTGTTCTTCCATTAAACTTAGCATTTGAAATAGGTTTAGATGTGCTATCTTTAGCATTTGATGCCCTTTTAGTTGCTGTTGTGCTTTTTGTTGTGAAAGTTTTATTACTACTCTTGGTAGATTCTTCAGATTTAACTTCAGCAGTGACCTCCTCCACCAGTCTGTCAGCTTCTTCTTGATTAATGCTTGAGGCTGATAGCAATAGCGCTACTGTAATAGAGAAGAGGCAGGAATAATTGAAGAGGTACGAAGAATATAAAGGCCCCAACTGACTCTGGATATATAAGATAAACATACATAACCTGTATAGCCTTACCAAAAACAAATATGGGATGATACATAGACGTACAGTACATACTTTATTTGAGTGGGTTTAGAAAGGCAGCCATAGGGTGATGTGGACCTAACAAAGCTTAACCATGTTTGGCCTATACACATATCTGAGAATGGTAAGTGAAGGTAATGATAAAGTCTGAAATGTTAGTTGTCTCAGTTACAGGTCAACATTAAATTCAGGTTCAAATTTTTTAACCTTGGTTGTTCTCAATTTCCTTTGTTTCCTAGCCGTAATTCATGAATAATTAGAGCTAGGAGACAAAGGAAATTGAGAATCAACTTATATAGGTTAAAAAAAGTTAACCTGAATCTTTCATTTTGACCTGTTACATCTCCACCCCCTATCCAGGCTAATCTATGGAAAATATAGGAAAAAGGCAGATGTTACTCACTGACACACGTGCTTACTCAGTCCATAACTACTTGTAGAGAAATAATTAACAATTATTCCTTGAGTCAATAGCCCATGAGGCTGAAGGCCATATGGGCTATTGACTCAGAGGCCATAAAATCCAACTAAAAGGTCCATAATATTGAGACAAAACAACTTTAGCTAGAAAAACGCGATTTAGCCACCATTGTTTTGGTTTTCAAAGCTGGTGCCTTTCGCTATTAGTGGGCTATAAGATATAGCCTAGTAGTAGTTCAACCAATCAGAACGCAGCACTGATAATAGACCACTAGTTGGATTTTACTAATATGGGACCGTTCAATGTGCCATATATTACCCATACCACCCCAGGTACATGTAACATTCAGTTTGAAAGTTACATAGGGTTTCCTTGCGAAAAAAATAACTATTCATTATTTTATTTTGGGAACCTCTCCCATAGAGTTTCCCTCTCAAAAGACAAATGTACATGTGGGTACATCATGTACACCTCTTTTTAGGTGTTTTAATATTCCCCTGAACATTTCTTGGTTTTTGTGATAATTTATTATTAATTAGAGCACAGTCAAGAAGCTACAGTTGTACACAAAAAATGTTGTAATGTTTACATGTAAATTAATTTTGTGAAAAATAAACAAAAAAGAATTATCTTAACATCAACTTGATACATGTATTACTAATTTACATACCCAATTCATCTAATCTTTCTCTGGTGTTAGTCACGGTTGATTTCATTTTATCTTGAAGTCTCCTTGCCTTTTGCCATTCCTCTCCTGTAAAAAGAATGACAACAACAGCTGTCAGTCAAAAAAGACATGTTAAATAGCCCTGTCAAGAAGAATTGGAAACAGAGCTGTGTCTTGAAAACTTCAAGGTCTCAGTGTGATGTGTGTGATGTCGTGGATTGGAGTACAAGACGCGCCGCACCCTCTTCACATTAACATGTCAACAGTAAGCTCGGATGTCAGCATACAAGGGCGCCATTGGCAGCCGCTATTAGTTCATTTATGAGCTTACTGTGACCCACCCATAGCCCATGATATGAATGATGCATAGAATTAAGGTAGACCACACCGCCGGGGAAACCTGCCCTGCTGTTTTCAAACAGTGGTGTGGGTTCTTTTATGTCCCCATCGATTTGACTAATAAAAGAAGGATTAAGGAGACAAGCCAACGGCCTATTGTCACCGCCCAATGACGCGATCATCTGAACTGAGACAAAGTCTCAAATCAGAGCCAGCATGATCTCACCAGCTGTTTTTTTCAAGACCCTGGTTGTTAGTCTGGCCGGGGTTTGAACCCACGACCTCCTCCTGCTCAGCAGACCATTGTTCTCCCAACTGCTAACCAAGCAACATTGCCTTTCTGAATTAAAGGCTAAGGTTGTTGCTTATTTTGAAGTTGTTAGCAAAATGAATAAAGTGCACAGCAATTTGAATATTGCTAGTCATAAGCATTTATATTTAGCAAATCAACAAAAATGGCAGCCTGTCCATGGTTTGTACTCTTATACTTTTGTGGCTGAGGCAATGTATGGCAATGGTTGTTCAATGTACATACATGTACAGTGCATGGTATAACACCTTTCATGATTTTAACCCTGTACATTAACAGGCTCTTTGCAATGTTCACAGAAATTTACATACAAAATCCAGAATTGGGCCTTGTGTCTGACTGTTTTTTTGATTACTTTTATTGGGATTTGCTCTAGCAGTCTGCTTTTCTGTTCAGCTGTTTTGACACTCTAAAAGAACCTGCTGTGCTTCGCTGAGCAGCTACACAGGGCTTCTGATATTTCGCGCAGTCGTGGACGCGTGAAATTCAGGTATTTCCGCGAAATCCCATGAAATTCACCAAAAAAGCGCGAAATACCGCGAAATCCGCCAGAAAAATATTTCCAAATACATGTCGGCAAAACATATTTAATACTTATCTTGGCTATTAGACCTGTTTTATTCACCCCAAATGTCCAAATTTATCTTGAAACTTCGTCACTGCAACGAGTAAACAACGTCCCAAAACTACCAGGCGTTAATAGATGAACGTTGCGAAAAACTGGGTACTAACCATAATGTTAATAGCTTTCATGAGCTTTAGCATTCGCTCATTTCTCAAGCGAACTGTTGTGGAAAGAGCAAATGATTATCCCTGCTACAAAAACTTTAAAAAATGCTGGTCATATCGACGCAAAATTGATCGATTTTAGCTAAATTTGCCCCAAAAAAATCCAGCAAAATCGGGTGTTTTTTACTGATTGTTTTTTGGCGAAGTTTCCCCCCGAAATTTCCCATGAAATCGGTCGATTTTTCTTGGAATTTGCCTCTGAAAATCCTTTGTAATTTGACTTTTTTCCGCTAAAATCCCGCGAAATCAGCTGATTTTACTGCGAATTTTGACTTTTCTCCCGCGAAAATCCTCCGAAATCAGTCGATTTTTCTGTGAAAATCCCGCGAAATCGGCCGATTTTTCCACGAATTTGCCCCTAAAAATCCCACGAAATTTTGCTTTTTTTTGCACGAAATATCAGAAGCCCTGACTACATGCATGTAATCTCCACATATTTGGATGTTTCCTTGGACGGTGTATTGGAAAATAATGCAGATTAATTTGAAAACCCACAGTGAGCCCAAGTCCCTCTTCAACACACATGGAAAATCAAATTGGTGGATAATTACTGTGTACATGTATCTCCTTGAAACAAACATGATTGAAAGACAAAATCTGTCATTCCATCTCTAGAAACAAGACACTTGTCTTGTGTGAATCAATGAAGAAGCAACATTTGAATATACTATGAGTAAAACCAGCCCAAGCGTGCGATCAATTATTCAAACTTTTGGTTAACATCTGTGGCACTTTTGGCACATCACAGCTGTTTTGTAAATTGCATGAAACTTTTGTCATCAAGAAACCCACTGAAGGTCAAGCTTTGGTCCAGAACTATTTCTCTTAGGACAAACACATGAATACAGCAGGTTGAAGAAAGCATAAAGTGAAGATTCTTTGTGAGTTGGAATTGAATTCAAATTTTGGTTGTATTTTTTCATGGGAGTCACAAATTGCCTTGTTTTTTAACTTTTTTAATGTCACAAATGCATAGCTACGATGTTACACTTTGAGGCTGTCATAGGTAGGGTGCCGCTGAGTACCTATTTTCTCGGTGTTTTAATGACCCTTCAGATCATGCTTGTTTGTTTAACTCATCTGAGTGAGATATTATGTTCAAGTGCTCATTTCTCGCAAATCCCTGATTTATATAACTTTTTGTATCATCTTGAAGATGAATTAGTGGGTTTTAATGTGATCAGCTGCCCCTGGTTTCCCCTGCAGCTGTTACAGCTGTTTTTGATTTCTTTGTATGATATGTGGAGTTAGCTTCAGTTTGTAAAAAAAAACTATATTATGAGAAGATTCAGCCATACATCAGTTTGTTTTTGTACTTGAAACCAATTTTTGTCTTTTTGGGAGCATAATTATTTTGACACATTTGATTTCTTGCTTGTGTGTCAGTGAATGAGGCTTATAATAATAATATTGAAACAGTGTGCAAATTCCCCCTTTCTGTTTCTTGGTGTTGGAGCTTTTAATTCTGTTTAGCATGTTGGAGTAGGTTCCTAAAGAACTGTTTCTTGTGATTTCTTTTCTTTCTAGATTTTCAAACCCACTCAGGGTGATGCCAAGCAGCTTTTTTCCTGAAAACAAAAGATTACTTATGATTGTTATAGACACAATGGTTTCTGAGGTCAAGTGTGCATATAATTTATTTCCTTTTACGTAGTAAAGCTTTAAAAAAATAACAGCTTAAAATATGTAGCATCAGAATCAAAGCAATTGTGAATTTTTTACTGCATGCCTGACTGACATTTTATGTCACTGAAACCAAATGTTGTTGACATTGAGTTTCTTTGTTCTTACAGATTAGTTACTCAAAGACCTTGGTATTAAAATATATTTTCACACGTTTTTTGTACGTGTACACCCCAAGTCCTAGTATGCTTCCCTGTTACCATTTATGTGATTTTATCTTTTAATTTGCTGTAAACATTGACATCCCGTGTAAACACCTTCCCGTGTCTTCTTCTTTGAGCTAAAATGCTTAAAAAGCCCATTTTTACAAGAAGCATTATCAGCTTGTCAACAGGACAAGTATGATAAATATTGATTACAATCTTATCCACAGGCCAAAAAATTAATAACTCCTTCTGGTTGCTCAAAATGCACTAAAGTGCACTTTCCAGTCCCTCTCCCCAAAATTAAAATAAAAACACAATAATGTACTTGTTGGCTTCTTTGACGAAAAGAATGTGAACCCCCTATTAAAAAAACCACCATCCTTAGTGGCAGCATGGATAAAAAAATTGCCCTGGTAAAAGCCTGAGACAGATTAACACATAAAAAGGTGTTACATGTATACCAGTAGGTTAAAATATATTTCATAAACAAGTGAAAACGAACAATAATCAATTATTATAATGTTCCATTGTTACAGTGACCTTGTGATGGCATTATCAAGAAATGAGAAAGGAAAACATCAGCAAAAATTAATATAGGGACATTACGTCAGTACATGTTGCTTTTACTTGTTATGTATCACAAATCATAATCAATAAGAAGTAAATTCACGTTATAATGGGTGGATTCTCAACACCCTTTGTCTCCTAGCCCTGACTCAATGAATAAGGTCATTTCCAACCCTGTAGCCCTATTAGGGCTACAGGGTTGGAAATAAACCTAGGTCTAAAAAATTTAACTTGAAACAATTAATTTTGACCAGTTCAACACAGGCCAGTTTTAAAAGGCCATAAAATTATTCTAGAAAGAGTATGTTCAAAATGAACACAAATCACAAACAAGCAAACAACCAAATACACTGATAAAGTGTACATGTATATACTATACACCTTACATACCTTCTTCATCACAACTTATTTGAAGTCCAATCTCTAACTCACTTATGCCTTTTTTGTAAAAATCCACTGCCCTTTTTTTTGATACCAGCCCTCCTGTAAATAATATTTCATGCAAATAAACTTCAGGTTTTACTGTTATGTCCGTCTGTAAAACAGTGCCGAAATTCTTGTTCTTGGCCCCAACCTGTGTACCACAATTTGAGCATTTCCAGTAATTTATTGAGTATGTTGGAGCTCAGAGCAAGGATATTGGCACTGCTTTGAGATGTTACTAATATAACTGGGTTACATTACGTCTACGACACAGGCTCCCCTGGGATAGGGACAAGGCTTCTTAACAATGAAAAACAAAGTTAAACGGCTGGTCCCTGCTGTTCACAAGTATTGCTGTTCATTGGATAAAGCACTATCCACTGGATAGAGATTTTATATTCCTTGGATACAGTGCCATTCACATTTTGAACAACTGGAGCCTGTCTTCCAGATCCTAACTCCCAAGATAAGCTCCTTAATCATTAAATAAACAAGCAAATTTAATCAAAATGTATTAAATTTACAGTCAAAAATGGTACATTTTATCATGCAACATTTGCTACATTTGTCATGAACCATTAATAATTGTAATTATGACTTCAACTTTTGATTTTCAACGAGTTACTAGACCCAAAAATTTCTCTTTGACTGGCCTACCGAGCAGCAAGCTTGCATGAACTGTTTGCTTACTTTTTCATTGACAAGCTAAGCGGTATAAAATAATAGAGCTACATGTAAGTCAAAGTAGCTGCTAGTAAAAACGGGGTGTTCATTTACCTTCCTCTTCATCGATCTCTAAAGCTTTCGTTATATAACCATAAGCTTGCTTATGATGCGTTCGAAGATTTAATATTTCTTCCGGCAAACCATCATCAGTTTCGTCCAAAGAGTTTTGATTCTTGAAAGGTTTTGAAGGAGTACGGGAGGCCATGAATGAGGATCTTGGTTTTCGAGCTAATGATCTCGTTCTCTGTTTAATACCGAATAAATTTGACCATAGCAGCGTTACCAGCACAAAGTGAAGAGCATTCCATAATGAAACAAATGGATAAGCTACTAATGAGAAATAGGCTCCATTACGAGGCATTTAGTAATCTAACCACAAGTGGATCCACATGACCTTAGTTCCTCTTTTAGGAAAGTCTGAAGAGTTTCACTATTTGGAGGAATAACGAACCAGCGGTAACACCATTAGCCTTATGCGCGTAGCACATAGCGCAATCTGGTCCCCAGAGCTTCTCCTGTCCCATTTGCCGAGTTTGCAGCTTCGCATCCCGGGGATTCGTACCTTAATTAATTTTTGAAAATAATTTTTATTTTGTGAAATAAGAAGAAGAATAATCATAACCATAATAAGACACGTGAAAACTTTTTCCTCGGGTGTAGGGCCGGGGGGAGCGTTAAACCGTAAGGTTGAGTACTTTTGAACAACACTTCACCATCTAATTTTTAGCTTTGATTCCTTTCTGTATTCAGGGTTTATACATTTTTTAACACACGACAGAAGTTCGTGACGACACAAAAAAGCTAGTGTTCTGTTCATTCGATGTCCCGATTCACAGAATCAATTATGAGATTTCACATTAGTTTTATGTCCTGTTTTTTCTTTGCTTAATTTTGCCCTTTAGTTTTCGTTCAACTGCATACGTTGAGAACAAATAGCGTGACTATCAAAAGTAGCGTGACTTTTTATGCCTGAACATCCGCTCACGTGACCTCAATCATCTCGGGAAGTTCCGTTTGGCTTCAGGTCCTTGTGAATCAATTTTCCCTCGATTTATTTTGAGTAATTTTGCGTTGATTATTCAGCTAAACATGCTCACACACTTTAGAAATTCAGTCTTTGTCGCAGATTTGTCATAGTTTTGCATATAAATAAGCTATTCAGGACACCTTTCATTTTTGTCATGTTTACTATAAAGTTTCTTCATGGTATAGACCCGGGGGTGTAGATCGGTATAGAACTTGTGGAGAAGGCAAGGTTCTCTTTTTTTTGTTGACTCTCTCGTTCTTCGACTCCGTTTTTATAAATTGTCAGTAGACAACATTTCCGGGAACTCGTCAGTCAGTTGCGTATGAGATCGTTTAAAACTATTCCCTGTATGTAACTCCTTCGCTGAAGACTTACTTGCTAGTCAACTGATTTTTTTAGACCAAGAGTATCCACCAATTTATGTAAGACGTCTTTTAAATTTTCTGGATCAAAAATCTGGTAACGCCATTTGATCTCAAATGTCTACTGTGTGCAGTACTGAGTTTAAGAAAAAAATGGAAATACAATCCCTTAATCTCTCGTAATCTATCTACTCTGTATGCTCCATCACCAATGTAATTTGAGTTTTTTTTTCTTCTTCTCTGCTATGATTTATCTAGAAAGCTCTTGCTATTTTGGACACTGCACACATATGTTATCTCTTCTTCGCGCCTAATGATTACTTAGTACCGTTTTTTCTCTTCTATTTGTCTGTAACTAATGCCCTATCTAGTGTAAAATAAAGAAGGGAACTGAAAAGAATCAAACTAACCTGTATCTTCAATATACCTTTTTTTTTTATTGCCATGAGGACACAGCTATTAGCTCTAACCAGGGTGACTCTAAAATAATACTCTAAATACTATAAAGTAATTGTATTATTACCATAATACACGAACTTTTCACAACACTTAAATTTTGAATGCGTAACACTAATTTTTTAAAATTAGTGTTGTAATAGTTGATAAGGTTTAACGTTAACTGTCGCATAAACGTCACGTAATAAGGTGATAGAAGAACCGGGCTAGGAGCCCTTCAGTCTCTGCAGTCTTGCCGACACGGGGACAGCTGTAAATTGGGAAGATGTGTACGGGCTTAATCGCTATAGGCGGAAAACCTTACCCTATACATTATCCCCCTCCGTTTCAGGGAAGGGGCGGCTGTAGACAGGCTAGAAAGCCCCTGGGCAAATAATCTCGCCCCATGAAAGGGAATCCAGGACAGTCTTGGATCGGATCCCAGGTACTGAATTCCAGTAAATGTCAGTACAACTTGGATTCCGGATTCTAATCGTTAGTGGTATTCCGCCGGCCAGATTCCTTGAGCTTGCAAAGGGATTCCGGATTCCCTAAGCAAAATTTTCCCGGATTACGGGATCCAAATTTCCTTAAATGGAGCCAAATAATCAGAGCGATGGATATGGGCCCGTTTCACGAAATCCCTGTAATTACCGGCTCCAGAACGGCTCCAGAGGTTGTTTGGGTATATTTGCCGTATTTATTCAAGAACAAGGTTTTAGTATGATCCGTTTTAATAATTTTGAAAGCAATAACACAAAAATATCAGGTAACTAAACAAAATGGACTTATTTGCGAGCTAGGAGTGGCCGTAACACTATTATTTGGGGTTTCCCGCCGGAGAAACGGGCCCTCGTTTTAAGCTTTCCTATTTCCCTCCGTGTGATTGGCCAGAAAATATATTCTCGCCAATCAGAAGTAGGAAAAAGTAAATGCTTCTAGAACTGGCTTGGTAAGACTATTAGTGCCTCTCACGTTCAGTGTGTTCTTTAGAATAAACTTATAGTTAATTATGATATTCCTTGAATATTCCGTCCCGCGATAACTTTCCCCAACGGGTTTCCGAGGATGGGAGCCCTTCAATACAAAAAGTACGTCTTTCATATTATAAACTGTAAGGCTTTCGTTAGATCTCGTCACTGTTGTATGTTAAATTTTCAGCCTAAACTAACCAATAAATCCTGAGCTTCCCCTCACCCCGCCATACAAACATCACTGTAAATTTTCCCAACTTTGCTAACCTATACCTTGGCAAGTTAACTAATATTAAGACACTCTTTCCAGTAGTGTCCACGGATTATTAACCCTGACTGGTTCATGTCAAAAATTGAAAAAAACGTGGAAGGGTCTATTACTTAGAGCACTGCAACGTAGCCTTTGTGTTTCCCAAGATTATTTTTAGTGGAGATAAGTGAATCAGCTTTTGTTCCCCAAATTGGCGTATATTACCTATGAATGGTTCAGGATTCTTTTTAATAGCTTTGTCCCACAACTGACGCTGTCTAAGGTGTTCTGTTCATCTTTTATTTAATGAGGTCTAGCACTTATTCGATTAAAAGAAACTGCTAAACAGACTAAATCGAATGTTTTGCCTTTAATCAAAGGGTTCCAGAATTAGTTAGTACGGCAAACGATGCAGATGACTGTCAGTTTGAACCACGTGACCACGTTCTCCCTTTCTTGTTGTTTAGCTTGATTCCAGGTTTAGGTTCTTCTGCAATGTTTTCATCCGTTCGTTTTTTTTTATTGTTGAAAATTGCCAACCCGAATGGAAGGTGATATTTGCCGTTTGCTGTTAACGTGATTACAAAATCGCCATCTCTCTTTCGTGTAAACAAGTTTCAGCAGCTGTCAATTATTTACATTGGGCACAGTACTCACTGAAGTCACACCTCCTGAATGAGTGAAGTTCAAATTAAAGGACATGTCGCAGTACGTTCTTTGCGTTTTTTGTCTCTTTGTAACCCATTTTAAATTGGTATATCAGAGACAAGTGGATATTAACCAAAGCAATGGACTAAGACGAGCGATTCTTGTCCAGGGTGTAGCCCGGGTATCGTACGGAAATTTTGTAGCCGACAAATTCCGTCGACTTCGAGTTCCAGTTGGCTCATCAACCCTTGTGATAAGCTACAATGAATGCGCAACAAGCTGCGTTAACGCTCCAGGTTGTGCTTCGTTTAACCTGGCTTCGTTTCCTGATGCAGATGGTAAATTCCTATGCGAGCTGTTGGATGAAGACAAGTACTACAACCTCAATCAACTCGTAAGCTCGAAGCACTTTCACCATTTTAGCATCAAGGTATTGGAACTAATCAATTTTTTTTGCTTTGTTAGCCAGGGTTTACAAATAAAAATCAATTTTTTAGTCTCTGGTTTGTAAGATGTAAGGATTACCTTATGAATGTTGTCTACCCCCTCAAAACGTTAAGTCGGTCAAATTCTGTTGAACGGGAAATTAGTGTACTTTTAGAACTTATTCATTTAAGAACTTTTTGCATGAGCATTCAACATTCCCACTGGCATTTTATTACAAGAAAGCAACCAGAATTGCACATATTACCTGAGCGAGTAGGAAACTCAGATTTCAGTCAAGATCAACTCTTGGTCGATATGGTGAAAAACCTTATTTTAACAAAAACAATTGTTTTCCAGAAACTTAATACATTTTGAAGGTACTACAATTAAGCTTTACTCAGTCTAAGTGCAAATTGGTTATAGATTGCATGAGCACGGTAATACAGCCACCTGTCAGTTTGTTTACTGATTTAAAACAGCTTATAATATACTCTATCGTAGCTGGTGAGTGAAAACTCCTATCCGTCACGGAAAACTCCTAGCTTCTCCTGATAAAAGAGCATAAAACAGCTTTTTCAATTAGCATCGCTGTTGGATGCGTTTTCATTTCTGAGCTTTCTTAGGATCAAATTTACAGTGAAACCATTTATGTATATATCTATGACTGCAATACATTGTACATATAAGGCTGAATTAAAGAGCTACTTACAATCGTTAAATAACACGGTACAAATATAGATCATAAATCGCAAAGTTGCTTTAAAACACAAAAAGCACTTACTACCAGTTAAACTGTAATAAAATCTTGAGTACGCTTGGTGTTTCAAATTGGGCGCAAGCGGTAATTAGCTCCTGACCCACGATATGATAATTATGCTGAACTTCATCTTGTAATAAAGAATAAAGTGTAACGGGTGGTTTTCATTCTGTAGTCTAACAACTGTAGACCTGATTACAATTAAATAAATTAATCACATTTTCTTTGAAAAGCTTCGATATGTAAAAAGTAGACACTGGACATCATCCTTGAAGGGAAAACAATCATGATATAAATTGCTGTTGTACATGAATTATTTTCACCTTTTTTCTACGATAGACCAGGTTCTATGTGCTCTCCAGAAGCTTACGGCAGAAATGAAAGAAGCGAATAATCTTCTTTCAAGACTTTACAATTAATTAAAGTTTCAATTAAAAAGATTCGCTAAACGTCGAACAAAATCTTCAAACATTTCGGCATTTTACGGTGGAATTCGCTCAGACAACGGGCAGAGTATTTTTTTTAACTTTACAGACACCGTGCTCTAGCTATCCTTGTAAAAACGGAGGCAAGTGCGTTCCAAATTACAGTGATGATCAATACCAATGTGACTGTTCACCCGGATACGATGGGGACCACTGTGAAACAGGTAAATTATAGAACAGGAATGAAGGAAAAGATCTTGTGTTTCCAGCCCCTCCGATCCTGGGACAAATTTGAGGACGGCCGGGACTGCATTGCATTAAGGGAAGTCCGAAATACTCTGCGACTCATTACTTTCACTTAGGCTTTTATCTCTTTGCAATAAAAAAATGAGAAAACAACAAAAGAAAGAGAGTAACGAATAAAAGAAAAGCCTGACAGCCTGAGAACGACATCAATGACACTTTCAATTGCACCCTTAAATATAAAGCAATGATTCAAAAGAGTGAGTAGATAAGCAAACTTGTGAGCAGATCCCAACCCCCTGCCTTCCCCTGTTTTTTTTTCCTCCCCTTGAAAATATATTTTTTAAAACTGATATTTTCTCTTAAATGTCGAAATTATACTTTACTAGACAAAAATAAGAGAAGATAAAAGCTATTATCTGTTAGTGCAATCCGCAAAAATAACAGGAGTTTATAAACGTTAGTAACCCTGCCCTTCCACCGATCCAGCATTCACTCGATTACCCTAAGAATTATGGCTTTAGAGGGTCTATCAAACACGTGAAAAGTGTTCGATCTGAACCCCAATCAACCGGCCCTTTAACTTCCAAGCGTACGTTGAGCGGAGTAGGTGGGGGAGGGGGAGTTGGGCCGGTGTAGTTTTCTGGCCTTCACTCTAGGTGAAGTAAATGTTATTTTGATTTTTCTGCCGCATAGACATCGATGAATGTTCCAGCAATCCTTGTTTAAATGGAGGATCGTGTACCGACCAGGTTAATGGATATGTTTGTAGCTGCCAGCCTGGATACACAGGTGCACAGTGTCAAACAAGTAAGTTGGTTTGATTCAGCCACTGAGGTGAATTGTACAGGCCATGCCAGTGTAGTTTTTCTTGTCTCTGACTTTTAACTGTTTTTATTTGATGTTTTCTGTCGCATAGATGTCGATGAATGTTCCAGCAATCCTTGTTTAAATGGAGGATGTTGTACCGACCAAGTTAATGGATATGTTTGTAGCTGCCAGCCTGGATACGCAGGGGCACAGTGTCAAACAAGTAATATAAGTTGGTTTGATTCAGCCACTGAGGTGAATTGTACAGGCCATGCCAGAGTAGTTTTTCTTGTCTCTGACTTTTTACCCTTCTTATTTGATTTTTTCTGTCGCATAGATGTCGATGAATGTTCCAGCAATCCTTGTTTAAATGGAGGATGTTGTACTGACCAAGTTAATGGATATGCTTGTAGCTGCCTGCCTGGATACGCAGGGGCACAATGTCAAACAAGTAAGTTTGTTTGATTCAATAAAGAAGTAAATTGTACATGCATGCCAATGTAATTTTCCTTTTCTCCAGAGACTTCTTGATTGTTCTAATTTGATTTGTCTGTTTCATAGATATCGATGAATGTTCCAGCAATCCATGTTTAAATGGAGGATCCTGTACTGACCAGGTTAATGGATATGTTTGTAGCTGTCCGCCTACATACACAGGGGCACAGTGCCAAACAGGTAAGTTGTGTTGGTTTGATTCAGTAGAGAAGTGAATTGTAAAGGGCCTACCTGATCGAATGACTAGTTACTTTCATGTTGTAAAATATGTCTTAAAGAGTTCCACAACATTACCTTTTAAAAGATGCAATATTTAAAGCTAAGGGCGCTTTTTAAAAACATAGCACTTGAACTTTCTTCAGGGGAAGAAAACTTGTAGCAACAAACTACAGAAAACAGTGTTTTTAACGACAGAGTGGCGATTCTTCTGTTGGGACTAAATCTAGTCTTAGATAACACTGTAAACTGGACCGCTATATAAGGAACAAAGACCAAACATATGCATATAAGCTTCTTCCTTGACTGAAAGATAGTAAGTAGCGCAACATTGCCCCCTTAAGATTCCTACGACTCTTGCCGATCAAAACAACGACGACAAAATGTATAAAACTCAAGTGGAATCACGGCTTCTGGTCGAGTGGTTTCAATTCAGGGTGATTTCAATGGTTTTTACTCTCATCGACCATAGCTCTCGACTAATCAGCGTCCTAAAATCGCCCTGTTATTAGGGTCTGGGAATTGGGGTCCTGTTGATCCCGCATTCCCGCATCCAAAACTTCTTTCATCGTTATTCCAAATATCTTTTTCTTTCCCAGCCCGGCATCGGTACCCAAATTTTGGCCAATCCCGCTTCCTGGTAGCAGTAGGCCTGTCAACGCTTTCCCGGTAATACCCTTCCAGGCCCTGTGTCATTGTAAAAATCTCCTCAGCTCAACCAGGCACGGATGCACGGAGACAGGAAACTATTGAATTTCTGACGATGAAAAAAATTAATATTGAAATTGTAAACCACTAATATAACATGCAGTCAGTAATTACATGATTCGTTTTGTTAGTTCTACCTCAGTGGGTGGAGTACACTCCTCAAGTGTGTGGACCTCGGAGAGAGCTTCAGGATGGTGGTTGGGTCACATTGGAGCAATGTAAGCAACTCTGTCCAGGTTGTGCTGCCATTGAGTACTGGTCTGGGGGAGACAAAGCGTGTTTTGAGTGCCTGGATCACACCAAGCGTACATCATATACCGTTACCCATGATGCTCGCTACCCACCACACGTGTACATAAGGCAGTACTAGGAGTAGAGTAAAAAACATAACTACAGTGGAACCCCGCTCTAAGGACAAACGCTTAATATGGACACCCGTATATTACTATAATGGGGACAGTTTCGTTTGTTCCGACAAAAAGCTCATATATTTTCTCTTATACGCATAAAGGACACTTTTCTGTGTCCCTAGTCACAAACTCTCATATATCATCAACCCCACTTTACGGACAGTTTTTTTTCTGTGCACTGTCTATAACTGAACATCATACCAATAAAAAACTTACAGAAACGGAAAGTGGCCATTCAATATAGTTCTGTCTAATATTCAGTCCACTTGGCTAAGTCCCAAAATAAAAGCGTCAGTACAAAGTAAAGTCATGGATTCCATTCTCGTGTTTCAAAAACAATATTTAAGGTGATTCCCTGGTTTTGCATTGCGCATCTCTTACTGGGCATAACAAGATGGCCTCCGTAAAAAAGAGCATGTGAAGTAACATTGTTAAAATGAAGTTGACCGAAGAGAAACGCTATTGCAATTTTTGCTTGCGGTTGTTTCTTGCCGAGGTGAGACTCAATGTGGTGGGAATGTGCATAACGTAAGCAGTACGCGTGTTGCTGAGTTCGACTTCCTCAAGGAGAACCTCGATAGTGGATGTTTAATTTGTGCTAATTCACTTTGATTTTCATTTAAACGCTTTCTTTATCACATTGTGTCCTAAATGTGATATCTTGATGTAAATTCTGTAAAAACGGATTTTTTAATACTTTCTTCCCCCTTTCACATACATTCTATTTTAAAACTCGCCCCAGTCCTCTCTCAAAAATCAAGGAAAATGCATTTGGTGAGCACTTTCTCAGCTCTACCGTAAAAACGAGTACGGTGACCCCCTTTTTTTATTTCATGATTTTAATAAGGACAGTCCTTCCTTTCGGTGAGAAAAAGATTGGCACAAATCTATTTTCAGTTTTTTGGGCAATTTTACTAAATTGTACGGATTGAGCTATCACGTGTCGAATAACGCGTGTCCAATTTAATTCTACTTTGGAGCGTAAAGAAAAAACAAGGGCATTAAAAGGCAATTTTCTGGTACGTAAGTGGATAAACAATACGTTAAAGTCAAATTCTGTGCGATACCACATGCATCATTGAAAAAATCTTTCCTTTTGTCTAGTTTTAGGCTGCGCGCGGTTTTTGTCAAAGGGTCCAAAATAGCCGTATTTGTCAGCATTGTGACGTCAAAACGAGCACGGTGACCCCCACTTTTTATTATCTCTTTATCATCTTCTTGACTTGTTACATCAGTGTACCTAGTTTCATCTACAATCTATGTTAGGTTCTTTTACTAGGGAATCACCTTAAAAGGTAATTTTAGTCGAGACTATACGAAATATGATAATAATGATAACAATAATAATAATAATAATAATAATAAATAATAGTAATAATAATAACTTTATTTGTGTGTTAAAGTAATTTAGCATACCTGCTAGTTGGAGACACCGTAACAAAGCAAAAATAATATTTAACAGTAAATATTGAATTAATACTAACATATCAAAAGTACCAGCTGGTACTATCCCATGAAAATACTACTATGTCTACGAACTGCAGAGAAAACAGTCAGGTTCACTTTCATTGTTATTAAATAACTAACTAAGTTTCTTAAAATGAGTTTAAGTGCTTGAATTTCATGTGTCCCGATGACATTATCGTGAGATTTCTTTAGGATGAACTTGTTTCAGTTACAGTTAAGAAAACGCCTACTACGTCTTTATATCGATAAAAACATGTGCCCGTGAAGTTTTTAATACATACACTATGGCAGGTGCCCCTGATGACCGTATTGACCATTTTCAACATTTTTACAGCCTCTTCCTTCTTTGAGTATGTGTACCATATGTATAGCAATAGAATCGCGCCTATATAATCAGGGGCCATTAAGGTGGATAACACTGCCATTGGTTTCCACTATACTTATCCCCTGGACAGCAATTCATCCGGTGGATGGCGCTATCCAACGGCGGTTTGACCAACCGGGGCCATGTTAATAAGTTTGGTGAAAGGAGCCTGCCTGAGTTTGTGCTTTGATTGATAAATGGTTTAGGGAGACGATTTGCTTTCAGTATCTGGGTTACACCAAATTCAATGTCACTTTGTTATTGAAAAGAAACACCTGTTTTCTCATTCTCTTATATAATAAATCACCACTCTAGTCCAATACATTTCTTCAAGCACTAGAAGTTAAGAGGAGTTATTATAGTGTCAAGGTTACCTTTGGATCTCTTGGGTGGTCATACCCTCACCACCTAGGGAAATACAAATTTATATGGTGAGGCTCCGCCCCGGGTTTCAACCCCTTATCTTTTTATGTACTACTTTTGGGAAACAAGGCACCCCTATCGTATACCTTGCATTGAAAAATGCTGCCCCTCTCACATACCCATTAACAGAAAGTCTTCTTTACGTTAAATAAATTAAAATGATACGGCCCTAAGGTGCGTCTATTCAAGATATTTTAATTAAAGGCCCCTTAAATACTTAAATGACCGATTCCCCTCCCCTTTCATATACTTCATCTCGTGAAATCCCTACCCTCTTTTATACCATAAAGCCTGAAAAAGGTACCCCTTTTGGGTGGAACCTCCCCATGGCCCTCATAGAGAGTAACCCTGGTGGCCTATAAAGCGTTTTCACTAACTTGGCCAGCATCTAGGCAAATTTATCGAAATAAAAGAAACCGTTTACGTAACGAAAGAGTTCTACTCTCACGGGATTTGTTTGGAGCCCCAACATGGCCGCCGTTTCATTGTTTTGGAACACCAATATGGCCGCCTTGACATCATGTGAGAACGTTCTATCAACCCTTCTTTGAATATTTCAGATTTCAAAACTAAACATGATTAAAAAAAGAGAGCAAATACGTATCCCGCAGTGGGTTAATAAATATATATAAATAATTAAGGAAAAGACACTATACCAGAAGAAGTCAAATCAAGCCTACCTTTCGTAAGACAGCACTTGGGTCAAAGAATTTATAAATTAACTTAATTACTGACAACTATCCCTCAGAAACTGTTAAAAAAGCCAGAATGATGAAATGAAGAACATGCGCCGATATTTTTTGTACCTATTTTGTCAACTTATAACTCATTTAAAATTGGCGCACCAGAGCCAACGTTATGTTAACGCAAGCAGCGGATTAAACAGGGCGGCACTTGTACAAGGAATAGTTAGATTATCGTACGGATACTTTACAGCCGACAAGTTCAGTCTACTTCAAGTTCCAGCTGGTTTATCAACTCTTGTGATAAGCTACAAAGAATGCGCTATAAACTGCCTTAACGCTCCAGCTTGTGCTTCGTTTAACGTTGCCTCGCTTCCTGATGCAGATGGTAAATTCCAATGCGAGCTGTTGAACGATGATAAGTACAACAACCTTAACCAACTCATAAGCGCACAGAATTATCACCACTTTAGCATAAAGGTATGCCATTTGTATTATCGTAATATATAAAGAGCCAGTTGTTGGGCCGGGTGTACAAATATTGGAACGGAAAAGAAACTTGGAAATGAGGTATTTTTAAGGTACAAACATGGGCTAATCACTTTTTCCACGCTCAGTTTCAAACACAATAACAAACACCTTGTTCAATTTTTAAATTAACGTTTATCCTTATCTGATCGAAGTGAAAATGCATGAAACCGTTACAGCAAGGGTATTTATTTGTATTTTCTTTCAAATGCCTAAGCACAACTGAGATGAAAAATCCGGGAAAAGACTGCAGACAGATAAAGCAAAGAAAGAAAAATATTAGTTAGGTTGACTAATTTTTTTCTGTCTTCCTTTTTTGATGCCGTCCTTTCTATTTTCTGTAAAAAGCTATCCCAGTTGTGCTTGTTGCGGGATATAAAGAGCGTTGCTAACCGACTACAAGTTGTTATTCCGTTTTACAAAACACCCCCTCAAAATGTACTTAATTTGCGCCTATTAAAATGAAAGTGATCGACACATATATCCTATGATTTAACCACGAAAAAAGAACAAACTTTCACTTCTAGATTTTCGCATGATTAAAAAAAATATTTTTTTCTAAAAAGACTTCTGGAACCCGCCAGGGTAGCAAAATTACTAAACAAGGTATTTTGTTTACAGACACCATGCTCTAACTACCCATGTAAAAACGGTGGCAAGTGCGTTCCAAATTACATTGACGATCATTACCATTGTGACTGTACAGCTGGATTCTCCGGGGATCTCTGCCAAACAGGTGAATTTCATCGATCTAGAAAACCACGCTGGTGATCATACAGTCAAACGCGAGAGAAAAATTGAAGCTCAGTGATAACTATACTAAACAGATTGTCGCGACACTTTATCAACAAGTTAATTATGTAAACTTCTTTGATTCTTCTTTTCAAAACTAAAAGAACTCTCCGACTTTAAATTGAACTAGCTTTTGTTGCAGTATTACAAATGAAACCTATGCCCACCCTCCAGGCACTAAAAAACAAACAAAAATGATATAATTTAGATATTTATATCGTTGAATGGTACGTCCAACAGTGTCACGTTTATTGATTTTTTTGTGTGCTTTCTTTGACATTGTTCATGTTGATATGACCTATATATGTTCAATATTCGGGGCTAAACAAAACCAAGTCATACTTTTATGTTAACGGCGCATGTAGAAAAAGTCAGGAAAATACTAGAGACCTGGGGGGAATCTAATATATGAGAAAAAACCTTGAGTTAAAAGTATTTTAAAAAACTTTTGATGTGTTGTTTCAGCTTTTTTAGAAAACTGCCTCCATGCAGTGTCAGTTTCGGCTTCTAAGAAGATGTTTATTTTCTTTTAGCTTTTTCGTGTTTTTCCTTTTGAAACTTTTAAAACTTTTCAACTTTATTTAACTCCATGAGTAGTACGTACTTTTCTGTGCTCATTATTCCGGGTGATTATTCGTTAAAGCTTTTAAACTTTTTACCATAGACATTAACGAATGTTCCAGCAATCCTTGCTTAAACGGAGGATCTTGTACCGACCAGGTTAATGGATATGTTTGTAGCTGTCAGCCTGGATATGCAGGAGCTAATTGTGAAACAAGTAAGAAGAACTTCATCTAAATTTTCCTCCCTGAATCACTCAAGCGAAGGGTCGGTGGGCTGTGCGGAACTATTAAAACTTAATTCATTTATGTTACTTTCTTTCAATTAAATGTTTAACTGTCTGTCGTCTCTTGCTTACAGTGACTTTTCCTGAGGACGAGAAATATACGGGGGGGCGGGGGGTACTTGGGTTAACTTTTGCCGGGTATGTGAGTCCCTACCCCATTATAGTCTATTCTTGGTCCCTTTTGGGCAAATATGTAATTTTCGCGATCCCAACTTAGTCACATTCTATTTTTTTTTAAGAATTGACCCATTTTTAGATTGAATGAAGAGCACTTTATTTTTCATCTACAGAAACATTCTAGTACGTTTGCTAACCGTAAATACGAAGAACTGTCTTACCCGCAAAAATCCGAAAATGTGCGACCCCATTCTAGTAACTCTATTGAAAATTTCAAAAGGTTGAGTTTGATCGTCCGGGTGACCGTAGTCCTGAATAGGACTGTTGTTGTTGACAGTGACTGACGTTTCGACAACCTGTGCGGTAGTCATCTTCAGAGTCAAAGTGAGTTGTATCACGTCAGTTGATGGTATTATACTCTGGTTATTGATCTGATTGGTCAATTATGTCGCGATGTTATTGGTCGTCTGTCAGTTAAGCCGTGATGTTATTGGCTATGAAGACTCGTAATCAGTGATTGGTGCGTTTCGATCCGTCTATTGTCGCAGTTAAACAGTCGTCTATTGTTAGTCAAATTGTTAGTTCTCCAGTTGTTCTCTCGTAGTTAGTTTTGCTTGATCTCGTCAATAAGTCGTTTGTACGGCGCTGGTAACTGTTGACTACGATTCAGTGGCGTTTGTTCTAAGTTAGTAAACCAGCTTTCTAAAGTAAGACGTTGATAGTAGTCTGTAGAATACGTTATACATGTCGCAGAGTCCCAGTCAATTTGATGTTTCGTCTTTAAATGGTGCTCAGCAATGTGATTGTTGACGTCACCATTCCTCGTCGCGCGTTTGTGTTCGGTCAGTCGCGTGCTTAGGTTTCTGCCGGTTTCACCAATGTAAGAAGCCTGGCAGTCGCAGCATTTGATCTTGTATACTGCTCCCTGTCTGTCCTCCGGTTTGTCTTTGTCCTTGACATTAGTAAGCAGTCGCTGTAAAGTGGTTATCGGTTTGTGCGCAACACGTATATTGTAAGGTTGTAATATACGTGCAATAGTTTCAGAGGTGCCTCTGATGTACGGTATAGTCGCTGTCGTAACAGGGCCAGAGTTGGTCTGAGAGTTGGAATCAGTGTTACTGTGAGTGTTCCATCTAACAAAGTCCGTGTTGTAATTGTTCCTACTAAAAACGTTGTTAAGATAATCAGCCTCGTCTTGTAGGCTGTCAGGTGAGTCGCAAACTAGTTGCGCTCGTCTCGTCAGAGTCCGGATAGTAGTAGCCTTGTGAGAGGTCGGGTTGTACGAAGACTGGTCTAGTAATCGGTCGGTATGTGTCGGTTTTCTGTAAATAGTCGTTTTTAGTTTGTTGTTGTCGCGAGTGACCAAGCAGTCTAGAAAAGGTATCTTACCATTTTCTTCGATCTCCTTGGTGAACTGTATGTCCGCGTTCTGTCTGTTAAGGTGTTCGTGAAAATCGTCGATTCCGTCTTTGTGTACGGCGGTGAATGTGTCGTCAACGTAACGTAACCAAAGAGGTACAGTTCGCGTGTAGGTAGCTAAGGCTTGTTCCTCGATGTTTTGCATGACAATTTCTGCTACAACAACAGAAACTGGAGAGCCCATAGCTGTACCGTGTAACTGTTTGTAGTGTTTGCCGTTGTACTGAAAGTAAGTCGAAGTCAAACAGAGGTTGAGTAGGTCTATAATGTCGTCTGTAGGTAGTGGTAATTCAACAGTGGAGTTCTTAATAGCGTTCTCAGTACAGTCTAGAGCCAGTTGAAGTGGAATACTGGTGAACAGCGATTTCACGTCAAAGGACACTAGTTTGTGGTCGTCCGGTATCTGTATTGTCTTAATGGCGTCAATAAAGTTCTCAGTAGACTGTAGTTTGTGTCTAGATTCGTCAGTTTAGATTCGTCAATCAGATCAATAACCCGAGTATAATACCATCAACTGACGTGATACAACTCACTTTGACTCTGAAGATGACTACCGCACAGGTTGTCGAAACGTCAGTCACTGTCAACAACAACAGTCCTATTCAGGACTACGTTCACCCGGACGATCAAACTCAACCTTTTGAAATGACTCCTGGGTTCAAACCTTTCACAGTTCTATTGAAAATGCAACCCCATTATTGTCAGTCCAGTCGTGAAAATGCGACCCCATCCAGCGGCACATCCCCATTAACCTGTTATATAAGGAAGTACCCCCCCCTGGAAATATATAAGCAGCTAGGATGCAGTGCCACGAATATTAGTGATCATTTGTGGACAGAACTGATAGAATAGCGATTCGTTTAGCCTGAGAAAACAGCTGACATTTAGCGACACCATCACCAGTTTCCGCAGGAAATTACGTCAGAAGAAGGGGTGCAGAAACTTTTACATTGATGACTTGTCACTAGCCAGATTTGGGTAGTGTTTCTGGTTGGTTAAAGCAATTTTTTTTTCAACCAATCAAAAGCATTACTCAGAGCTGGGTAGTGACACGTCATAAGTATGGAATTTCTATGCTCGTTCCTCAGACGTCATTTTGCGGGGAAACCAGTGGTGACGTCGCAAAATGTCGGCTGTTTTCTCAGGCACCAATTAGTTTAGTTTTTCAATCTTTAACATAATTTAAGAATGCATATTGCTGCCAAGCTATTTAAAGCCTGGTGGTCATTATTTGGGTAATTATTTACTATAATTTTGCTTTTTACTGTAGACATCAACGAATGTTCCAGCAATCCTTGTTTAAACGGAGGATCATGTACTGACCAGGTTAATGGATATGTTTGTAGCTGTCAGCCTGGATACGCTGGAGACAGGTGTCAAACAAGTAAGATAGATAGGTTGGAAAAGTTTCAAGCGAGTATTAATTTTGCAGTGAAAAATTAAGCTGTCTAAGGTTTCAGATCTATTTGATTTATTGTCTTCATTCTTCCGGCAACAATTTAAACTAACGTTTGTCAACTTACCTACTACTAAGCAATCAAATGAGTAGTAATGATCTGTAGACATTATTTCGAATGATTATTTCGGTATTAATAACAGTTATTCAGGATTATTGAGTGAGGCTGAGTATAATGTGAAGAATTATGCATACCCAGCCTAATTCAATTATTATTTTCATATTATTGATTCAAAATATTTTTACTGACGTTTTGTGTGCAGCTTTTCATAAGATAAAGTATTTTGATATTGTAAATATTTCTAAGTTCTTAACAACCTTCAGTCGAAAGAGAACTAGGTGTTAATGTTGGCTTAAGGGAGGGGTAAGTGCGCAGTTTCTCAGAAAACATATAATGATCCAAGGTTTCCAAAGGTTTCGACAACGTCTATTAAAAAATCTGAAGTTTTGCAAGGAGTTACCATCGTACAAGACATGCATAACCCAGTCCCGCTGAGGCGTATTTCTAGGCCTTCTAGATCTTGAAACTCGCTCGGACCTCGTAACCCGAGACATGTGACCCAACTAGGATACTAAGCTCTCGGGACCACTAAAGGCGAGCCTGTGTGGACTATATGCTAGCAATAGTCGAGGAAAAAGTTAGGAAAGCGTTTTTCTAGTCATTGAAGGGCGTCTTCCAAGGCTTTTCTCGGTCAATGCATTTAAAAACACTGCTGTTTTTAGAACAAGTATATTACAGATTCCACGCAAATCTTTTCGTTTTCGCAGACATCAACGAATGCTCCAGCAATCCTTGTTTAAACGGAGGCACGTGTACTGACCAGGTTAATGGATATGTTTGTAGCTGTCGGCCTGGATACGCAGGAGCCAGGTGTCAGACAGGTAGGCATTTGCATCTACAGACACTGTAAATGCGCATGCTCGAGTGGGAAAAAATCCTCGCTAAGGGGGGTATTTGAATTACGGGGATTATTCATTGAATGTCTTGTCGCATTGTCGTAACAGTTAGAAAGGCAATAGCTGGACATAGACATTAACGAATGTTCCAGCAATCCTTGTTTAAACGGAGGATCATGTACCGACCAGGTTAATGGATATGTTTGTAGCTGTCAGCCTGGATACGCAGGAGCTAATTGTGAAACAAGTAAGAAGAACTTCATCTAAATTTCCCCCCCTGAATCACTTAAGACTGGTGGGCTGTGCGGAACTATTAATAACTAATTCATTTCTGTTGTTTTCTTTTACATGTTTAACTAACTGTCTATCGTCTCTTCCTTTCAGTGACTTTTACTGAGGACGAGAAATGTATAAGCAGCTCGGGTGCAGTGTCCGGAATATTAGTGATCATTTGTGGACAGAAATAATAGAATTGCGATTCGTTTAGCCTGAGAAAAGAGCAGTTATTTAACGACACCTTCACTGGTTTCCCCAGGAAATGACGTCTGAGAAAGGGGCGCAAAAATTCCATATTGATGACTTGTCACTACCCCGATCTGGGTAGTGCTTCTGATTGGTTGAAGCAAATTATTTTTCAACCAATCAATGCAAAAGCATTACTCAGATCTGGATAGTGACACGACATCAGTATGGAATTTCTGCGCTCGTTCCTCCGACGTCATTTCGCGGGGAAACCAGTGGTGGCGTCGCGAAATGTCAGCTGTTTCCTCAGGCACCAGTTACTTTAGTTTTTCAATCTTTAACATAATTTAAGAATGTATATTGCTGCCAAGCTATTTAAAGTGTAACCCCTTCTAGTGGTCATTATTTTGGTTAATTATTCACTATAATTTTGCTTTTTTACCGTAGACATCAACGAATGTTCCAGCAATCCTTGTTTAAACGGAGGATTGTGTACTGACCAGGTTAACGGATATGTTTGTAGCTGTCAGCCTGGATACGCAGGAGCCAGGTGTCAGACAAGTAAGAAATGTTCTCAGCGATATAAATAGTTTCGGAAAAGTTTCAAGCGATTTTTAATTTTGCAGTCAAAAATTGAGCTGTTTAAGGTTTCAAATCTATATGATTTATCGTCTTCGTTCTCCCGGCACCAATTTAACCTATCAAATGAGTAGTAATGATCTGTGGGCATTATTTCGAATGATTATTTCATTATTAATGACAATTATTCAGGATTATTGAGGGAGGCTGAATATAATGTGAAAAATCATGCACACCCAGCCGAATTCAATTATTATGTTATTGTTGATTTAAAATATTTCTAAGTCTAGTCTTTTGATACGTCTTCTTATTGGGAAATTGGTACGGAAAATGCGGAACAGCAATAGATTTACATCTTGCTCGCCTCATGGATCAGAAACTTATCCATATCATTAGAATAAGGGCATTGACGTTTATATCATCCACTGGGACTTTTGACTTGACTTTTTTTATAACTCTATGTGATTTCTTGGAATTTTGAATTGCGAAGGGTTTTGCCGGAATTTTGTATTGATATTGACGTTTTCTTTTTATGAATAGTTTACTGAAGTTTTGTGTGCAGCTTTTCATAAGATAAAGTATTTTGATATTGTAAATATTTCTAAGTTTTTAACAACCTTAATTCGATCGCGTGAGAAGCAAGTGTTAATGTTGGCTTTTGGGAGGGGTAGGTGGGCAGTTTTTCAGAAACATATCATGATCCAAGGTTTCCAGAGGTTTCGACAAGCTCTATTCAAAAATCTGCAAGGAGTTACTATCATACAAGACATGCATAACCCAGTCCCGCTGAGGCGTCTTTCGAGGTCTTCTAGATCTTGGAACTCGCTCGGACCTCGTGACCCGAAACGCATTACCCGCCCGGAATACTAAGGTCTAGGGACCGCTTAAGGCGAGCCTGTGTGGACTATACGCTAGCAATAGTCGAGGAAAACTTAGGAAAGCGTTTTTCTAGTCCCTGTAGGGCGTCTTCCAAGGCTTTTCTCGGTCAATGCATTTAAAAACAGTGCAGTTTTTATAACAATAAATAAAGTACAGATTCCACGCAAATCTTCTTTTTTTCGCAGACATCAACGAATGTTCCAGCAATCCTTGTTTTAATGGAGGCACGTGTACTGACCAGGTTAATAGATATGTTTGTAGCTGTCGGCCTGGATACGCAGGGGCCAGGTGTCAGACAGGTAGGTATTTGCATCTACAGACACTGTAAATGTGCATTCTTGAGTCGGAAAAAATCCTCGCCAAGGGGGGTATTTGAATAACGGGGATTATTCTTTGATTGTCTTGTCGCATTGTTGTAACAGTTAGAAAGGCAATAGGTGGATTGGTCACTAGTCCGGCAAACGTACGACAATTAGAAGCAGCCACCAAGCACTTTCTAAAAAATAAGCAATATAGTTAATTTGGTGATGTGATATGATACTGACACTAGCTCTCATTACACTACCCTCAACCGTGGATGAATGCGCAAACGCGTTCCCAGGGTGCGACTAGGCGTTTCTGGGAAGGGAGGGGGAGGGGAGGGCGACGAGAGAAGCGAAAAGGGGAGTGATTGAAGTGAAAGAAACGCTGTCCTTTCTCCTCACCCCCCGCCCCCCACCCTCAAATTTCAAATCTTCTCTCTCCAAACCCCTAAGGATTAGGGTGTGACCAGTCAGAAGCTGAAGGGACTTTCTCATTCGATAAACCTATTCGGCTAACTTAATGTTGTACCCAATTCAAATCTCCCGAGGTTAACATTCTTTGTGTACTGTATTTGCATTATAATGTGGCATTCACATTTAAATGATACGATATGGGAATTCCTGAAACAAAACCTTCTATTCCCAAAGGGTATGAATTGGGTACAACATTGAGTTAGCCGAATAGATCTATTCTTCAAGGTTTGGCACTGTTTAATCAGTTATATGCTGCTGAAAGCTGACCTGCGTTATCAAACAAGTTTTTCAGATATTTTCGTAAACCCCGGTACGTCGCGGTGCCCGACCGTGGACCTGGAACTGGTACAAACTACGAGAAACGTAAATGGAACACGACATTCCGTTCGGAAATTCCAACCGGGAAAACGGACCCACCTTTTTAGATTTTCCATTTTTTCTGGGAATTTTACAGTGGGACGAACCGACGAAACGTGTTCCATTTACCCCCGAATCGGAAATTCCGCGAATTTTGACTAAATGGAAAGCGCTCAACTTTTTACCAATCGGGAATTCCATTTTTGCTCCCTCCGAAATTTCCGGGTTTTTTTCCTAAATGGAAAGCGCCCCTGGTGTCCGGCAATGACGTCGGCGTCACGCGACAAACTTGGTCGGTTGTTTTTGCGGCCGTTCAGGCGATTGGGAAATGTTTTTGACGATGAATTTCAACGGCAGAACTTTCTTAAGGAGAACGTTGGAGCAATTTAGACCATTAGCTTCAAAATAAGAGATAAAATCGTGATCAAAGAACATTCATCAGAGCGTCTCACTTGAGTTTGCTTCTAGCGCGCGCTATGTGTGACGGAAGAGCGTTTCATTTAGGCTTTTGCACATTATGCTAGCATTTTTTCGAGCATTCTAGTGAGGCAAAAGCAGCATTTTAGTAGCATTTTCCCCGGAAAATTAATTTTTCTGAGAAAATAAAATAGAAATTAACTTTTTTCAGGAGCCCATGCCCCACGAGCTCCTACGTTTTTAAAGAAAATGAAGACTAAAACTCAAAATTCACAAAAAACCTAATACAGCTGTTTTTTTGGCTGTATTTATGAACTTGTACAGGTTGTCGTTGTTACTTGCAACACTTGCACGTTTTTTGTGAGTGTAAACTTTGAAATTAATTAAAAAAAACCGTTTGTATAATGAGCATTATGCGAGCATTTTAGTGACTTTTTTGGGGAGACCGAGCATTTTAGTGGGAAAAATGGAGCATTAAGGTGGATCATTTTGGTGGGGAACCAAAAGCATAATGCACAAAAGCCTAGTTTCAGTTCGGCTTTTTAATTGTCCTTACACCTTAAACATAAAACACCGCCGCCTGACATCCAAATAATTCAATATATGCTTCGATTCGTTTTGATAGTTAACCAATGGGTAGATCATACGCCTCAATGGTGTACGCACAGCTATCGCAGACAGCTTCAGATTGGTGGTGGAGTCACTTTGGAGCAATGTAAACAGCTCTGTCCAAGCTGTGCTGCGATTGAGTACTGGTCTGGAAACACCAAAGGATGTTATGAGTGCCTGGATCACACCAAGCGTGAATGGTTTACCCACACCAACGATGGTGCGTACCCACCCCACGTGTATATACGGCAGTGAACAACGTCATCGTCCTCCTCTTGCTCACTTGTGTCCTTATCTCTAGAATTGAAATCAAACAATATTTTGGCACCCAGCGGTCGAAATTACGGAGCGGGTTATCCGGCAATGGTATTCAGAAAACAGGGAGCTTTAGCAACGACGACGGCGACGGCAGGGAAAACGTCCCTATTAAAATAAATTTGCGTTTTTTCCTGCTCGCTTAACATGCAGATTGTGGGTAGATTTCACTGGAGTTGAATTCTGGGGGGCCACACCCATGGGAAAGGAAAAAATTCTTCGCCATGTGACTAAGCGCGTACTCGCTTTTGGATATTTCCTTTTTACACGATGTTATTTGTTTTAATTATTATTTGTAGAGTAAATTGTTAATAACTAATAAGTCCTCCACGAAACGTGAAATTAAGTTTCACCTAGTCATGAAGTTACGGCAAAGAAATGTACCACAAAGTGCTTTTGCTTTTGTTTTTACATTTATCTATTCCTTTTTAAAGTTCCCTTTGCGTTGCAGTCGTCGTTGCTAAAGCACCATAATGTTTCGTCATGGGCCTCCCATGGAAATCACCCCTCCTAGGAGTTAGTGGGATCAGTAGACATGTATTTGTCCCTCGATTTGTTTCAAGTTATAAATGAGTCTTTTTCTCTATAAAAATAGTTTTTGATTCTGCGTTTGTGAGAACGTCGCGCAAAAAAAAAATATATATATATTTAAAAAATAAAATAAATAATAATAACAGCAAACTGATTCGTTAAGAAAGGATGGCAGCAAATGATTTATGTAACAGTGAGGACTAAAATGTGGAAGAAACTCGTGAGTAGTACTTCGGTTCTAATATAGAAGTAAACATCGAGTTTATTAATACCATCATATATTTGATGAACTCCTCCTTTCTTTGAGCATGTACCATACTAATGAATTGTGAATACAGTAAAGACCACTTGGGGGGTACTTAGGTTAATTTTGTTGGTTATGTGCCGCTGGCCTCTCAGTACCCCTAACCCCAAGTTGGTCATTTTTGGGCAAATATGTAATTTCGCGATCCCAGCTTAGTCACTTTCTATTTTTATGAATTGATCCATTTTTTGGGATTGAATGGAGAGCACTATACTTTTCATCTACAGTGCAAATATTCTGGTAAGTTTGCTAATCGGAAATATGAAGAATTCGTGAAAATGCGACCCCATCCAGGGGCACATCCCCATTAGCCTGTTATAAGAAAGTACCACCCCCCCCCACCACCTGCCGGGGTAAAAACCCACGTGTAAAGAACCTAGTGGATTAAGAATCTGCTGGCATAAATTTGCCACTTTGATACAGTGGAAGCTTGATTAAAGAAGGGCCAAGGGACTGGCAAAATTTGTTCCCTATATCGAGGTAATTTGTTATTTCGAGGGTCTTTTTCATATATCTTACTACGACTGGGATAAAGAAAATCATTTGTTGTACCGAGGACATCGTTATATGGAGGTTCCACTGTACCCCCAAAATACAAGAACCTCATGTTTAGCCAAGGAAAACCAAGCAGGTTTTTACGTGTGGGTAACAATTATGATAAACATTTTAACCAACGAGTTTGGCTTCGAGATTGCAAATTTGACTGTAATTACTAATAAAAGGTTTACTGTAATTCCTGCACAAAAACAGCTTTATATAAAGTACTGAGTGTGATTGTATACATGGGCCTTAATTCAGAGCAATTACTGTAAGAACCTAGCTAAGAACCTACTGAGCCTTATAATTGCCCATAAGTGTCCCCAGATGCAAGAACCTATTTTGCCAGACTTTAAAAACAGAAGGTTCTTCGGATACGTTTCTGGGAAACTGCCCACCTACCCCTCCCCTAAGGCAACATTAACACTTACTTCTCACATAGGGAAAAATGTTGGCTTAGGGAAGGGGTAGGTGGGCAGTTTCCCAGAAACGTATAATGATCCGCTCATTAAAGCAAAATTCAGTTTGGTGGAATTAAGCAATAAATTTAAGACACAGTTTGTTTCATGACTGCATCACAACTATTGTGAACCTTGCTGATCACAATTTTGATTATACACAGCTTTTTAAAGCGAAAGACATCTTTATCTGTATGTTATTAAATTTATTATTATATTTCTATATATTATTATATTTCTAGAAGTCTTACAATTTTCAACCTATATTCCTACATTTTTATGTTAGCTACCACTCAAAGGGAAGTAAGAAATATAAATAACATTCAGTCAGTAATAAAAACTATTTATCCTGCCTTATACTAAGAAAAAACCCTAGGTACAATATTACTGAAAGAAGCTTCACACGATTTAGTGAACAAGATACCTTTGGCACCCAGGGTACCAAAATTGCTAAACAAGGTCCAGTGGAACCCATACTATTATTATACTAGTGTCCATATTAACTGGGTGTCCCTATTAAGGAGGCTCTCACAAAATACAACACATGATATAAAGAATAAAGCAGACAAAGAGCAACAAGGGTAGGAACAATGACTGCCACAAAAAGCCAAGGAAGTGTGGCAGGAGGCACAAAACCTAATTAATGGACTCCAGTACAAGTGTCAGTCAGGAAGAAGAACAGATTTATTAAAATCAAACATGTCATGCTATTTTGCTACTTTTTAACGTAATAATATTGTATTAACCCATAGAAATATAGTATTCGAACAGGGTACGAGCCCTACGAGCACATGACAAGAAAAGACAGTGCGCAGGTAACCAGAGTCTGTAAAGCATATGCAGTTGACAATATACAAGAGTTTGTCACTCAGGACTCAGGACACAGAAAAGTGTCCCGAAACACATAATGCTTTTTGTCGGGACAAAAAAAACTGTCTGTTACATACATATATGGGTGTCTGTATTAAGTGGGTGTCCATAGAGCAGGTTTACACTGTAATATGTTTTCAGACACCAATGCTCCATCTATCCATGTAACAACTGAGGCAGGTGCAGGTGCCTCATGGTGACATCCAGACATTTAGCCAGATATTGAAAACTGGCCGTCCAGAAGGCATGTTTTCCCATAAAATTATAAGATAAAGTGAATTTTCTTTGTATTTCTTCCAAAAATGGACGTCCATAGGGTGGCTGGACACCCTTCTGGCTAAAGGCTTGGTAACATCCCTGAGCTAATAAGACAGCTGCTGTCAACTGTGGCAGCACTACAACGTATTAGTCCTTACTTACAACCAAATATCTCTCTTGGCCTTTACCATAAGACCTGTGCTTCAATCCATACCGCTGTGAAATGGTATGAATAAGTGCTCTGTCCTCTTTAGACAGTTCATTAGAAAACTTAATCTGCTGGTCAGCACCACTGATAAATGAGAGAAGGACATCTTGGACAGAGCCTTTTGTCACGTCTGCCCCCTGAGTGGGGTTACATCCCAGACCAAACTTTCTGTCTGTGCCGACAGCCATAACAGGCTCAGTGCGACCCTGACAGTCCTTACCAATCCCTCCACTTCCTGTCCATCCCATTTTTCTCAGCAGTTGGTTGCCAATATTGTCATCAGAGATAATCGGCGCCGTGACATAAGCTTTCGAAACTAAATCTGTTTTGGACACACATGCAGCAGTTTGATGTTGTTGAGAGGTCGGTCCAATTCGTTTGACTGGCTGACAAGCACGAAGAATCTCTAAAGCTTTTTCAGCAGCAATTCGCTTGGCCTGCTTTTTTCCAGGCCCTTCACCCGCTGCAATTAATTTGTCTGCGATTATCACCGCACAAGAATACAGAGAGGTTTTCTCAGTAAAACCAAGATCCTCAAAAGATATTGTCTTCTTTGACTTCTGTGCACTCTCGTTTAAAATACTCACGGGGTTATTGTTCGTGCTTTCATCTCCTTCTTTTGGTTCATAAATTGTGAAATTCCCTATCAAAGGTTTGGGTTTCTTTACCGATTTATCCGGCAACGAAATTCGGGGTCCCTTTGCTTCAAGCTCTTTGACAAGTTCCTCTGTTTTTGACGGATATCGGCAGCCTAGGAACTTCATGTTAGCCCAGACCATAGACAATGCTGCAAGTCGTTCTTCTGAATAATGATTTTTCCATGTTTCAATAAACTGAGATCTGGCCTTCCACTGAATATCGCTCTCCCAGAGACATCTGATGCACCGTTTGCCCGCCATCTTGAAAAACATAAGTGAGAGGTCACTAAGCTTTCCCTTGGATGGACGCTGAGCACAAGAACAGCAGTAAATAATATGGCCGGTCATTTGTCCAAACCATTTCTGTGACTTAAAATTCTGATTATTCTGTTCCTTTTCCGTCGTTGTTGGAAATTATGACCAGAGGTTTGATCTCTCAGCTCCGCAGTTTTCAGCAATCCCTGTTTTTGAACAGATACCGGTCTAGCATTTCGAACTATAGGAGCCAAAGATACGTCTTAACACGAAGTATTCGTTCTTTCAACTTTCTTCCGTTCATCTCGAACCCATGGATAAAGGCGATAAACAGGGAGCATGTAACAAGGAGATTTTCCAGCCAGAAAAGCCCAGAACAACACACAAAACAGGATCGGATTCCTGCAGATGCTACACCTCACCACTATCACACTACCACGATATTACAGAGACTGCATGAGTTAGAGGAGGCGTTTCGCGTCAGGGGACACTCTGTATTGAGATGGGGATTGAGTGCTGTTATTGTGTCCGGGTTCGTTATTTACATTTTTCGTGAACAGTTAAAAGAAAACGTCGCTGATGAAGTGGCGGACGTCGCCAGCAGATCACTGGGTAAGGTCAACAACAAAATAGATTACTGCAGCGGGGGAAGGGACGGGGAATATGGTCATGTGTTTGGGTAACGTTACGTTTTGCCAATAAAAGAATAGAAAACGTTCCACCCGCAAAAAAGACCAACGGAGGCCCTTGTTTTCTAGCAGCAGCTAGAAAAAAACAGCTTAAAACAGCTAAATGAATGATATAAATATTTTAGGAAAGGTCACGTGTTCAGTCCCTCCTATCTAATGGTTCATCCTATGACAGCGCATGTCACATGAATCAAACAGTCCCTGGAAGTTGCACATTATGGTGTATTATTGTTCAGCTCTATTAAATTTCCATTCCAAGGCTGTACTCTAAAAAAATATGAAGGAAGCTCCGTGCGCTGAACCTGTGAAATCCAGGGTGCTCAGCATGCGATTCCTATGAGAAAACCAAGATTTCCTAGTTGCCTGGTAGCAAAAGTTAGGTCAAAGGGTTCACCAGGGGCCACAAGATCACAGCCAGGGATTCCAGTTGAATTCATTACTAGTGGCAGATTTCAGATTCATCTCTTCATTTCTTCATGCATAATGAGCAGTGAATTCACACGTGAGACAGTGACAAAATTTCTGCCAGCTCAGTTTTCTTGAATCTTCATAGAAATTTTATCCATTCATAATCAAAGATTTTTCAGCCTGTTATAGTGAACAATTCCCTGCTAATTGTGTATGCAGGAATGCAGGTTTGTTTTTGATACTAGTTGTGGTAATGACTATTTACACAGGTTCTTTTTTGAGTAATTTTAAATGGACTGTAGAGGACTATGCCTGACTTGGGGTGACTGTAAGCATTAGCATAGCATTAGGATTAGCACTGATAATATTATTGTTACTATGATTAATAGTCAAAAATGCTCATGATAAAAATGAGGTAAAAATATAAGCTTATACTTAGTTTATATTTCATATGTGATCTTCATTTCCAAAGACAGTGTTAAATAGGCAGGAGCACAAGTGTTGAACTCTTAGTTGAGGGGAGGGGGAGCAAGGGGGGGATCTCGTCACAAGTTCACGAACAACAATTTTGCGCTTCACAAGTCACAAAACAAATAGTGTAATTATTGACCTTTCATCTCGGCCACGTGTTAGGGTGATCTTTGGGTGGCTATAAATTCCCTAGGGAAGCTAGCTGTAGGTGGGTCTCAAGTGTGAAGTTACATCAAAAGACTCAAAAGTGAAGTTAAATCGCCACCAGATAAGGTCGTTTGGTCAAATTAACACCTTTTTTTTTCAATTGATCCTCAATGTACGTGTACAGTATCAAGGATTTGGGGAGTTTGTGTTTCATGGAGTGCACTTCAATCACGATTCACAGATCAGTTTTAGCAGTACATCGCAATTCATGGACCCCAAAAATGGTTGATCATGGCATCATGTAAATAAGCTTATCCCCCCCCCTTCTTAGTTATTCTTACACTCCAACATATGTAGCCTGAGAAAAGAAGAAAGTTCACGATAAAATTGCTTCTGTTAAGAGAAGTTAATGCCACACCCTTCAAGTGTTTAGCAGCTTTTGCACAGACAATGCAACATCAAATGTCAGAAGATTGTGAAAAAAGTGCAGAAAGGACTGAACACCACTTCCGGTGCTCATTGGTCGAGATGGTTTTAAAATGATCTGCACTCTGACCTTTCTCCAGGGTCTTGTCCTTTTCCAATATGGCGAGTGGAAAAAACGAGAAGACCCTGAGGACGAGGTTGGTCTGCCCTCTTACTCGTCACTGTCGTCATGTTGTCTCACAGATACCGGAAGCTCACACGTGAGTGTCGTTGTTGCGTAACAGAAATGTTATTAGGGTTTACATCATTATGGATATTTTAGTGACTGTTATTAACCTCAAAAATAGCAAGAAAATTAGTACTTTACTTCTTACCTTGTCCTTTTGTTATGCAACAACGATTCTCACTGGTGAGCTTGAGGTACCTGTGGTTATCTTTGCTAAATCTACCTATTTTGAAGGTGAAAAATGGGCACCTATCGAATGGGCTTATGCGTGAACGGTCATGAAAAGTGCCACCCTAAGCTAAGAAAACATCTTCTTAATTTGTATTCTAATTTAATTTTTCCATGTAGCTGATGAAAACGTCATACAAAAGGCCGATGAAGTCACGCGAGCAGTCCTTCAAGACGTTCTTCGTGACCTGGAAATCACGAAGCTGGCCAGTGCGTTTGTGATGGAAGTACTTAACAGAGAAGACGTAAGAAATGCGGCCATACAGTTGACTCAACACGTACTCAGCGATCCATCAACAGGAAAAAAGATCGCGGAACTTGCTAAGAACACGCTTTCGGATCTGTTAACGAATGACGAAACCCGAGTTTTGTTGCTTAGTTACATTAAATCACTGATTTTAGACCAGAACACAAAAGATGCGTGCAAAGTGCTTCTAGAAGATCTGGTCAAGGACCCTGAAGTCAAAGGCTTCATGGCGGCTTCTCTGGGCGAACTTGTTACTTCTTCTGTTGTGAAAAACAGCGCAGCCGAACTGGGCAAAAGTGTGACGCATGAAGTTGTCAACGATGTGAAAATTCAGCAGGAAACTGGAAACTTTCTGTGGGGGACTGTGAAGAAAACGCTCACTCCTGGATGGTTTGGTTAGAGGGGAACAACAGGATCTTAATCAGTGGCGGATCCTCGGGGAGTGTCGCGGGAGTCCGGAATCCCCCCAACTCCCACCCGCTATTTAATCCAATCCAGAGAACTTCTTAAACGATTTGCAGGGATCTGATAATGTACATGATCATTTTATTGTTAACAAAAACAGCGAGGCGAAAAAAAGAAGGGCAAAGCCCCAGTAGGCCTTTTACGAGTTTCCCCGGGCCTCTATATCAAAACAAGGTTAAATTTTCATTCTCATGCAAACAAAACTCATTTTGGCCTCATTTTGAAAGTGAAGGTTTTTGGAACTTGTAAGAGGCCTATTAGGCCCATTATCCATATTTACAAATCCTCCATACCATCTCCATACATTTCCTTAAAGAACTACTGAAAGAATTTGTTTAAAGAGCAAAGTATTTTCCCTCAGGTGATCATTTTATATATTCTTATAACCTTTTCTCTTGATTTTGTGTTGATGTTGTTGGGAGAAAATAGATATTGGTCATGCTTGGGTCTGAAACGCGAACTGTTGACATCTGTTCGAACAACTAGACTGATTCATCAGTCAAGACAATTCTAAAGACGTCCAACGTGCGGTGTGCTCTCGAACCGGGTCGGACCTGTGTGGGAGTATTGCCCAAGAAAGCGTTCGTTCGGTGACTATAGGTATGATTTATAATGGTTTTAAGAAAGGGTTCATGCACTGTTTTTTTTCGTGTCATCTCGCACTGTTATCCAACTAGGTGACCGTTTTAGCAATAGAGGTAAAATATAAATAAATATGCCATTTGGGTGGTATACGGGGTGAACGCGTCAGCTTAATAGAGGTCAAATTTACAGTACTTGGGAAGGAAATTAAGGGAATAGTTTATAAATGCCCGCCGCTTAAAAAAGGTTTGACTTTTCTTTTAAAACTAACTACCTTGATATTTCAAAGAAAATATATAAGAAAATATATATCACCGAATTGGTTGAAGAGTTCCACACACCTCGTAGATAGCTTAAAGGAACCACAAAATACCTTACAAGCTTTTTCCAACCGGTGAAATCTGGACAAAATAATTATATAAATATCACACAATTCTACTGCGTAACGAGTAGAACGTCACATCAGTTTACTGTGCGTATGATCACGGTAAGATTCTGGTTGTTGAAGGTGTCTGGTAGAAACTCGTGCGATGGCGAAGAAGGGTGGAAAGTATTGGCAATGAAACAGCACAGGCTCTAACACTACTTTTTTCATAAAACATTCCTTGGTCCGCCCCAGTTAATGTCGGGTTATTGGTAACACGGCAAAAATTAAGTCGTTAGGCTTAAAAATCGAAAAACAACAGCATGAAAAAAAGTTAACCCTTCAAAAAGAGTTAATCGTAAGACATTTTTCGGCACAATTTTTAAGTTTGAGTGTCTTGAGTGTTTGGTGTGTCTTGTGTCCTGGCTTGTAGATCCTGCTGTAGGTGTCTTCCTTATGTTTGGGTGGCAAAATAGGTCCAAGCGTTTGAAATGTTTTGAACAGGAACACTGGGTTTCAACTTTGTTTTATAAAAGTTTCTGTTCATCGTTACGGAAAAAATTCAGTAACCGTAGGTTGTAAAAAGTCATTGATCGTACAAAAAAGCCACAATCACTTTGAGACCCTACACTAAACTTAACTCATGCACTACCCCTGAATTTTATCTGATGTCAAAATAAAAAACCGTTTTAAGAAGAAACGTTCTTTGAAGAGATGCGAAAACCCTGGGCTGCCTTATTTAGGGCTCTCTACTGCGCAGACGGGTTAGACGGGGCGGGAACTGGGAATTATCTCCGAATTATTCAGTGTATTTGTACCCAGATCTGAAACATCCATCAACCTCCTAGAGAAATTGAAAACGAAATATATAGTGTCAATACCGGCTACCATTTCTGAAAATAACTTAAAACGTTGACCTTTTAGGCCCTCAAATTAATGAACAAATTAATGTAACGTATTTGGTAAGTTGACGATATGTTTCTGCCTCAAACTGCCAGATAGAGAGACGTACTTTTCCTGATTTGAGTTGGGAAAAATTGAGATTAAGCGACGAGAAGCTTGTCGTTTGCAAACCCGGCCTTCCCTCGGGGTTGGCTCAAAATTTATTGGCTAATTCATGGTTTGGTGCAACTAATGAGTTCATAAAATCTTTTCTACGCGGTAATTGAACACGGTTAATCGGACGGCATTTTAAGAAACCTCACTTTCAATTTGCTAGGGCGCATACGTTGCGCTCATCACGGTAAAAAGGAGTTTTGGCGATGATAGAATCCAAAAATATCGGGCTTAAACCGCGCCATTATTTTACAAAAATAATCGACCTTGTGTTGTGGCCGTTATGTGGAAAAAATATGTATCAATGTCTGCCATACTTCACTTTAACCGAGTTTTCAATCTAAGAAAACAATGTTAGTGTTTGATAAGTTGAATATTTTACGCAATGACTGAGCGAGAAGCTATAAAAGACGACTGAATTTCAAAGGAAAGGGCTCCGCTTGACAGCAGTCGAAGCGTTGTTTTGTAGAAGAACGCTTGGATTAATTTCCATTCAGTAAGCCGTTGCTAGTTGGTATCCAAGCACGTGATCGAGTTAAGCAAAGGGCCTTTTTTCCCTGAACAACGGCGTGTTTACGCAATTTTTTGGTGGAATTTTTAAGCCCTTAGAGAGATCCGCTTTGCACAGAAAGAAGCCGTGCTAAAATACTTTGCATTGAGAGATCCCGCCTTAAATCAGTAAATGATGGACGATCCAATAATGAACAGTTGAAAAACTCCCTCCAGCAGGTACCCGTGACCAAACCATTCATGACCAGATAAATTTTTAACAAGGTATACTAGGTCCCTTAAAAGGGTGTCAGATTTCGTTAGTTTCCTACGCAGCTTTAGGTAACGATCTGCTTTCAAGCTGCGAAAGACACCCGCTTTAAGAGCTTCTATTTGGCAATTCCTGCATCTATGCGTCGGTTTTGAGATTTCGTGGGAGTTGATTAAAACTGCTCCCGCATGCTAAGTTGGGTGGATCGTTGTCATTATCATTTCATCTTTGTTATGTTTACTTATGCGCAATCTGACAATCAGGTCGCTAGAAGAAGAAACCGATGCAGGCGTTTGCAAGAAACACGTTGACTGTTAAGTCCGTCAGCTTTTGGCTGTAAACAGAAGAAATCTTCCTTCATAGATGGAGCATTGAAAACATTGAAGAAAAAGCTCGCAACAAAAAGGAAAAATCACAAGAAAAGAACGCCAACAGATTGTTTGCTTGTTTTGTTCTCAGCTGGAAGGCTTTTTTTATTACCGTGAACGCGGACAAACTGTGCAGAATGGAAATAATTGGAAGAAATCCAGGAATAAATCCTAGAAATTCGGATTTACTTGTATTATGCTCGATTTGTCTGGAGGAGGTCCATGAAAATCGAACAACCATTCATCGCCAATGTGACGGAAATTTCTGTGATTCGTGCTTTGGGGCCTATATACGACTGCAAATAACCCAGGGAAAATGGGAGGTGGAATGCGCCAACTGCAGCTTATTGTTATCGGAGGAAATTCTTCAGCGCTTCTTGCAAGACTACCCGTTACTCCAAGAACATTTTGCCCGCCTCTTGGCAGACGCATATACAGATCCCCTAGTCAAAACTTGCCCCAACTGCTGCTTCTTGACGCGTGTGAAAGAAGAACTAACGAGGCATTTAGTCTGCTCAGAATGCCATTTCGATTGGTGTTTCTCATGTCACGCTCCATGGCACAAGGGAATGAACTGCAAAGACTTCAAACGCGGAAGCAAGTTGTTCAAGGCGTGGACAAAGAGTACCACCGAAGGAACCAAAAATGCTCGACGCTGCCCCAAATGCAAGGTCTTTATTCAGAGATTAGAAGGATGTGATCAAATGTCCTGCCCGCGCTGTCGAACCCAGTTCTGTTATCTATGCGGTGAGCGCATCGTTCATAGTAGAATTTTAGGGGGTCATTGGAGTATTTACAGTGTTTTAGGTTGCAGATATATCTACAAACAGAATCAACCGGTGCAGAGAAAGATTATACGGGGACTTTTAATGAGTATCGTGTTAACATCGCTGCCTATTTTGGCTGTAATGTTTCTAGCTGTGTCACCAGCATACGGAGTTTATTACTTACACAAGTATATCCGTCGGCACTGATTTCAGCACTGCGTGAAATAATATTGACAAACGTCTTTTTTAATGGACGCGCTTTTAGCCAGTTGCTGGTTTACAGCGTGCCTTCAATTTTTTTAAAGTATGCAGGCGCGTAATTTGATGGTTTAGGTTAGCACAGTAGTAAAATAACGAAAGTGTAAGTAAGAAGAGTTTGTCGACCCCAAGGTCTTGTAAATTGTTTATAGGCGGGTTAACCCACTTCAGAGAGAACCTACCAATCTGACCCAGAACCTGGATATTTCGTGACTTATCACTCGGACCGTTTGAAAACCAAACGTTTTGATCGATTTATCAAACTTTCTTGACAAATGAGAAGCAAAACAAGGGACTCGGGCGTTCGCGTTCGTGAGTTCTGATGGGTTGATATGACTGGATTTACCTGTTTTGACTGGTTAGAGTGATAACTTTTTTTTTTTTGGCACAAATTTTCCCGCGCTTGACGCCGGGGTAAGTGTACTATAATTGGTTCATTTGATTGGCTTTACCTTTCTTGATTGGTTGGAGTATTATAACTTTGTTTGACTTGTACACATTTTCCCGCACTCGGCTTGACGCCTTGCTAGATTTACTGTATTTTGATTAATTGAAAATAACTTTGTTTTCAGTTTGACAGTATTTTGAACTGAAACTGCTCTAACCAAGACCTTCATCAAGTTTCTCAGCACATAACATTTTTGGCTGCACTGTTCATTGTCTTCCACTGATTCCTCAAGTTACTGATTCTTTCTCTTGAGAGTCTTGTAAAGCCGTTTCCTTTATTTTTGAAAGGTTCTCTTCTGTTTTGTTCAAATTGTGCTGAAATGAAGAAAGAAAAGATAAATCGCTTTTGTTTTCTTTTTATTGTTTTGTTTTGGTTAACCAGTTGATGTTACTATTGGATTAAAAAAGTATGATTCAAAATGCTCTCCATGCCTTCCTTTCGTTGCATACTTAGTGTGAAGGCAAACACGGAGGGAAGGCATCCCCCCCCCCACACACACACACACACCACCCCCGTGGGCGAGCCATTCCCCCCTCCTCTACAGGTCTGTCTCGATACTACTATATTAACACTCACTTGTAGCACATGAAGCCCTGATAAAGAAGCTACAGCTATCTCCTCCATTCCGTCGTTTGTTAGATCCACGTACTCAATAGCGAATAAAGGATTTGCAAAACTTCTTCTCCAGATTAATTGAAAATCAACGTTACAACAAGACTGCAAACTGCTCTCCCCGCTGATGCACTTGTATACAAGTAATTCCTGTCAGCAAAGAGAAATTAGGTATTAAAATTCCTTGAATTAATCTACACATATCTTGTGTGAAAGCGCCGCTGAAAAGCTTGACTTTACTTTACAACCATTTCCATAACCAGCCATTACCCTATTATGGATGGTGTTTAGCAGTATTTTTTCCTAGGGGCACCTCCTTAATTTACTGTTTGTTTCTAGAAAAAAAAACAACAACTGTCTAATAGGCGTTGAGAGAGGAACCTCTCCCTAACTCCCCACCTACCCCTCTCCTAACTGTAAGTTGGTGTTAACGTTGGTTTAGGAGAGGGCGGAGATGGGTAGTTTCTCTGAATCTTATACGATCCCAAGGTTGCATTACCTTTACTGAGAAAAGCTGTTCCTCCCGAGGTGCGGGACGGATTTCCTCCTCTCACGTACTCTGTCCCTTGACCGGCGCGGCTAGAATACACTGAACGCTTTGTGGGCGTTTGTACAATTAAATACCAGGACCTCTATACGCTGTAATGTTTAATTTTATATTTCTGACCACGCATTCTTGTAATTCAAAAGTGTCGCCTGTGATTCAGCTACAAGGCGATAGTAGATCCGGAATTTCTCACCCATTGTTTGTGCTTATTAGCGAGAAATCAGGGATTCAGTGCGAAAACCGACTCTGTTATAGAGTAGGATCTAAAGTACAATATAACTGGTAACTCGCTCACGGAGAGAGAGGGTTACTTTATACCTTGTTACACAATTAGAAGAAAAAGAACAATATGTTAACTGCATCTGTGCAATTATCTATATTCGACTTTCAATAAGCTCTTCTCTTTTCCATTACCCAGAACTCCCAGCCATGACTTTGTAACCCTGCCCTAAGACTTAACTGCTTCAAACCAGATCCTTTTCATTACCTGTCCATAGGTCCCTAAAATGACTTCGTTACGCCCGTCCCAGTCTACATCAGCAATGCATGTACATGTCACGCAATCGAAATCATCTGAATCTGGTAACGTTACCATACTTGTAAAGCCTTCATTGATTATATTCCTGTAAATTAAAGACGCACATTCGCCACGGAAACTAGGCCGAGTTAGCTTTCGTAAAGACTTTCGAGATCGTTACGAGGGACGCACCTGTCAGCTACAGGCGGATTCATCTACATTTCTGCTCATTAGCATACGAGTTATTAAACCCATAAAAGATGTAGCCGTATATACCAATTAGGTTCAAAAATTAAAAGAGCTGGTTTATTTATGCAGTTTGTGCAAGTATCAGCTCTTTGCAATCAGTAACAAAGAAAATAGCAGCAATTAAATACTGCAAAATTGCTGGGTGGCAAAACGTTAATGAGCTCATACATTCTTTGTAAATTTGGGGGTTTTCCAAAGAGAATTTCTCCAAAACTGTCTGGTATATCGGGCTCAAATTTTCAGAGATAACTGAAATTTTAATGCTCTTTCAATATTCAGAAATTTCATTTTATTAGCCTCATCAGATAATGATTAGATAAGTCTATGCTAATAAGGCAAATAATGTAAACAAGGATTCGCCTATTGGCCAACCCCAGTAACAGTCCCAAAAGTCTTTGCAAAAGTTAACTAGGCCCAGGTTTACACTTACACAAGACAACTAGATCACCCACTAGAGAACATAACGACCCCACGAAATTACTTTAAATAAGTCGAAGCTTTGCTTGCGCTTGTCCAGGTTTCAAATTTTTAAAACTGTCGTTTCGCGCAAACACCCACCTGGACAAATTCAATTTGTTACGAAAAAGACGCGTCTCAGAGAAGATGGGTCTTAAAAAAATACGCGAACTTCTCGTTTAAATGGCACAAAAAGTCTTCGCGTATTACCTAAGGCGGTTAGCTAAGACGCACTTCATATGCTTGTATAAATGGGACAGTTCGTGTCGCCCCCCTCCCCCTCCCCTCCACTCCACTCCACTCATACTCTTCGATCGATAAGGCAAAGCACGGGCCTTGGAGTTCCCAACGAGGGTACCAATTCATGCAAGACATTTATTACAAAGCGTTAATATCTCAGATTGGATTTTTCTCTAATAAAAAGAACAGCCTGTATGAAAACGAATACATACGTAAAAACAACGCTCGCTTCGATAGAACAGCTCACCAACAGGTGGTACTCGGAGATTGGGTCAGTTTCGTCTTCAATGATATTTTTTTCATCTACGGGGAAGAATATTAGAAAAAAAATGCAAGAATTAAGTGTTTTCAGGGTGTAGTTGTTCGTTGCCTTGTTACACGTGGCAGTTAGCCAGGGTTAATTGTAACAAAGCAAACAAGTTGTCTTGGTAGCTAACTAACCCTGGATTTGCACTCTGAATAGGCCTTTAGAACAACTCGGCCCAGAAGTCAATAGCTTGTACTTGTTTTCAGTTAATGCTTAGTTTGTTCCTCATACTTAAAGAAACTCTGCTCCACACCGTGTATCTGCAACCAGAGCCAGGTTCCTGGAAAGATACCGAGGATTAATCCTGGGTTAAGTCAAATTATAAGCACCTCTTTTTTGTCGGCGAATATGCAAATGGATTTATGAAAAATTGTTGAGCCTTAATTCCAAGGTAGAGTTATCTGATACTCTCAACGATCTATAGGAAGGCCACAATACAATCGTGAATTAAAATTTAATCCTGAATAAGCATCGGCTTTTAAGAAAGGCCCAGGGACTATACATTGGTACGAGGTCCCACTAAAACAAGGTGTAGCCTTACGATGGATCCCATCCAGGGAGTGGAGGCAATATTGCTAATTCCATAGTGTTAGACGCCACAGATCCCGCGGGATTATCCCTCGAGTACATCCATAGCCTATAGTTACAACTGAGAAACTTAGAAGTTACTTGAAAAATCACCGTAACTATATATAGAAAAATGTTTTTACCATCGATGGCTTCAGTTTTGCAAGAAGTCAGTGAAAATAACTTCACACTTGAAATTGGTCCATCCCGATGCAGACTGTGCTCCTTTACAATATCTGCCAAAGTAACACACCAAAAAGCAAATAAAATAAATAAGTGAGTTTTTCTGCAATTGTTAAAGGATACAGGTGGCAAGATAAAAGAGCATTCCGCTGGAATAATAATTACTAACTAGATCGAGCGGACTTCGAAAAACGTCGAAAAACGGATTTCGTGATTGGCTTGATTTTCAAACAGGAAAAAATCGGTGCGAAAATCTATATAATAGCGGTATAAAAAGATTCAAAAGATTTTGTAAAGGCTGCAAATGACTAACTCTGACTCGCACCGCCTTAATTGGACTTGCAGACAAGTGAATCAACGGGGACGTCAGCGCAGAATATACTGCCACACCTACAGTACGACACTTAAAAAGCTTGATCCATATCGGCACTTGTCCTTTTTTAACATACTGCATACACTTCCAACGTGGTCATGCGCCGTTCACGCCAGGGAAGCCTCCTCCGCGCCTATTTTTTCTCCCCAGGCAACGCTCAGCTCGCTTCGCTCACAGATTTTGGGAGCCTGGTCGCAGGCTGACGTACACGTGCCAACTCTGACACGTTACACGTGAATGACGATCAACGCAGTTTAATGTGTATGCAGCAGTTGCATTTACAGTGTAACCCTTATTTTTCGCCCTCTGGTTTATCTGTCGGTTCTTGTTCTCCATCATTTTTTTAAAGCTCTTTTCTGTTTTGTGTCTTGTTTCCCTTTTTTGTTCTCTGTTTTCCGTTTTCTGTTAGACTTTTCGAATCCTTTTTCCAGTTTTCTCTTTCTCTTTTTGTTTCGATTTCGGTTCCCTTTTCCGTTTCCACTTCCTTTTCCCGGTTTTTTTTTGTTGACTTAATTCAAGTCACAAGCATCGGAATTTTATTTCGTTCTCGTAGATCTTGGATGTCAAAGGGCGTCCCGAGCACTGAATGAAGACATGCGAAGTTACCCGACGTTGTGCGAAGGTTGCCGAAGGTTGCAAGGTTGCCGGAGACGTTCAGAAGAAACCTTGAACTTCAACTTAAAGTTGAAGCGGATAGTCAAGTAGAATTGACGAGAGTAATATGCCAAGTACATTAGAAAGCTAACAATGCTAGAAGAACAACATACTTGGTTCTCCAGTAAGGTCTGTGACTGCAACTTTAACATAACCATCCTGACATCCCAGAACTGTCACTCGTCTTGACTGCTCAGTTAATACTTCCAACCAGAGAATACTGTATGGAAAAAGACAACAGTCTTACTGAGTCTACAGGCCTAGAAGTAGAAACAGTTACATTGACAATCCTGTTACCATGGTCACCCAACAACATTTTCTTGACATGCTGATGACACGTCTACAACCCGGGAAACTCCTCTTGGCTATGTGAAAGCCCAGGGGAGTACTCAACAAAATTTTATACGGGCAGGCATCGCCCCGAGTTCCAACCCCTCACCCTCTTCTATTCCGTTTTTGACAGAAAAATTACCCCTTTCTTATACCTTCTATTGACAAACGGTACCTCTGTTACATAACTAGTTTAGAACTTTTCATCCCTTTTCACTGCTGTAAATGCACCGTCTTTTAAATATGAATAAATCACTATTCCAGGAAGTTTTCTTGTCTTTTTTAAAGCCATAAAATGTACATGTTAGCCCTTTTAGATCTCTTACAAACCGAAATGACAGATTTCCCGCCCCTTTTATACTTCAACTAGTAAAATCCCTTCCTTTTCATATACCTAGAGCCTGAAAAAGGTGCCCCTTTCAAACAAAACCATCATCGATCGTGTGTAGGACATTATGGGGAGTAACCACCTCCCCCCCTTGGGTATGACAGTGACAGGGATGCTTGTCGTCTTGCATAGGGGTGACAGATTTCGGTCTCACTGAGGGTGTTCAGGTTGGAAGGCCAAAATGGGGACATTTTTTCTCCATAAGTATCACTTAGGGTTCTGCATAAAAACATGATGTCATGCTATGTTGGAGTATAAAGCCTTAGCCCAACCAGATTGGTCTCCTAAGGTATCACAACAAGTTGTGCTTTATTTTATAAAAATGCTGTCATACTATGTTGGAGTGATGTCTCTTGTACAGATCAAAATTAATAAAGCCTGAGCCAAACCCATATTTGGTCTTCTTCAGGGGTCAAATACAGACTAATTAGGCCACGCCCATACTAGTCTCCTTTAGGGGTAAACTGCTAATTATAATTTTCTGACAGGCATCCTGATCTCTTTCACATGACAGTCACCTCTCTGGAGACCACAAATTCCTTACAGTATGATGGGTTTCAGAACTCATCCAGTCAACAAAGATGATGTATTGGAGGATGGTGAAGACAGATACAGCATCCAGTCTGTAATTTCAAATGAGTAGATATGAAACCGTCCTATCTGTGACAGATTACAATAGCAATCTTACTTGCTTGGTAAATTTTGTAGTTCTGGAAAATAGTTTTTTACTGGTTGCTCTTCAAATCTCTTGTGGATCCTATCCTAAAAAAATGGAAAGGTAAAGAAACTTTAAAATACTACAAGTTTTGTTTCATCTATATCAGTCTTGATACAAATTATGTTCCACTAACCTCACAGAACATGTGAACACTTTCATCACTTCCACAAAGTAGAAACACAATTTCTCTCCTTCCTTTTATGAATACTCTGTCAATAAGAGAGTAAGAGTAATAAGTAGTTTGAAAAGAAAGGGAAAAGGGGCAAACTACAGCAGGACTAGCCCAGTCCACAGAGCACTTGACGAGATGACAGGTCGGAGGTCCAGGCATTTGATTTCCAGAACCTGATCAATACTCAACATGAAGGTATTGCTTTTGCAAATGGCTGCACCGTCGTGTGGCTTGGATGACCAAACAAAATGGCACAAACTCATCCCATCTCCAGTAGGAGACATTAAAATAGTGTCATCAATTAACTAAGTACTTTGTGCTAAATACTTTGACACTCAAATTAAGTGCATAATTTTTTTTCTGGAAAACTCAAAGGATATATGATGGAGGAAGGAGGGAAGAGCTGCTTTAGTCATTGTCTCATTATTTTCCTTTTTTTCCTTTGCCACTTCTCCTTCCCCATTTCTTTTTTGTTTCTCTGTTGTGTTTTAAGTTTTGTCCTTGGTTTAAACTCAATTTTCCTTTGCTTTTTGATATAGCAATGTATGATCATGGTGAGTAATAGAATTTAAACCAAGGATAAAATTAAACTAAAAACAAAATTAAAAAATGATATACTGAAAATACTCTACCCCTTTAACTTTGCATTAATTGATAATTAAATTTGAGCTACAATCAGAATGCCAGTGTTTGAATCTCTTTATGGAGGCCAATTTACCCTCCCTACATTCCACTTCACCACTATAAGAACACCATGATAGTTTCTCAAAAATCAGACCTTAAAAAGATTGAAAGTTACTTTAAATAAGAATAAAAAACAAAATTCTTGCAACCTTACTCTGCATGTGTCAACTGAAATGGAACAAAATCCAACTCAAGATGCTGGCAACCTTCTGAAAGGAAAAAAAACCAGGCAAATATTATCGAATGATATATAATTTTTACCCGACTTCATCATAATTATTATAATTTTTTTTTTATTATGTCTGGACTTTTTTTTTACAATGTTCACAATAACATTCACCTAATATTCAAAACAATTTATGCTGGGTAATGACTCAGATCATTATACCAAATACAGTGTTATTATAAATGTGGCAATTAAAAACAGTCATTATCTTGAATTAGCCAAAGCCAGAAAGAAATAGAGAAATCATAACAAGTATAGTGCCTATTTAAGGAGAAACAGAGTCAACTGACCTGCTATACTATCAAGAGAGAACACTGCTTTGCTTTCAAGTGCTGAATAAATATTCAAAAATTGTTTCTGGTGGCTTCTGGAATTCTGTGGAGATACATCTAATAAATAAACAGGGAATAGGGTTGACTCCCATTCTGTTTTGTGGCAGTGGCTCAATTATTTACCCCAAAGAGCTGAGGTATGGTGCCAATTCCATGAACAAATTAGCTAGCACTGAAAGGTTGTATAATTTATAGCATCCATCATTGGCTTCATAAGTCTAAAAAGGTTATAAGACCTTAGTCATACCAGTCCACAAATCTTAATATAGAGCATGATAAAGCTTGACTAGTCTTAGCTATAAAATAAATATAAAAGATTAAATTGTTGTTCTAATTTTTCATTACTACTCATACCTGTATGTCGTTTTAACATACTGTGAGCAGTTTCTGATTCAAGCCAAAGTCAACTCTTATTTAAAGGGGTCTCGACAAAACTGCGAGCCAGCAAGTCGTGGAAGTCAAGCAAGCCATCAGTAAAAATAAAGTGAAAACAAGTAAAAAGTAAAAACTGCAAATTTACAGATTAAGGGTTGAGCACTGACATTTTTCTGACAAGGGTTGAGCACTCATTTTAGGGCTAGGGTTAAGTGCTGTTTAGGGTTAAACACTTATTTACAACGGTTAGCTTTCAGTTAATGTTTTCAGTATTACAGTTTACTGTTTTTTAATGTGTCTTCAATGAACTGCATGGCTTCCTGCCATGGCTCACATGATTCACGACTCGCATGTCTCCCTGGCTCGCATTAATTTTCATACACACTATAAATGTAAAGTGCCTTATAATATAATATTACCTTTAATAGGATCAAGGATATTCCTACTACAAGTCCTTTGCTTGGTTCTGGTCTGTTGAAAGCATCAGTGGAAACAATCTCTGCTGATTCTGGTCATTAATCAAAGTGTCAAATAAAAAAAAATGACTAGAGATACAACTTTGTGTGAAAATATGCAATCACTTAATTTTGATGTGAATGTTTTCCAACATTACTTTAATATTTGCTAAATGATTTCTTTTTTTTGACTTACAAAGTTACTTTATAACAGGCTTATCATGCACTATATATTCATTATACTGATCTATCTCAGTCTGCTTTTTTATTGGGGGTGGCTGTTGACAACACTGGGGAAGGAAAATCTGGGGTAGGAAAATTTTGCAAGTATCTTTTTTTGGGGGGGGGTGGTGCCTTCAGGCTTGATTAAACTAGGGATTTTTTTTAGGTATTCAAAACAATATAAAGTTTTTTTTTGGCATGTTATATCATTTAACTCTTTCTGAAAATTTTTAAGGCTGGGAAATTCAGCATGGGATTCTTTGGATTTACCGTAATTTTTGGTCCAGGTATTTGTTTTGGGTTTTGTTGGAAGCCCTAGTGATTTTTGAGGGGTTTTGATTTTTGCCCCATTCAATCATCCCCATCACTTGGGGCCCTCATGGTACATAAGTAATCATTATTGAAACTCCTGGCTGTAAATAAAGCCACCCTTAGTTTCCATCATCTTTGCATTATTTGTTTGCAAATGCTGTTTATCATTATTGATCCCTGAGAGAGTAAACAGTAGACAGAGTAGACAGTATTAAGACTAGTATTTAACTCAAATTAATTACGTTTCACTTGTACAAAATATGTCTTGAAACTGGGTCCATTTAATAACCACCCCCTGCCAAGGAGGCCGTATGCTGAATCTTACTCCCTGAGAATGAAAAAAGATCAAAAGTACCAACACAGTACCCCTCATCCCCCTGCTCCTTTAGAAACAGCCCACTTTCCTCACCCTCACCCCCAAACTCAGAAAAAAAAAGAGGATTCTGTCCCATACCTCTCATAAATTACCTTTAAAGTCTCTTCGAAGAAAATATCATCTATGGGGCTGGAGGTCAGCAAAAATGGATCGCGATTAAATAAAATTAATTTTAATAGACCTTGTCACGGTTTTCGACGCCATCTTGAGGAGCAGGCAAACGTGTGAGAAATTACAGTGTTTGTGTGAGAATCTAATGTCAAATAATTTCTGTAAAACGGCTGTTCTGAAAAAAATATCAATTGTAAACTAAAGCTACGAAGCAAAGGATTATCCTAAAAAATGTTAGAGGCGTACCTGTGCCTAAATTTCTCCAGAGGCTTGCTTTGGATTTTCCATACATTTGTCTGTAATTTTCCCGGGACTTTCTTACAGACAAATGTATAGAAAATTTTCAAAAGTGGTTCTAGGTCTTCCAGAGCATGTAATGCCCTCAATTTTTTCCAGTAGAATCCTTGGGAGTGAAGCTTTAGTTCACAAATCATATTGTTTTCAGAACAGCCGTTCTACAGAAATTATTCGACATTAGATTCTCATACAAACACTGTAATTTCTCACGCGTTTGCCTACTCGTCAAGATGGCGTCGAAAACCGTGACAAGGTCTATTTTAGGACCTTCGTAAACGATTGTCAGCCTAGCGTATAAGGAAATTAAGCTAACATTAAATTAATATACCTTCAGCATAATAAATACAGTTATTTTACAGCTGATTTCATTGCTATGTATACACCCGGATTTTCAGACATGATTCGACGGTCATGATTCGACCTGACATGATTCGACACTAATCACGTGACGTATTGCCTCGCAGTAAACGGTTGCAAAAATTCTGCCGTGGGATCCAAAACAGTGAGAGAAAAATCTGGCAGGCAAGGAAAGCTTAGCACTAACGGACATAAGTGTAACGAAGCTAGGATCCCGACAAAAGCGTTTTACCTGAAGAGGAAAGCTTTGTTGCCTGGAAAGCAGCGACATGATACAGAAATTATGATAACATGTCATCAAGTGATAAACCTGGAGTTGGACTGCCGAGTTCGAATGTATTTCTGTAGGCGATTTCATAATGGACGAAATATTATCAATAGGGCGAAAAGCAAAATAGTCCGATGGTTTATCGTTTAGTCTTCTTCCGTATGACAAGCTCTCGGTACGTATTTCGCCGTTGGTGAATACCACCCACAATTGAATTCACATGTAACAGTAATGCAAATTTAGTTATCATGGAGGCAAATTTGTATTTCTTCAAGTTGGTACTTTTTCGTCCTTACTCAGCTTCTGCAGGGTTAAAAAATAACAGGAAAACGTGATGTTTTGCAGATGAAATCAACAGATAAATTGATCAGTCTGCCGTTGTGAAAGAATTTGCTTGAGAGTTTGAAAGTTTTGTTTTGTCGACCATTGAAAAATATCACAATGTGCGGTCCTCGACCTATGACCCTAGTGACCACAAATAAAGAAAATCATACATAAAAGAAAGCAACATTTGTTTTTATTGAAAAAGGGTAAATTATGATATTTCTTTAAAGATCAAGGTAGACGCCCAAAAAAAGTTGAGAAAAGAGCCGAAAAACGTATTGATCGAGACTTCCACACGCCCGATAACATGTATTGCGATTAGATTGCGTGACTTGTATGAGAGGCTGTTGTCTGGAAAGGAGAACAAATTATGGATCACAGTCCTCTTTTTCTGAATTACAAGAGAAACATTCAAGCTATCATTAAAGTAACTTTCAGATTGTGACTGTGTGCTTTGATTCCTGTTGGGATGTAGGATATTCAAGGTAAAATACTGTGCTGCTTGGTAACCTCTCGGTCGAATCATGACCGTCGAATCATGTCTAAAAATCAGGGTATACACTGCACTGAAATCAGCTGTAAATATATATTTTATGATAAAGTAATATTTCCTATTCATAGTTATTGGTCATTTTCGATTAAAACAAACCTGGAATATAAGTGAAAGGCACTTCTCTTGAGGTCGGTACAAGCGAATTTGATAAATACTCCAAACAAACCACCCTGCCACTGAGAGATGCCAAGAATATTTTGTTTCCTTCTTCCCTGCTCTCTATCTTGGTTAGACCATATATGTTAGTTTGCGAGGGAATCGGAGAGAAATGAATTTCTTCAAAATTCACCTCCTCTCTGTCCGCCATGTTTGTTTTATTGACAGCAACTCGCCCCAGGTTTTCCGAGACTCCTTGTAGTCGTTCCCAAGTCTCTCACGCGGGTGGTCGGCCACTTGAGTTTATTGACCAAATCGTAGAAATTCAACGGAGCAGAAAGAAACCATTTTTGGCTCAGTTTTGACAAATCTACAACTTCACTTAAATCAGACAACGTAAAAGTGGATCGGATAGCCAGACCAGTTTTGGTGACTTTTTTGGGTGGGGTCAGTGACTTATTGGAGCTCTACATGACATCCATTATGTATGAATTTTGCCAGTTGAATGTACTCATGCAAATACATTCCACGAAGTGAAAGCTGAGGCTCGGCAAAGCTGCGCGGCAGCAGTTATTTGCACAGGAATTACTGTTTTAATCTTACTGGATGGTATATATTTATGTTTATTGGGGTGATAAATATTTTGGTGCAGATGCTTGATTAATCTCTTGTTTTTGTTGGCCAGATTTTCAGCGCTATCAATTTCAAATGGTTTTCAAGGTCCCTGTTATACTTTTCTAAGGTAATTATTTCCGCTGCGAAGCTATCGAAGTAATATGGTCCCGTTAACGTTAAAACACGCTTTTAAAGGTCATTGAATTATAAGTTCATGAAACAGAACACAAGAAATCAAAGTTTTATATTTTTTCGTTATTATTCCATAGCATTCTCTGTAGCAATATAAACAGAACAAATATTCAAATTTTTAGAAACTTTAAGAATCATTTTAATGTTAAAACACAATTTTCTTTCAAATTACAATGTAAAGCTTGAAATAAAAAACGAAAAATTTTGAGTTATAAATATAAACATATTATTTAATTCTTTATATTTTTCCAGAAAATAGCTATAGTTTGCTTCTGAGATCGTTTAATTTAAATAAACAGCCCAGCATTTCTGTGGTACTCTCACTTTTTTAAAAACTTCTCTCCTGTAAATGAATCGAAAATGGGTGTACCTTCATGAGAGAGTCCAAAACCAAAGTCTAAGATAAAATACTTCTAAGCATCAAGAGCGGTTGAAGACTAACATCGAACATGTAGTGGAGTAACTAGCCCCCAGTTCAAGGTACGGTAAATGATTATACATTCACAAGAGAACTCCAAAATCAAAGTTTAAGATAAAATACATTAAAGCATCGAGAGCGGTTGAAGACTAAAATCGAACACCAAATCGAAAACCAAAGTTTAAGATAAAATAAATTAAAGCATCGAGAGTGGTTGAAGACTAAAATCGAACTCGTAGTGGAGTAACCAACCCCCACTTCAAGGTACCTTTTTTCTGTCTTTTATATGAACAAATTAAAAACCGTTTTCTCATGCATATCTTCATCTTGAATAAGGTCAGCCGAGTCTCTTGGCGCTCTCTGCGCTGTGATGTCACCGAGAGAGATTCGCCTAGCCTTTCCCAGACTTCGCGCAGTTAAAGGGGCAAGAGAGAACGGGTCGCCTAGAGACTAGGCTGGAACAAGGTATGCGCGTATGTTGGATAAAAAAATCTTGTCTCCTGAGCCCGCGAGTAGCACCTAAACTAAGAGTCGGTTCCACCGCTAAAGGCCAACGCGGACTCTGGGAGAGAGTTTGTCCAGAAACAAACAGTACAATCAAAAGACATGGTCACGAAATTTCATATCAAATGCTCTACGCTCTCAAGCGAACGTTAGAGCCACGACATCACATAATGGTTGAAACCAGTAGTGTAAAAAGATTCAAGAGGATTTCAACTCTTTTTCTTCATTTTCTGTTTCAGAGCATTCAGCGCTTTTTGTGCAGCACTTGATTTGGCAATGCGGAAATTCCTCCCGGTACCAACAAAAGTTCCAAAGCCGAGCAAACTCAGCGTGCTTTTGAATTTTCCATCCACCATTCTCTCCAGCGGACTGTCATAGAAAAACATACCATTATTAACAGGAGACCAGAAACACAAAAGGTGCGTGCTGTACGAGACACGTCAACAGTAACTGCGAGGTTCTCATTAGCAGGGAAGGGTTCAAAAGCTGGTAACTAAGAGATGAACAAAACTATCTTCACCTCCCCTACATATTTTTTTGGGTGGAGGGTGGGGTCGCTCTGGTGAAATCAACAGTATGGTAAAGGGGAAGAACATGCATGACATCTTTTTCAAACAAGACAAATTAAAGCCTTAGTTAACCCGCATTATCAACTTTCAAATCCTTCTACAGAGAAGATAGCGTGACTAGAAAATTGAGCGTATGAATAAGAGGCTGACCGAGCCCGGATGATACAGGTAATGTGTCACCAGCCCTGTCCTGATTGTGCTCGGCAACTTTTAAGCAACTTTTAGCTTTTGGAGCGCAACTTTTTGAGGTTCTAGTAACCCCCTTGAGCAGAGCAATTTTTGAGCAAAATATAAGTTTAGAGCACATATCAAGCACGAAAGAGTCAACGATTTCATAGAACAATTCAATTTATGCGAATTTCTTCATAGAGTTAATAGAGGATTGCCTTCTCTTGTAAATGATTATCAACTTTTGAACACATAAAGTTTCGATCAAATTAGGTTTCTGGGAAACTGCCCACCTACCCCTCCCCTAACTCAACGTTAACATTTGCGTCTCACGTGGGGCAAAATGCTGGGTTAGGGGAAGGGTAGGTGGGCAGTTTCCCAGACACCCAAATTGACCCTAAAGTTTCGCAGGCCTAAAAAGGCAATTGTTGCGGTATGAATAATTAGTTAGTACCCATAAATTTTCTCCCATAATTGCGAGCATCTCTTTCAAGCGGCTAACTTCAGGCTATTTTTCCGACCGATGTCATTGATCATTGTGAAGAACAGAAAAATAAAGCTTTAAATTGACGTTTATATAAAAATATGCAGACATTTCGGTAGCAACTTTTTGGATTTTTGGCAATTTTTAACAACTTTTTTGGCATTCCAGTAAGCAACCTTCCAGCATTTTACGAGCACAATCGGGACAGACTTACGTGCAAAAAGTGAAATCTGGCTTGAAACAAAGCGTCATCACAACTGAACCATTGTAGAGTTAGCCAATCAACCCCAGGTGGGAGGGGGTACTCCAGATTTCAAGTGATGGGGGCAAATATCAAAACCCCAAAATATCCCTAGGGCTTCCAACAAAGCCAAAAAAGAATCCCTGGACCAAAAATCAACCTCAAAATAATCCCCCAAAATCCCGGAATCAAAAATTTCAAACCTAAAAAATCCTTCGATCATCCGCGTGACTTGAAATCCGGAGTAACCCCCCTAGCAGCTCAGCCTAGCCGTTCTTTGTCTTGTCAAGCAATAGTCCTCTCTAAAGGAACATCAAGGAGCGTTGCGTGACAAGGCAAAGAACGGTTGCGTAAGAGGTATAGTAGATTGAGAAATTTACGTACTCAAACTTGACAGAATTCGGCTTCATCTCCAGGAGCCTTCTGACCGCTGACATGGGAGGATTGGCAGAGAAATAATCTATAAAAAAAATGTTTATTTTTCCTGTAAACATAACAATGAAGGTAGTAGATGAAAAAGCTACATACAATGTCAAAGCCTAACGAATCTTTATACAACGGCGACAGACTGCGACAGTTTTGGGGAATAGGCCTTTGTGCACTTTTTTAAAAGCAGGAAGAGTGTTGAAGTTCAAGACTGATTTGCACCACTAACTAACACATTCTTTGACGTAACTAGTGCGACAGACGACAAAGTAAGCGGTTTATGGATATTTCAAAAGCTTTCTGCATCACAATAATAGCATTTCCACTAATAAACATTCACCATTTTCACCGAAACCAAAATGCACCTTGTTTACCCTCCCCCCCCTCCCCCCCATTTTTTTTTTCATAACCACTGTCTTCGATTTCTCTTGGGACGAATATAATACCAAGGAGAATTAAAAACAATGGTTATGCAAAATTTTGATGGGTATTGCCCGTAAACAATGTGCCCTATGGTCTCGGTCAAAATGATGAATTGCAGTGAACACAGTCGATCTCGAGAACTAACGCATCAAACTTACCTATAGTGGGCTTGAGTATCGGCCGATAGATTTGCCACACCCTGTCTAAATCCTGTCCACAATCCACGTACACAGCACCGGCAACAGCCTCAAACAGGTCACCCAATACCTTCGGTACCTCAACTTCAACAAACTCCTCGCTATCTTCACTTCCCAGAAGAAAGACACTGGAATAAATCTGCAACGGAAGCAAGAAGAGCAATGTACATGACCTTCTTTACATTTATTTCTTAATCCCGCAGTTCCAAAATATTAAATTCGTATATTCATTATTCAACCTTCATCCTTCCCACGAACCAATTTTAATGACCAGCTCCGGCCCAGTTGACTTACTAGCACAATTTAGAGCGCTGCACTTGTATCGCAGAGGTCAGGGCTCGAATCCCCCAAGCCTGAATTTTTTTCGGGCTTTCATTTTTGCAACGGCATAAGTTACGTCTTTAGATGCGATGATCTCCTTTACATTCATTTCTTCATCCCGCAGTTTCAATATATGATAGTCATATATTCATTAGTAAATGAAATAAGCGACCAGTGTCTTCCAGTTAACACAGTTTCCGTGGAAGGTGTTAAAAAAACCACATCCGCGCACTCACTACCCTTCTCGCAAGTCAAAACCCGCCTCCTTTTTTAATTTCTTAATAACAGCAGCTAGAAAGGAGATGTAGAATCCATTTTGTGCTTTACGCTTCCCACTCTTCACTGACTCTTCTCTTGCGTCACGCATGTAAAGGGTAAGTTGAGAATTTCTGGTCTTCACATGAGGTCATGTGATTTTCATCAAAGAGGTTAACAAAAAATCTCTTAAATTTCGGGGGAATAAATGGTGTGAAGCCTTGAGGAAATTTTTGAAGGGAAGAAAACCGATAATAGTCGTTGTTATATTACCTCATGATGCTTCTCTTGTTGCTGTTTCAGCTCTTGCTCCTTCAACTTTACTATGAACTTGTTCACGATATGAAACAAAGGTGGTGATAAAGATTTTAGGTGTTTAGCGAATCCCAGTTTGACAGCCAGCACTGCAAAGCTATAGTTGTTGACCACAGCAGACCGTAGATCCGTCAAATTACCTGGAGACATGTTTCTGTGGTTTAGATATAAATGGCGGGTCACAAGAAAGTCTAACAGCGCATCTCCTAAGAACTCCAGCTGCTCGTAGCTGTTGGGTACTGGATTGTAGTCTCTGGGAAGCGATGTGTGTGTGAATGCTTGAACAAGCAGGGAATGGTCTCTAAAGCGGTAGTTTAACGCTTTCTCAGTTGCTGTAAACTCATCAGTTAAAGTCGAGTGACTTGGAGTGTTATCAAGACGAAAATTACTTGGGTCTCCGGAAGGTAAAGGAGCTTCATTCAAGAAAGGATCAGTCGTGATCTCAGTAATTGTGGAAGTTTGTTTTGATAGCCGCGCACTTTCAGTTGGAACAGTTTCAGACGTATTTTCTGAGACATTGTCCTCCGTAGCAGACAGCTTCTTGCTTGGGCGATAGTGCAATTTTTCCTTCGCACAGGAAGACATAGGATTCGATGAAAACTCAGCATCATCTGATTGTTTCTCTAACTGAAGAAATTGCTTGTAAGACATTTCACAAGCTGCATAAGGTCTTTTGAAATCTTCATGGCTGCTTTCTTTCGAATCGGATTTCTTTTCCACCATCTCACAAGAAGTGTCTTTGGATAGAGACATATCTGAGGGGCATTCACCTTTGACCTGTTTGGTCACTTCCATACCCAGCCACTCCAGAAAGCTCCAGGCACCTTCGGGGCCATAGCACAGCAGGTACGCCCCGATGAGGGCCTCGGTTGCGTCGGCTACTGTTTTATCTGAGCATGAGTGATGGAAATAAGGGCTGAGATTGATACCAGAACGGTGACCCTCCGTTAAAGACCCTTCACTGGAGTCAGTAAGAACAGGACCTGAAATCAGAGAAAATTTTTTTTTAAAATGACTCTTCAAAGTTATACAAAAAAAAAATTTGGTAAACCATTTCGCTTCTAAAGATATCGATAATATACACTGGGCCCAAAAATGGTGAAGTAAGAAGCTAAGGAACAAACAGAACCTTAGAAAATTACCTCACTTTTGTTGTTACACCAAACACCCAGGAAGGTACTGCAGAAGCTTTCATTTGAATGGTCACACTTAGGGATCCTACCCACACGCCCGAAAGCTAGATCAGAAAAATAAACAGCACCACGAGCAAGTACTGTTCAGTAGCTTTTACGTGAATAGTCACACTACAACATTTCGGCAGCAACTGACCCGAAAGCTAGATCGGTTAAATGAACAGCACCACATGAAAGGCAAGTACTGTTCAGAGGCTTTCATTTGTATTGTCTCACCACAGAATTTCATCCACAGATTCATCCATTAGAGCTACACTATTTCCTCTAGGGGTTTTCAAAACGAAAAGGATCTGTGGTCTCTTCACTATGGTTAGACATTCCAAAAAGGAATGTGGCTGTATTCATGGCCCGCCTCTCTCCATAAACTCCGATCCAAGAGATTGCTGACATACTCGGTTTTCCTTTTCTGAATAATCTGACCTACAAGTTTCCACTGAAAAGAAACTTTCAAAAAGAAATTCGTACCTGGTGCTTCTTTCTGAACGAAAAAACTTTCCTCTTCCTCGTCCTCTTTGATCTGTTGAGGGGTCTTCTCTGACATCAGAAACAGCTCGCTGGTGGTCATCAGATCAGAATCATCATCAACCACGTGATAAAATCCAGGGGGAAGCCAGTTACTCAGGGGATTGAAAATCCCGGTTATCATGAACGAAGGCAGGTCTCGGTGCCGTGCCAAATAAAACAGCTGCCTGTTACTCACTTTCAGTCCCCGGATGAATGACAGCTTGCCCTCGTTCTGGTGTTGATTTTCGAAGAAGACTGATGCGGATATGGCGTATTTCATGAAAGAATCTCCGAGCACCTCGAGTCTCTCAAGGGAAAATAAATCGTTCGCGGAACAGGTGGTGAGAGCACGAAGGATTAAAGTAGATGAAGGACCACACGATGTGTATAAGCGCGACAAACCAGGATCAGTCCAAATGGTCGACGGAGAAACCTTGCTATCAGCTGCTTCCAAAGAATCTTTTTGATGCACCAACTCAGTGGTAACTGGTTTGATTGCCTCATCCCTTATACTCACATCACATGAGACATTAGGAACAGATTCTCTTCGCACGACAATCTCCTCTCCCACCATTTCCCCCATGTTCAGCAGTGGTAGCGGGACATCATTTGGCCACTCAACAGCTCCCCTGTTGAGAGCCCTAGCAACCGAGGACCTTAGCTCTTCCGCGATCAGCAACGACTCGAAGCGATAGAGCACCGATGGTAGAATGAAAAGCTGCCTCCATATATATCCAGGCAATGGATGAACTGAACACAGCTCTGGTATCACGAAAACTTTAGACCTTTGAGAGCGTTTGGAGTCTTCCCGAGGTATCGAGAGGTTCTGCCCTTTGATTGTAGAGTAACGTGGTTGCAGGAAATTCAGTCTCGACGTGACATGATCAACATCCAGCATGGGTTGGTTTAATGTTACCTATCAAACAAAAAGAACCGTCAATAATGTGAACCTTGACAATAACATACATAAACTGTTTACAGGTAGCCATCAGGACACCTGAAGGAGGATAATGAGGTTATCCTTATATCATGGTCTCTTCTTACAGATAACCCACCCAGCCCAGGAAAGGTTGGATACACCATCGGGGTCTACGTCCGCTACTCTTTTCGAAAAGTGCGGTGTGTGTTCTTTTACGTCACTCAAGAACCAGATAAGTGAAAGTGTTATGAGCTGTCGTCCTTATCCGAAAGTTTAAGGGTCGGTTATTTAAACGAAGTCTAACTTAGGACGCGGTTTAGCGAATCTTCGTACCTCCAAATCTCGTCCTTAGTGGGTTACTTTAACAAGATAAATGCTTTTCTAGTATACGTTTTATGCCTTCAAGCGACTTTCCATGACAAATAGTTTTAGGATAAAAGCGTTGGGAAAACTGAAAATGGGTTAGAACGAGGTTTTGTTAAAGACTGGCTAAACTCCGCTTAAACAACTGGCCCTAAGCGTTTGCAGACATCACTACAAAGGCAGCACTTTCTTCTCAGTTATTCAAAGACCCTGAGTGTTGGTCCAGCCGAGGTTTGACCCGCGACCTCCCGCTCAGCAAGACCGGCACTCTCCCAACTGATCTAATCAGGCGGCGGTAATGTTTCACTTTTCGTTATTTTGAAGACAGATGTCACCTTGATGGTAAGAATTCTCAAGAATAAAAAAAGACCCCTGCAAATAAGCGGCCCGCTTCCAATTATCGCAACCTTTAGTCGACCTCAAAAGATAATTAAACAAAGCGCTGTGGGAGCGTATATTTGTGCGACGATGTACTAGGCGTGCACTATGATGTACTAGGCGTGCTATACAACTAGGGGCCTGCGTACATGAGCCGGGCAGGCTCGCTTTGCAGAGATCCCGGCACCTTAGTTTAACGCAACAAAAATCAACTTTGCGATTATATGACAATCGAGCCAGTCCGGTTAGCTGGGATACCAGTATTGTGATGCCAGGATCCCGACTGGAAATTTTCCGAGTAATCACGCTTGCCAGGCGGCCCGGTGAATGAACCAAGCGAGAAACACGACAGCGGGTAACATGGTCATGCGCACCCCTTCCCCGGCTCGTTATCTGGGGGTCGTATACACGAGATCATGGAATTTTGCGTGAGATCTTCTTTGGCGCTCAACAACTGAGGGCAAAAATATTGTCAAACTCTGACAATAAACCAAAGAATTCACACCGTGTGCTGCGAGTACGATTATTTTCCAACGGAAAAATCAAAATCATATACTGAGTTTGTTTCACTCAGTGTACCTAATTTTCCCAAAAAGTTTGCAATCTATGGCCGATTTGTTTGCCGTGCGTTATCTGTGGGTCGTATGTAACGAATACAAATGCTGTGTTGTGACAGAGCGCGGCAGACATTCGCGTTGTTTGGCTTGTTTACGTTTGCAAGTATTGCGTGCCTACTGCAACTTTGAATCAAAACAAGCGAGCTCGATTACTTTATCTGGGCCACGCCCAAATAATAAGTGGACAATAATTATAATCTGCAAAGCGTTTTTCCCCCGGGGGGTACTCTCTTATATAGGCTGTATAGGTATGTGCGGCGCCAAAGGGTATGGTTTTCTAGCCGTTTTGGTCTGAAACAGGATATCAACTTCGACCATTTTGGTCTGAAATAGGGTATGGTTTGTTCACTCTAGTCTTGAATTGGGTATGTTTTTTAGAAGAAGCTACTTCTGCATCATTTGGCGATAAGACTATTTCCCTTTTAATGTTTACGCCAACCGTGTACGTGCCGTAACAGCTTGTCACGCGCTCCGGTCACGCGCCGGGCTCCGGGGCTTCAGGTCTGAAATAGGGTATCAAATTTTTGATCAGGTCTGAAATAGGGTAGGGAAAATCACAGATTTTGGTCTGAAATAGGGTAAGGGTTTCAAGAAGCGAGCCGCACACCCCCACCTAATTTTTCTAGAAGTAACCCCTGGGTTTTGGGTCGCATTTTATACACAAATGGGGGGTCATTGTGTCAGGCATTCCAAGCGGAGACCGTCGAAACTGGGACTAAGAATTGTTGCGTGATCGAAGCCACGCATGTTTTTCGAAGAAAGCTTAGATTAAATTTAGAGCTTTTCCGAAACGTGTCGGTCCCCGAATTCCATCGCTTGAAAGGGTTGATTACTTTGGAACAAGAGAACACTACTGAGAGGTCGAAAACAAAAATAAGAATCTTAATTAACAAAACTGCGACGGTCGGGTGTTGTAAACTGTCATTGTATGCAAATAAGTCTAAGTGATGAGCATGCAGTTTATTTTCAGCGATGATTGAAATGACGTGCCATGTAAATCCCCTTTTTGATCTCAGGCAATGATGTAATTTCTCTGGAATCGAGGCCCTTGAATTTTCGTGTATTTATACACGCTTATAGCCTGCGACAGCAGACGTATTTCCGGTCGTCGCCAACACGCGTACTAAATCAATTCAGAAACAAATAAAAAGCATCGACGTCGATAAAGTAGGAGGTAAAAACCCTTTAGCGAGTAAATCCTGTTTCGTGTAGAGTTAATCGCCTCCTCATTTCTCGATCTAATCTCCAAGCAAGCGAGACTGACAAACGCTGTAAGCGCGTTCTTGTTTACATTGCGTTACCTTACATCAAATTACGTTACGTTACGTCATTTTCGCTACGTTACCGTTACCTTACCTCAACGCCGTATCGCAGTTGGTAGTATTCAGCGAATGTCGCTGCTGTTTCTAACTTCGGGAATGGATCAGCAGGACTGCGATCATAACAAATGTCAGCCACATAAAATCGATTGCATTTGTCACTGTAAACAGACGTCACCACTGCATCCTTGAATATTTCCATGTCTTGGATACCAGCAGGGGGTGGGTCATTGGGATTGTCGAAGCTACCCAGATCCTTCTCAAGAGTCTGAAGGAAATCCAAAGCGATCTCTTTGCGGTCGAGTCCTGTTGAAGGAGATTGGCTGTTACCTGAGGCATTCTTAAGAAGCGCAATGTAATACCCAGAATTGGCGCTGCTGGGATCAAAATCCACAACGTCTTTTACTGAAGAGCTTGTTTGTTTTGAGGTTTCCTTGAAGATGTAGCCAGTGAACCTTCGAAACAGAGAAATTTCTTCAGAAGTTGGGACAAACGGCTGTGAATTGCACTTAGTAACTGTTACAGTGACCTCTCCAGCTCTGTCAAATATAAGCATCGCCGGCAGCTATGGTTACAAGATAAAAAAAATAAAATAAAAAGACGATCATGCACTTGAAAACCTAACAGTGCAAAGTCTGACATAACTCTGATCTAAAAAAACCCAGATACAAATCAAAGTACTCTAACGGAATACTGCTCAGCACCCTTCTTTTTAATAGCAACAAAACTTCAGGATTTCGTGTCCAGAGGCTCAAAAGTTAGAACTACCTTAGATACAGCACAATAAGCGGAACCAAAAAGAGTACTGCTCAGTAGCTTTCAACTCAATGTCACACGTTAGGATTTCATCCAGAAGCTCAAAAGTTAGCACGACCTTAACAGCAGAACAGTCTTACTTTTGGATTTCATCCACAGACTTAATGACTCCAACAAGATGTAATGACAAAGACAAAAAAGACGTAATTAGCACCTCTCCTCCTTGCTCACACTATGAAGTGAAAGTCTAGCGGAAAGTGTCAAAGTAAGTTTTTTTAAGGTGATACTAGATTTCTTGTGTGCAGAGTGTTGCCCTAGAAGCACGCCTGACCCTTCATATATATGGCGGCACGCGGCTTTTCTCGTGCTAGGTTACTTTTGAACAAATAACGGGAAAAAAGATCCGATAAGATGCATGGCTCTTGGGAAGGTAAGTAAGGGAATGTTCAACACAAAATAATTGAACTTAAGTGCCGTTTTGTGGTTTGACTTCCTTTCCAAACGTTTCAGGCCTTTGGAGTATGCAAACCTTGCAACCATTCTAACGTACTTGTAACTCCACAAATGAAGGGCGAGGGGCCCGCTTCTCGAAAGTACCGGTAACTTTTCGGGCACGAAATAAAATATTCAAATCGAAATATAAAGAATAAGAGCGCGAGTCCTGGCTAGTAAACTACTCCATTTTGTTTCATCATGTTAGATGCAAAACTAGTGAAGTAATATATCAAACATGAGATGCAGTGTTTCATCACCAGATGAAACACCGAGAAGAGAGTTGAAAATACGACGCGCAGCGGAGTGACGAAACTCTGGTGATGTGAAACCTCAAACAAAATCATTTTTGAAGGAGAAATTAAGGATGCAAATACTAAGCAGTGTTTCATCCGATTTCCAAACACTCATTAAACATTAATTTCCTTTGTATTTTCTTAATGAATTATTAATGAGTTTGAGAAGCCTCGATCTTTAATGTAAACGGAGACAGTTTACAGGGCCCGTTAATAATCGGGACTTTTGAGACACGGGCATAAGGGGCCCGTTTCTCGAAAATCCCGATAACTTTTCGGGCCTGATAACCTATTTTATGTTTGCATGTTTGCATTCAAGGTCAAAGTTTCAATAATTTTGAAAACGATATGATGAAACTATCAGTTAACGAAGCAAAATTGGCCGGCTTGTGAGATAGAAACTGTGCTACTATTCAGCAGGTTTCGATTTCAAAATTTGCCTTCGGACACGAAAAGTTACCGGGCCTTTCGAGAAACGGGCCCCAAGCCCGAACTGTTTGGAGAGGAACTTAAGCCACTAAACGGCAATTTTCTTCACTACTTTTGTTGAACATTCTCTTACTTAGATTACTTTTGTCCTGCTTTAAACAAAAATCGCGTATATCTGAGTCTGTGTGTACGAAAACATCCTTAAATTTTAAATTCCTTAAATTTAAAAAAAAAGTTTCAAGAGTTCAATGGTCTGGATCCGAATACAAAACTGCACAAAGTAGTGGCTGTGAAAAAATTACGAAGTATTGATTTTTCAACTAACTTTGGGTAGCAGCTTTCGAGAGAGAATTCCAGGGCAATAAACAGCTTCTGTAGATGACTTCACTTTGCTCTGAGACCGCACTGCACGTTCAAAGGTCCAAGGTTTGGTGAGTTCCATACTGACAGAATACACATAGCAAGGCTCATCGGGAACAGGAAAATTATCTTCCAAGACCGATGGAAACTGTGATCAAGGAAATCAGATTTAATCAAACAACAGAACGCCAATATTAGGGAGTTTAAGCAGCGACGTTTTTGAGCGACGCTACATCAACCGGAAGCCAGCCTTTTTCTCTTTTCATATGCCTTGAGTTTACCAAATTTGTTTTGCAGAGTGTCTTTACTCTTATGGAGACAATTTTCCCAAGAATTTGTTTAAAATCACGGCCAAAGAGAGTAAATAGTCCATTTCCGGTTGAGTTACACTCAAAAACGTTGTTGCTTAAACTCCCTATTACTGGCACACTGATTTAAGAACAAGAATATTGTATTGGATTTTTCCCGAAACGTTACCACCCTAACTATCGGAGGTTAGTTCGTCTATGACTGATTACCATCCCACGTTACAAAGGAAAAACCCTGGGCACGCCAGGTTGCGCGACGTACGGACAACGGGTTTTAAGAATCTAAAACTGACAGGCAGCGTGGCCGAGTAGTTACAGTGCTGGACCTGCAATTCGAAGGCCCCAAGTTCAAGTCCCGCTGTGACCGCTAGCCGTGGATTTGTTCACAGTAGTCCCGGGCCCCGGTTCAAATCCTCGGCCATGCCTGTAACTAGCCAGCCTGTATGCCTACCGCCAGTTGGGATTCTTAACCCTGTTATGTTTGATTTAGATCAGTTTCATACATTTGCTCGGCCCCTCTAGGATTAGTGCTATTTATACTACTACATGGGTAATTTCTGCAATTTGATTGGCTTAGAGCAGTGGTATTTCAGCTTAATTTGAAATACCTACACGTGAAAATTATAAACCTTTTGTGGATAGTAGTATAAACAAATAATAACATGATTTGTACGAGATATTTGGCATAAATACCACGAGAGACATTTCAAAATTACGTATAACAATTTTGAAATATCAATCGTGGTATTTATGCCAAATATCACTACAAATCATGCTATTACCTATACAAATATTGATTGTACTCACAATCTGTCTTCTCCTTGGCTAAGAGCCTACAGCTAATTTTGGAAATCAGCGCGACCTACAGATTAACTAGTTATCTGCTAGCAGATAAGTGACTAATCTGTAGGTTGCGCGCGCAATGCATGATTTCCGAGAGCAATGTCAAATCGGCTCTATGCGACGGTGTATTTGTCGTTATTTATTTCAAATCAATGTATAATAAAACAATTATTAGATTTCGCTTTTGTGATATCCGGAATAATCAAGGTCTCGCTTAGTGTTATCAGCCTCGGCCTTCGGCTCGGCTGATAACACTTATCTCGACCTTGATTATTCCGGATATCACAAAAGCCGAATCTAATAATTGTTTTATTATACATTGTTTTGAAACCTCATCCAAATAATTGTTTATCTTCACTATCATTAGGGCCATTTATACGAGGAAAAATAAGACGCGTCTTAAATAAGACGCGAACTTTCCGTATAAACGGCACATTTCGTCTAAAATAAGACACGGCTTAGCTAAGACGCGTCTTATTTTAGAACAGCCCTTAACACCTGTTCTTAGATAAGACGCATCTTAGCTAAGACGAGAAAAACTTCGTATAAATGACCTTCGCGTCTTACATAAGACGCGAACGCATAGTACGCATGCGTAAATTTTTGGCGCACCACGTTGGATTGCCGTTGCTACGGGCGACATTCACATGAAAACGAGTCAAGAACAGAAATAAGACGCGAACCATTTATACCAGCTGTTCTTGTCTTAGATAAGACATGCTCGTATAAATGGTACAGTTCGCGTCTTATTTAAGACGCGTCTTATGTAAGACGCGTCTTATTTTTCCTCGTATAAATGGCCCTATTATCATTTATTGTATTATCACTATTACATTACGATCAGCCTTGCTGTGTCTCAGAGGAACCAGGAGCAAGAGAATCGGAAAGTGCGCAAGCCAGAATTTAAGTAGTAACTTTTTATCAGTTTGAATTATTATTTTTAAATAGTTTTTATTTTTTTTTATTAATTTTTTTATGCTTTTTATATATTGTTATTAGTAGTCTTTAGATAGTTATTTTACGACAATTCTCTTTCGTACACAAGAAGAATGTACATAGGGTATATATTTTAATATTTCATATTCTTGAATCTGTAAATAGTCTATTTTTTTTAAATCTATGAATAAAGTTTTGTTTTATTATTATTATTATTATTATTATTATTATTATTATTATTATTATTATTATTATTATCACTTATGGACCTCGTTTACGCGGTACGGAGAAATTTTTGGAAGGACAAATTTTGTACCCAAGCAACGCGTTTACACGGTACAGGTTACAGTACTGTTCACGCTCAAAAACTTGCTCGGTTCCTCGGGTCCCGTATAAACAAAAGGCCGATCCGTGTAAGTTTTTGTGGACCCGTTCAAAAACAAATTTCGGGACCCGTCAAAAAGGGGCCCTAGTTTAATAGTTAAATTACCTTTCTCTTGTAAGCCCTAACTCTTTTCACAGATCCTTCCAATCCCACACCGTTATCAGCAACTTCGCACTCACAAGGTTCACTCTCTGCAGTCAGATGCAATTGTTGGAATCTATAAAAGTGACCACATCGATCACATTTAGAAGAGCCATGGGATCCTAAAAGTCCAATTGTATAATTGGGAGCTTAAGCAAAGACGTTTTTGAGCGACGCACGTTAACCGGAAGTGAGCCTTCTCCCTTTTTATATGCCTTGACGCTAAAAAATTTGTATTGCTAAGTTTCTTTTCTATTATAAAGGCAATTTACCCGAGAGTTTCAACTAAACCACTGCCCAATGATGCAAAAAGTCCACTTCCGGTTGACGTCCGTCTCTCAAAAACGCTGTTGCTTAAGCCCCCTAATAAGCCTTTACGGCAGCGTGACCGAGCGGTTAGAAGGTCGGACTTCCAGGCCTCGAGTTCTTCAAGCCCGGCCCTGACCGCTAGCTGGAGAGTCCATTGAATCAAGGCAGTACCGAGTTCAAATCCTCGACTACTCTTGTAAGTAGCCAACTGGTTTGCTTGCCTCCTACCAGTTGGGATTCTTATGCCAGTAGCTTATGTTTGATTTAGCTTAGTTGTTTCAGTTCATTTGACGTTCCAAAACATGCTCAAGAAAATCAATCATGGGTCTGTGTAGCTTAAGCATGGCTGCCACAGATACCAGTTTCCGAAATTCCTTGACTTTGGGTGATAAACTTAAATTTCCCTCACCAAACAATAAAATACAAAACGCAAGAATGTACAAAATGCCTAATTTCACGTTTTAGGGAGAAGGTAAACAAGCAACGACGAAATTTTATTTCTCTCACTGTACTTGGATATGGTGCCTAGGAATTCAACTCCAGGAGGGTTCGCCTACATTTGACAAAGTGAGTGGGTAGGAATAATTGCGATTAAGACTGAAA